TATCTCCCAACTTTATTTTCGTGAAACGTCCATATACCATATATGTCCGAGAATAATGCGCACTTATTTTTGATATTACCCACTGCATTAGCTTTTCAAATCAAATTTATAATCTTCAAGAATAAATAATGGCGTCGGACAATATTTCTATGTCTTTCATGAAAATATAATGACAATTAACTTGCTAACAATTTTGAGGACGGATTAGCATAATCTTAGGCTTTATTTTCCAAAACCTAACTTTTTCAAATATTTTAGCGACATTTAGGGGTAGAGATCACATTAGATAACGGAACACAAGCTTATGGTATACTACTCCCGAGTTTAATGGTACACCAAGTATCAAAAATTTGCAATGACGTGTTATTCAAAATTAGTGAATTGCTAAATATATCTTTTAGACCCAAAACAAAATACCAATTCTCTCAAGCCAAATCTCATTTGATAACTATTTGCTTTTTTTTTTCATTTACAAAATTTTTTGATTATTTTAAAATAGGTTTCAGCAGATGTTTTTTTTCAATATGTTCTTTTTCTCGGTGCCTTAAATAAATTTGGAAGTCATAAAATGCAAATCAGAAGACATGTGTTTCAATTCCACGAGTACAATATGGTATGCTGTAAGAGTATTAACGCGCTAGTGATAGAAAAAGGCAGGTACCATAGTGAGAGAATCAGGTGAAACCCAATTTACACCACCGGTATATATATAGACATTTTTGACAGTAAGCAACTCCAAAGCTAAGTTAGATTAAAGGCAGGGACACCTATAGTGAGGAACACTCGAAGAGACATATTGTTTTAAACTAAAGGTATTGTACATAATGTAGTTATTAAGATATCGAGCGCTTACCCAGATTTGAGTACCCAAAGCCGTGAGAAACAATGGAGGAGTAAGACACGGTCTAGTTCTCTTGTCAAAGCTTACACGTCTTTTTCACAAGGGTTCAATACCCTAATTTGATTGTTTGGAAAACTTGCTAACACCTACCCAGCATGATTGGGGTTGATGAATTAGCAAAGACGAGGAGCCAATATATCCTGACAGCATTATACATTAATTAATTTGAGTTGTACATAACCCCAGGATCTCAAAAGATCTGACATTCGATCTTCGGAGCTTCTACAGTCAACATCTACCTATCTTTTCAATCTTATATCAAAGTTTTTGGTGATTCAGTCTCACTTTTGGATATATCACGATTTGGATCAATACAACTTTAACAAAGTCTTCCTACTTCATTTGCCCTCCAGCAATTCATGGTAAAATTTCAATTCCTCTCTGCATGTCATGTGAACTATGGGTAGATGGTGTTTGATTATTAATGTTGTAATGGGAATAATAATTCTAATATTAATGGTTGATAATGGCTTGATATGGCTATAAGTATAATGTTGAAGGTAATATGTATAGCAATTTCAGTTTGATTTGAGTTCCATAGATCCAGCTTTATTCTATCCTGGAACCATGGAATAACAGGAATTCTGTAGGCCTAATTACGGCGATTGTTTAGGTTTGGTTCATAATATGGTCAATAATGCATCCTATTTGTCAGTGATATATTAGTTTGGAGTGTATTCTAATTTTTATATTGACATTTTCATGTTGGCACTTTCTGGAAAAAAGAAGTGAAGTTCTGTAATCAACTGGCATCGTATTTTTACTCTCCAATATTTGGCACCAGAAAGTTCTGGTATTCAATATCTGCTATCAAAATTTTCTGCTATTGAATAGTTGGTACCAGAAATTTTCTGTTATTGAATAGTTGGTACCAGAAATTTTCTGCTATTGAATAGTTGGTACCAGAAATTTTCTGCTATTGAATAGTTGGTACCAGAAATTTCTGATATTCAATAATTGGCATCATAATTTTTTGTTATTGAATAGTTGGCATAAATTTTCTGTTATTGAATAATTGGCATCAGAATCTTCTGTTTTTTAATAATTGGCACCAAAGTTTTTAATTATATAATAATTGGCACCAGAATTCTCTGATATTCAATAATTGGCACCAAAATTTTCTGATATTCAATAATTGGCATCAGAATTTTCTGATATTCAATAATTGGCATCCGAATTTTCTGATATTCAATAATTGGCATCTGGATTTTTCTGTTGTTCAATAATTGGCACCAAAATTTTGTTGTTGTTCAATAATTGGCACCAGAATTTTTCGTTATTCTATAATCTATATGACAATTTGATTATTGGCACCAGAACTTAGGATACCATTTGATATAGCACTTCAACAAACTTGTAAGTAAATTGGTAGGCTACTGTATATTTTTGCACAAAAATTCAGTATTCGGTTCGTTCCTTGATCTTTTCAAATAGTTCGTTAGTTATTGTTTACATTTGGTTACAATTCAATATTTTCATTTTTAATTGAAATGGAGGAAAATATCACGGGGATTAAAAACTTAAAGATAGCACTTTAATGTTTTTGACTAAAATATACAACTATTTATTCTGTATTGCCTTTTACAAGTAAAAATATTGTTTTAAGACTAAAGAATTTTCTGTGATTTCAGTTAAAAAATTGTTTTTAGATTTAAGTCAACAGGTTTGATCTCTATCCTTTTTGCACAAAGTAGATTGATATTATGCTAATGCTATAAGAAGCCTACGTTAATTAAGGATATAATCTAACTTGTTGTGATAAAATTTAAGTAAAATCTTTCACTGGGTTGCTAAATTTTGATATAAAATACAAACACTGATTGGTTTAAATAGAAACACGCGTTTTCCTAATTAGAATAAACATAAACATTTAATCTCCAACTGTATTTTATCTTTAAATAAGCTTAAGATTATCCTAGATAATCCACATAATGGATATGGTGTTCTAAACATTAAACTTTCTATATATTTCAATATTGGAGTTAGACGAATCAGTATGGTACACTTCCTCGAGGGATAAGCTTCATTTCAGAAATGTATGTGATTTTGGATCTTTTTTTTAATCTTTAATTTTGAGTCATATTGGAAGGGAAAGGAATATAAATGAAGAAGGATAATTTAATATGCGAAAGTGCAGTTGACAAGCACAATAGCATAGCGGTATTAGGTGTTCTGATTCATGTATATTGGTGATCAATGGATATTTGTACAATAAGGTGCTACGGAAGTAAAATATGTGACAATTTGCAAGATCAAAGGGGCGAATGGAATGATGCACTATGACCTGACAATAGTTCTTCTACGGTTTTACGGCTAGGAACTGTTATGGGTCTTTATGGTTTTACGACCCAAGTTAACTTATGTATCGTAAACCTGATTTTAATAGTGAATTTGTTAATTTCCTAACAGTCAAACAATAACAAATGGGTATATCATAGTGGATTTAATTGTGGAATCGCTTAATTTTTATGAACTGAAAATACACACATGGTTAATTAAGTTTTGTGAATTTTGACTGGATTTGTTAATTATTTTATGAGAGGCCAATGATAACACATAGATCACGTAGTATAAGTTTCCCATTCTCATTTCAGCTGGTCATTAGTTAGTTTGCTGTAATCAGAAATGGATGCTGAGCGAAACGTATTTGTACGCGGCGACTGGAATATTCCCCCTTCTTCATCATCAACAACATCCCAACTGACTATCATAGACGAATCTTCTCGAGACAGTGGATTTGAGTCTCCAATTGTAGAAAAGGTAAGCCTTAAAATCGAAATTAGTCATTCTCCTTTTTTTTCTTTGCATTTTACCTATTTTATTTAAAAATATATTTATAGACATGAATGAAGGCTTACGTCGTCTCAAGCATAAATATGTAACGCTATGCAACGCTATGCAGTGAGCAACGATGTATGCCAGTGTATAAGACTATTCCTTTTACTCTTTGAGCCCGAAATACTTGAATTATGCATAGTTTTGCTCAAAAGAAGAAATTGTTTCCTATAGAAATTGTTCATTGCAAGGAAGAAAGTAAAAATTGCTCTAAATTTAACAATGATAACTATTTTAAATATTCCAGATCATGACTGATACACCATCAAGAGCTACACCAGAAATTGGTAATACAAGTGGATTAAATTTTCATCTTAGTCGCCGAACACTGGATTTCTTCGCCGCAATTGACAAAGAAAATAATCCGGACGCCGAAAATGAGGATTTAGTAAGTAGAAAATGTGTTATAACGAATTTTTCACGACTTCGGATTTTATTTTGATTTCATGGTGTAAAAATCTGACTGGAAGCCAAGAATTAATACAATCTTATGTTGGAAAAGAAAATAAAGCTTTTTAAATCCACCTTTATTATGTTAAAACAATAGAACAGTAATTTTGAGATAAACACGTTTTTCAATTGGTTTACAAAATATCAAAGTTAAATTTTAACCCTTAATTTACCCACGGGCTTTTAGATAGCAGGATTTATAATTAAAATAAGAAAAGAAATATAGCCAACCAATGAAATCGTGTATTATAATTGGGCTATTATGGGGTTAAAAACCCTTTTTTACTCGGAGTAACTGACGGGAGCTCAGACGCATTATCCGTTTTTGACAGAACAACTTCGACGATTTGAACTGATGAGCTTCTTGACATATATTCTCAAAATGGTTGCCTATAAATTGAGTCAATTTTTGCAGGTGTTTCCTTTACTCATGTCACCCGTCAACGAAAAGAAACGTCCCAGTCCAGCAGATCTCAGCTTTGATGGATTTGATTCACCCGTTTCACACAAGAAATGCCGAAAAGAGGATTCGTTTGCCTCGCCACTGAACAGAAGAAGAAAATCGAAATTCAGGAAGCACATCGTAAGTTGATAAAACTATTTACATTTTTTTCCAATTTCGGATCAGATTATCATTTCAATTGTGTTATTTTGTATCTTCTTCATTTTCGTTTTTGTTTTGTTTTAGCCTGTGTCCATTTCCCAAATATAAACAACTTATTTTGTTATATTGTAGTCAATGCCATGTACCCAAATGTCACCTGCCCCATCTCCTGATACACAAGAGATCAGAATTAAAGACGCCTTAGAAAGAATGGACGATGAAATGAGTTTGATAGGAGATGGTTCCACTTCACATGTATTGCCAACCATTAATGGAAAAAATAAAGATCTTGTGTCTATCTCACATGAAACGGTAAGTTTAAGCAGGTTATTTCACTTCTGTATGCTGTCAGTATAGGTAGCCTATTTGTGTACAGGCAATGTAAAAGGGAAGTAACTCTAAGTAAGTTTCTGCTTTTCAATAGAAACCCAAGAAGATTTATTCCTACTGGTATTAATTAATGCATAAGAATTGACTCTTTGTCGGTGCCAGCGTACTGTTTTTCCTGCATTTTAGTCATATTTTATTACCTTCACTTCAGATGGCTGACGTATTAAATGGAGTATATGAAGAGTCGGTACAAGAATGCACAGTTATTGACTGCAGATATCCTTATGAATATGAGGGTGGTCATATCCAGGTAAATACAATATTCATGTCATGTCATTTCCATTCAAGTTTATACAATTTATAAGTAAACATCATTTTTTCTTTTTTAATAATCAACAAAGATTTTATTTTGAAAAATTTATCATTTATATACAATTTACACCATTTGGACAACTTTCAAATCTTATTCCAAAAAATTCAGAAATGATAAAATTGATTGATTTTTTGCAGGGTGCTCTTAATCTTTACACTCAACAACAAATATCAGAGTTTATTAAATCTCAACAACAAAAACAGACAACTGACAGTCTCAAACATATTTTGGTCTTTCATTGTGAATTTTCATCAGAAAGAGGACCTAAATTGTAAGTCCAGAATTATATTTTGAATCTAATCTCTATAGATTTATCAAATTTCAATATTTAATCCAAAAATATCCTAATAAATTCAAAAAACATCGTTTAATGTAAAGTAAATCTGAAAATCGTATTGCGTATTATTTTAAACTGCGCAATGTATTCGCAAATATATTGTATATGACTATGTGACTCTTATTTCAGATTAAGATATTTAAGAAGCTTAGATCGTAAAGAAAACAGTCATCGTTATCCATATCTTGACTTCCCTGAAATTTACATCTTAGAAAAAGGCTACAAAGTTTTCAGTGAAAATCAAATGGTAAGCTAGATATAAAATTTTCAAACTGTAAAGCATTTTTAATAGCTCAGATTACTTTCTTGTGAGTCTTACTTAGAAAGGTTTCGGTAACAGTACTGTGGGTTTCCTTTGGTAGCTTCAAGATTTCTTCTCAAGTTTGGGCCTAAACCATAATATTTGGTTATTTACATTAAATGATTCTATTTTTCAGCATTTGTGCGAGCCACAGGGATATACACCAATGTTACATAAAGACTATTCCTCCGATTTAAGACGATTCCGAATCCGATCCAAATCCTGGACAGAAGGAGAAAGAAAATCCAAGATCCGAAGATCATTAATGTCACCTTATTAAGTGATTATACAAACATTACCAATAGTGCTTTCACTATCCACTATCAAACGGGGATGTGCAATAACTTATTATATGTGTTGTCCTGTGTTTTCTCTGTGTGTGCTGTTACGTCTCTGAAATCTCAACAAACTTATAATAACTGAGAAGACAGAAAAAAGACTTAGTGCAGACGATGTGTGTAATAAATCCATGAGTGATGTAAGAGACGTAACTCCTTCATCTTTTGCATCTTCATGGACAAACTTGATGTGTATGCTTCCAAAGTGGCGCATACATCCTAACCTAATGAAGATATTTATAAACTATCATTTAAATGGATTAATGATGTAGAAGAATGTGACTCAATACAAGAATATTGCAAGTTGCCAACATCCTTTCTATGGTGATGTATGGTGTAAATCCTTTAGGATGTAGTCTCTGATATCCAGAAAATGGAACTGTATAATAGAAACTAACGTGTACCCTTTTGTCTCGTTAAGTAATATCATTTGGATGAAAATGCACGAGTATTGGCAATAAATGTAAATGTTAAGATTATACACATTTTGATGTGATGTAAGGGACGTAACTCATCTTTTTATTCTTTTTCTTCTCTTCAATCTATCCACTCTTTATATGTTTGTAAATATTATTTATGTTCTTTTGATACCACGCTGATGTTATGCATGATTCAATCACGCTTGAACAGATTTTGAATATATAATGCACATAATGTAATAAAATAAGTGAATATTTATTTGCATGAAGCATGTGCATGACCATTTTATTCAATTTTAAAGATGGATGTCTTGTAATTTTATATATATTCTTTGTATCTTAATAAGATTTCTATTTTTCTGTCATTCTTTTTGTTCATATTGTCTCTTCTTAGTTCGAGTTATGGACATATTTTCCTCTTTCTAAACTATCCAACTTTGTAATTTCCTAGGTTATTTATTTATAAATGCATTGTCTATATTATATCTTGCATGCTATGTAAATGTGTTACTGTAGCATGATATATGAATAAAGATGCATGAATCGTAAACAAAATTATATTTTTTTCGATATCTGATCTCTGCCCTCTTATGATGCACACTGTTCGTGTGCCCGAACCCTAATCGTTGAGATCGTTCAAGACCCCCTTTCCCCCATAAACCGGCATAGTATGACTATTACAGCCACCGTCTGAAATGTTGAAGCCTTCGTGGCTTTTCTTTTGTTCGTCCTGTCCGACGTCCTTGGGCTCCACGACTTCCAGAAATGAAAATCCCTGGTCCCTACGCAGACACATGTGGTATTTGCTACTAATGAAACTTTTTTAAACCTCTTATGGTGTTATCTGGTACCGTACCTTCATTTGGCAATGTTGTACATAAGGCATTTAGTTTTCACGCGATTACATGAAATCCCTGGAATTTTCAGTAAGTACATGTAATCCCTGCTTTATCAAGGGACTTCATGAATTAATTGAAATCTTTTGGAATTTCGTGAAATCACTGAAGTATCTGTGTTACAGAGTAACAAGTAAACCTAAGATATGAGCTACACCGAATTGTTGTCTGTGTCTCTGTGGCTTGACAATAGAGACTAGTTTTGAATTTAGAGTTAACTTCTCCTTATTTCTAGACGACGCTTTTTCGGAAAAGGATCAAATTCAGTGCAAGTCTTCTCGTTTCAGTGCTATTTTAGATATTTTTGTAAAGATTTACCGGGCATACGAAAGTATAAACTAGTTGCAATGAAAATTGCATATCAAGTAGGTATTACGGAATCCATGTAAACTACACTTTTGCATTGAACACATCCTTTGCTTTGCCCAGATTTCATACAAACTCTTGAAACTTTATCATCAATCAAACTAAACTTTTTATTTGAAGTTGAGTTGAAAGGGGAGAAAGAGTTTAACAATTTTGGAAGCTAAGGTAAATTTACCAAGCTGATAAATCTCCAAGAAGAATAACAGTTAGCAATCTTTATCCCTTTTAATCCATTTCTATATCAGGCCTACTAAATAAAGGCGGTATGAAACTGTTTGTGACAGTCACTGACACTAGTCAGTCAGACAATATTGTCCAAAGAACGAGAATCAATGCATGTTTGTGTACTCAGAAAATACTAAATATCAGTATTTGGATTGATTTTCATTATTTCAATGGAATTTAATTGAAATTAAATGGATTTGCAGTAAAATGATAGAAAGATTTAGATATGTTGTACAGACACAGCTTTATGGAACAACAAAATTTCAATAAAAAAATATTGAAATAAACAACCCTGGCACATTGAGAAATAAAAACTTTAACCAGTGATTGTTGATCCTTAAAGCTGTGGATATCAGTTTTAGGTTAAACATAACTCTAACCACTTCAATAACTTTTCAGTAAAATGAAGACAATGGAGGAAGAAGAGAAAAAAGAAACAGAAGCTAGAGTTGATTTGGCTGATTTTGTTTTTGAAGTTGATCGATTTACAAAACTGATTGAACCTTTTGCTTTTTGTTTTTATTTTCTTGATGATGTCAGAAGGTAGGCAATTAGTACCGGTAATGAAACTTATGAAGTATTTGACCTGAAACTAAATATTCGCTTTATTTTGATTAAAAATTGTGTGGAACATAGTAATGGTATGGTTAACTGATTGTAAACAAATATTGAACCAGCCACATTTGACTTTTATAACAGATCGTGATCTTGATATTCCAGATGGAGGAACCCAGTATTATCTGGTGTTTTGTTAGTCACCTTAAATCTTTCCTGTCTTATACTAACTAAAGGTTTGTATATAATTACATATATCACACATCCGTTCCATATGCTCATTCAAAAAGTTGAAAATGAAAAAGAGCAAATGAATTGGCCATTATGATTAAGCAAAATTCTTCTGCTTGCTTGCATGGACAATCAGTCCCTATGGAAGTTTAGCCACTGTAGTGGTTGAGGGCTCTTATCTCAGTTGGATGTGTGAAAGTATGGAGACCTTTAATAAGTCAATTTTCCGCATTATTGACCATTTTGGAAAATGTTATAATCAAATGAAGTTCATAAAACAAGGATTCCTCTACTGGCATTGGATTACTCAAAATTGACACAAATTAACTATATTAACAAAAACCCATATTTTGATGAACACTAGGATAGGATCACAATTTCTGTTGTTTTGATGCTAGAAGAAAAAAATAAATGTTTTCAATATATTTTTTCAGGGTCGGTGTTTGTGTTTGCATCATTAGCTGTGATATGTATAGCCTCGGTGTCTTTATTTCACATACATACAAAGATTTTAAACAAAGTATTACCTGAAACACGCCGATTACCTCGTGTTTATAATGGTGAAGATATTAATACTTTACAGACAGTCAGACAGTTTAGATATAGGTTAGAATTTTACACTTTTTGATTTGTCATTTTGCATTTTGGCAACATATAGAATTTACAATTTTTGACCAACCCATTTTGCATGTAATGGACGGAGATAAAAGGAAATGCTCATCCCAAGTAAGAAAATATTTTAGCGCCTTCTTCTTAGACAGTATTTTAAAGCTAGCTGTTGTGTTATTTTCAAAGATTTTGTACCTTTTGTAAAGATATGATGAATTAATAAAGATCAAAAGACAGCTTTTGCAGTTTTTTTACATTTTGAAATCTGAATTGACAACCAAAGAAGATCTTGTCGGAATTTGGACAATTTGAAAATTTTGTAACAATTGTTAATTAAGCTGTGTACCCTGAAAGTAATTTTCTTGTAAATTTTGAGCAATCAAGCCACATTGATATTATCTATTGACAAAATCAAGGTATTATTTTATTGGTGTTATGATATACCATTAGGCCTATAGTTCTCATCAACTTTGACTAAATTTGGTACTTATATTTGGCTTGATGAGATCTTATTTGTGATTTTGTGTCTATTTTCAGTTTAATTGAAATGCATGATTTTGTGATAAAATGTAATGAATACTTATCATCATGGTATTGTATATTGAAATGGGAGAAAACTCTAACATCATTAATGTAAGTATATATCAAGCTACTGGTCTGTTGTAATTCACATGAGCTCATCACATGCTTTGTGTTTCAGATATAAAATCCTTATCAGGATTCAGCAGTAATTTGTATAAGTCAGAAAGATACTTCTTGATGATTGTACAAAACTAATATTTTGTTTGTATAAGTGTGATCTATTCAAAGAGGACACCTCTGTAGAATTATCAATTACTTCTCAGTCAGGATTTTCATGTTCATGACCAAGAGTGTGTACTTTCTACTTTCAGTTTTCACATAGAAGTTTGTGTATTTATATTGAGTTTGGTTGTCATGTCAACTAGAATCAACTGCTTTATGTTCTTTAATTGGTTCTTCTTATGTCATCAAGACAGTATCAATTGTAAGTTATTTTCAACTTCAGATATCCATGATATTATGACCTCACGTAAACAGTCTAATTAAAATTACCCATCCCATAACCTGATGACCTCTGCCTTAACCAATGACATTTCTTCCTTCTACAATGCTGGGATTTTGTGATGCAAACAAACAGTTTATTCTCTGAAGAATAAGACTAGTTTATCAAGTTCCCTGAAATTGAATTTTAAACATGCCTATTTATTGAGTTATTTTATTTATTTAAACAGAGGTCAGGTTAGGTCAAAAGGTTATTGGGATGAATGTAAAAAGAGCACCATCATTAGACCCTTACTGTAGTGGCTACATTGAAACAAGTTTGGTCTTTTTTTAATTAGACTTCTCAAATACCTCAACACCGCTAATGACCTGTACAATGGTGACAGTGTAAAAGTGATAATTATTCTTATGGTTGTTCTGAATCCTGGTCATTATCAGAGTTTATGGTCACATAATTTATGCAATAACTGTATTTTGATAGATATAAAGAATATGGTGGTTCCAGATGAAAATAAAGTCAAGTTACGAGAATCAAACGGCGTCACACCTGACATAAAATCAAAGGTATGATATTCAGTGAGAGATGGATGGAATTAATTTATTTCTGGTGTACTTTACTAATTACCAGCGTTTTTTAGTAAAATGTCTGTCATTTGCTAAAAGAAATGATCTTATGCTTGATTCTGCAGAAAAATACAGCAATAGCCAAATTAATTATCTTAATTTACAATTAATCAGACTGCTTTGGTTAACTTTTAGGAAAAAATTGACGAAGACCAAAAATCAGTGGAAATAGAAGATTCAAATGATGTAAGCCTTTGTTCTGTAATTTTCCTTTCCTAGACATATGTCTGTTGTCTGCATGTTTCTTTTGTGGAATTGTGAAAAATTGAAGGCTTTCTTTGCCCTTAGAGCTGTTAATAAGTACCGAATTATGGAAATTTATATGTTAAAGTTAAACTATTGATGAAATATCAAAAACCTTAACTTGAGTTGTTGTATCAGCGCAGGTTTGGACTATTTGATTAATTGGTGTTCCTAATGAATTATAATGTATTCTTAATCATATCATTATGTTCTTATTGCATATAATTAAGAGTTTTAACCAACCATAAATGCCCATGTATGAACAGTCTGGATAAGCAAAAAAAGACTTTTTGACCTTTCTTGATCTGTCACTCATTGGAATTCTGCTGGTAATTCTCATCTAATTTACCTAATGATGAATATTATGAACATGTGAGACAAACTGGTATTTTTCCAAGTCATTAGAACAACTCTACTTTCTATTCGTAAAAGTATTAGTATTAGCATTTTCATCAATGAAAATAATGAAACCCATCTTTAAACCCTGTTGGGTTAAACTGACCAACCATATCGGTATATTGACTTCAATTCCATTTCAGACTGATACTGTAGATGTATCTGATGAAGATAATATGGTACCATTAGAAGATAACATGGTTCCGTTAGATTCTACCCCTAATAAACCTGGTATGGTGGCTAGGTTATTAGAGTTAAAACGCAGACGTCAACAGGCCTCATCAGGTATTCTTTATAAATATTCATTTAAATCGTGTTCATGACTTGTTAAATCTGTCCTCAATACGCCTAAAGGTGAGGGCACACGAAATGTCTTGGTCGCGGAGACTTTTGTCGCCTATTAGAGTCTTGTCTTCAGTTTCAGCCACTGGCACTGGCACACGAGGAGACAAAAATCTCCAGTCGATTGTTTTCCACCTTGTCGATAATCACGTAGGGAACATGCACTTGAAAGGAAAAGGAATCTGATTGGATGATGACGGTCTGTCTTGCAGAAGATAAAACTATCGGAGACAATTATTCAATCATGTTGATAATCTTGTCCAGGAAGCATGTGCACACGCAAAATTTTTCTCAAGACTCTAATCATCTACAAAAATCTCTGACAAAGTCTGCTTGTGTGCCCGCACCTTTAGAGAAGATCTATTGACTGGTATTGACATAAAGTTTTTCTTTCTTACAGAAAATTGTTTTGCATGCAAAGTGGCATTTTCAGCATTTCTTAAAAGAAGGGTAAGATATTATATTTCTGTATTTGTAAATAATTTTCATATGTTTCTTAGTAATAATAATAATGATAAACTCTTTATTTTACATGGATCAGAATTATGTCCATTATACCAATTTACATGGAGCTCTCAGCCCTAGAGGACTTTAGATATCTTTTGTTGAACATAGTTTGCATCCAATACTGGGAGCCGCGGTGGCATAGTGAGTTAGAAGTTTGTTGCTAACCTGAAGGTCCAGGGTTCAATCCCGGCATAGGGCGAGATAATACCTTTGGATTTTTCAACCCGGTTTCCCCCTGTCAGTAATGCAGGTAAGAGGGGCTGACATGGAAAAAGCGTTGGATAAAGAAAAAAGAGCAAGCTAATGCCGCTGTCCTGGCAAAATTTCCCTCATTGCACCCTGTATGGCGTTGCCCGTCTTCATTAGCCCACATCGTGCAGAAAAGTAGGACAATGCCATAGCTACAACAATCCATTGGAAATACAATTACAATGCCTTCCTAGGATTTAAATGGTTATACACTGTAAAAAATAACATCAACATCACTAGTGAAATTAGGAGCAGAAAAACTGGACATTAAACTCTATTTCTGTTTATATTATAGTATTATTGTCGACATTGTGGGAAAGATTTTTGTAATAAATGTTGTAATCAAAAAGTACCAAGATCAGTGTTTGGAGCTACAGGTAAGATCTATGTTTCAAACTGATAGAGCTCGATTTAATATAATGGTGTCAGTTTAGGATATAAGTTTGTCTACAATTAAATAAAAACTGACCATTGTAAGCGTACCTTCCTGTCTGTTATTAACATTCTGCTTTCAATGTCATATCTGCAAAAGAAATTTGCCAGTTTATCTGTTCAACTCCAACGACTTGTATGATAATGTTTGGTAGGGACGCAGGCTGAAATAGGTCAGTTGTCTGATGATCTCATAGCAAGAAACAACATGTTTTAGGTTTTGTTTTAATATTTCTTTATGGCTTCACAATAGATGTATTGAGCACTATTTTAACATTTTGTGTTATTGTATGATAATGTTTAAATATGATTTTGTAGCCCCAGCTGCCCAGACGGAAACTGTATTGGTGTGTAATAATTGTCAGAAGTTACTAGCGACTGGAAAAGATATTAAAGTCAGTTGAACATCCTGGGAGAGCACTGTGTGAGTTTTTACAGACATTACTGGTACAAAATACATTGTGATTTGAGGTTTTAAATGGAGTAGTAGATGGGGTGATAGAAAGGTTTTTTTAAATTTCAAAATATTTTTGTCACATTTTTTATCTATATATAGTTTTTACTATGAATTCATAGCTTGATGAATTCTTTTATTTACTATTAGCTATAAGCATGTAAAATAACATAACACATTTTATACATAACCAACATAAAGTGTGTTATGTTCATGTACATCCTATGTATAAGCTTAAAGGGATTGTAAAGATGTTTTTTAAATTTATGTTATTTGTGGACACTTCGCAAAACATCACAAAATATGATATATCACAGAAACTTCGCAATTAGTGATGTCATCAAACACTTAGTTTTAGTGAAATTGCAGGAACCTCTGACGTCTGATGGAAATTTCGAATAGTGCAATGTTCCCTATACACATAACTAATTTATAAAACCTCTTAACAATCCCTTTAAATGGCCTTCACACCATAGAAATCACCAGTTGCGTATGGAAGCGCTCATAAAATTCTAACACAACTCAAAATGCAAGTGAGTTGTTGTGAACTCATTGCCACTTTCATTGTTCTCAACCCTGCTCAACTGGAAATCACTATGGTGTGAGACTATCTTAAGATGTACAAATTATTTTTTAGATTTTTCTTAGTATTTGTAATAGTAATTTGTATTTAAGAGTCATGTTATTGTTGATCTGTTGATAAGTATATTTTTATCATATACAGAATCTTCTTTTCTATCTTTTTTATTTAAGTGTAACTTTGTGGGCTCAAATTAATTTTTATGTAAGTCGAAAAAGAAAATGTCCTCAAATTTGTGAAAACTATACACCAAAATCTAGAGAATTATGCCCTTTAACGCATCTGAAAGTTTTAAAAAAAATCCAACCATTAATATTTTAAACACCAAAACTATTTAAAAACATTACGTAAGATTTTTAAGTTCATTACGCTTTTTGGAAACTGTTAGATAACTAGTGTATGGATTTGAATAAAATAAACGCTTAATTGTAGAGAAGGCAATCTAGGTCAAATTGCTTAATTAACAATTAGTACTCAGTTTTTAATTAACCCTTTTAAAACATATTCAGATTTACAAGAAAATACATTGCTATAAATAGCATACTTTAGAAATATTTTCAGTTATAATTTACGACGTGTTTGATATTTAAAATGTTTTATAAAAGAAGTGGAATGGCCCTTTTAAAGGGATTATTAAGAGGTTTTTAAATTTTTTTATACGTATCAATGGTGGGATGGTGCAAATTGATGCTATCAGTGTCCCCGATACACATACAAAGTTTAGAAAACCTCTTTACAATCCCTTTAAGATAAGTTTTGATAAAATTACAGTCAACTTTTCCCTATTTTAGCAGTCCTTCTGAGATGCATGTATTCTAAATTACACAAATTCTGATAATTCTCAAATCTACGTTCACACCAAGATGCATCTGAAGACAAATCAACAAAAATACATGATTTCGCAATAATAAAAGTGATACTTTAAAATCCCACCAAAATTAAGTAAAATCTTTGATGTCAATTTGCATGTGTATTTTCCAGTCTAAAGTCTGGGCTGAGAATTTTGGTAAACAGTCAGGGATCTAATCAAACTAAATTTCAGCTATCCAAAATACTTTCTAGATTTAAAATCTGATTTTTGGTTCATCTGCAATTAATTCAATAAAATGATAACAATTTAATCATAATATTAGAAATATTTTCAAAGAAGATAACAGTTTAATAAAACCTGATAAAAGCAGGAGTTTTTATGTTATTGTAAACAAACCATGTGTCAAAAAGTCTCAAACTTGGTCAATAAGTGTATATATTCATCAGTTTGACTTGAAAAAAAAAACTAAAAAATAGAATATCTATTATATCCATTAAACTTAAGTTATTATTGAAACATGCTTCTAAGTTTAATGAATTATTACTTAGTTTTATGGATATATTGGATTATAGAGGGATTCTGTTGTATAGTTATGACACCAGGTAAGTCCACTGATGAAAAAAGACTCATTTTGGCAAAGTGTCAATTTTTTGGTCATAGGAAGAGGAAAAGAGACCCTATTACCAGGTAAAACCAACTGATCTATATTGAAGAAACTGATTTTTTTAGATATATTTTTATGAATTTGTTAACCTTTTTTTTTTAAAAAATCTTGGCATCTTTACAGCTTATATTGTTATAGTATAATAGTCATGTATTATGTTTGTATGTGATAATGTTTGTATATATGTTAAATGTTCATAAGGTATATGCTTAGAAAGCGGGTTTTAGACAATCAAATGTCTTGCTAAATTGAATGTCTTGATGGATAAACATTTTAAAAATTTGTTAAGGGTCCAAGTAAATCATTTTGACTTCTTCATCAAGGTCATGAATTTTTTAGTAGTATTAGTATAATATTTGAGCGGTGGTCTGGGTCTGAAACTGGGATGTTGACAAATCCAAAGACGTATTGCATCTTGTTATGCTATTATTATTTTTATTATTTCAAATTTTCAAAGAACTGCTCCTTAATTTTAAAATAACTGCACGAAATTGCAAATGTCTTAAACTGCTGTTTTATGGCATTTCAGCTTTTGAATTTTTTTTCAGCCTAAATACTTTTAAAAATGGTTTCCATGGTTGCGCTCGATTGGAGAGTTCTGAACATGTTCCGTCTGTTCCAAATCTGCCATCAATTAAATGCTATGAAACCGCGGGATATGTTGCATCTATTTCCTTCTCCACCTTTTTGAATTCTGTCTGCACCTACTATTTTTTGGCACACATGGAACGCGTTCTGAACTCTGTTCTAACTTGTTTTATTGTTTCTGTCGTTTCCATAACTCGTGAATGTGCAGCACTACCAATCGAGCGGGCCCCCATATTTTCTATCACAATGATAAGCACAAGTACTGATGAAAATAATCTGTTTTACTTCAAATCAAAATATAGTTTTGCTCACAGTATTTTATTTATAATAAACCTTAGATTGTTTTTTGTTTCAAAATATTTATAATTTATTTTATTTAAGTATTTTATATGATTATATTTATTTTGTCATCAGTGAGTAGCAAATCTACCAAAAATCGACTGAAAATCAAACTTTTATTTTATTGGTAACAAGATAGTTCTTTAAAGAGATTGTAAAGAAGTTTTCTAAATTCTGTATGTGTATCGAGGACACTGATAGTATCAATTTACACCATTTCAATTTTCAATCAGACATCTGTAGTTCCTGCAATTCATTTAAAACTAAGTGTTTGATGAAACCACTAATCTCTAATATGCATTATCACATAAGGCACTTTGTGATAAGTGATGTCATCAAACTCTTTGGAACCACAGACATTTGACTGAAAATCAGAATGGAGCAAATTGATGCTATCTGTGTTTCCAATACACATATACAATTTAGAAAACCTCTTACTACATAATAAGGTACACATATTTAATTAAAGCAAAGTTTGGTGAATTGATTTTAAAGAGATTGAACAAAAATGATTTCCAAATTTTGTTATTATTTTTCATAAAAGCTCTCGATTCAACATCAAAATATTGCCTTTTTGGAATTTTCAAATTCTATAAAAGAAGTTTTATGCATGGCAAAGTTTGTTACTTTGGCACATTTTCTTCAGTCTGAGAAGTTGTGTTTTCTTATTGGTGTAAGCAAATATTAGAAAAATGTGCAGTAATTTAGAAAAAATAATTTTTGTCTGTGTATTAAGGATACACGACTTTGATATGCGTGTGACATTTGTTTGAAATAATCACAATTGTGCAAAAATTTGGTACTAGAAAAAATCATTTACTTGTGCAAAAATCTCAAGTTACTTAAGCTCAACTATTTTTACTTTTGTTTTGTTTTCAATGTTTTGATATAACTAGTCAATAGTCATATATTATAATCTTTCTTACAGTGTCTGTGATACACACAAGGATCTATAATTAACAATACTAATTAATTAATGTCAACCTCCATTTATGAATATTTTAAGCTCATGATGCTATCCTTGCAAAATTGCTCTAATTGCACACTGCATGGTTTTGAATCTTCAGTAGCCATTCAATTCCATGAATATTAAAGTGATACTATGTCTAAGAATGAACATAAAATTTAAGTTCTCAAGAATGGTCAATATGAGTATATATTCATCAGTGAACTTACCTGGTGTCATTAAGTTACAACAGAATCCCTGGAAAATCTAGAAAATTGGAAAATTCATAAAACTAAGTAATTATTATAATCTTAATATTAACCATTTTTCAATAGTTAATCGCATATTTATGGATAATTACTATGTTTTTTGGAATAATCAGATTATATAAGGATCCTGTTATGTTATTTATGACACCAGGTTATCTACTGATGAATATATGCTCTTATTAGCCAAGTTTAAAATTTTAGAATTTAATGTTCATTCTAAGACGTAGTATTCCTTTAAGAAACTTGAAAATTTAATTTAAATTATTTGATTTATTGTGGTTTCTTATTGTACTAACAGGTCTGGTTGAGGGATATAAAACTAAACATTTGCTTGTAATAATGTTAGTTTTAAAATTTAAATTCTTCAGCAATTCAAGAGAAATGTGATGACAGTATAAAATTCCTTAGAATGTTTTTGAAGCAATAATGAAAGAAAAGCCATATATAAAGATAAATAGCCAATCTTTGTATAATTATAGCTGTTAAAATTGTTAGTTATTGTCTAGTCAAGCTGTAGAAATCCTGTTTTATACCTGTGATGGTTATTTTGAATTTTCAACAAAAATATTATAAAGTATATATCTAAATATTACATAATGTCAAAATAGTACATTTGTCTTGTTGAATATAATATCAGTATAAATTATTGTATATTTGTCATTGGTTGGTATATTGGTAGTCAATGAAATGTATTTTAATGGTATGGTATAGTTGAGCAAACATAATTTTTTTCATATCTACAGGCCACTTTATTTGGTAGGGTTAGTAGTAATGCATAGAATTCGCCTAGTCTCTATCTGCAGGTCTGACTGTTCCTTATCACAGGTGCGATAAAAGTAGGGACTTGAAGTCTGGGTGTCAGAGACTAGAATTCGTTTACCTTCAGTGTCTAATATTTCTACCCCGAAATAAGGTAGACTGCTCATGTATGTTTTTGCTGGACTATATAAGTCTATAACCAAATCATTCAATCACTTTGTTTGTATTTAATCTAAATCAATCTTCTTTTTCCTCTTTTAAATGAAGTCACATTCTCTTCTCTTTGAGAATCTTTTGCACATGCCTGAAAAAAGTTAACTCCAGATACCAAATAAACTCCATTTTGTATTTTTTTTCTCATTTGGAAGAAGGCATGATTCATTAACAATACCCCCTCGTAAAAGGGATTGTAAAGAGGTTTTCTAAATTTTGTATGTGTATCAGAGACATTGATAGCATCTTTTTTTACCATTCCAATTTTAAGTCAGAGGCATGTGGTTCCTGCAGTTCCACAAAATATAAGTGGTTGATGACGTCACTAATTGCAAAGTAAGCCAATAAGGCCCTTCGTGATTAGTGACGTTATCTAACACTTAGCTTATATGGAATTGCAGGAACCAAAGACGTCTGATTGAAAATTTGAATAGTGTCTTCGAAACACAAATTTTTTTTAGAAAACCTCTTTACAATCCCTTTAATGAACATTATACATGTACATGTGATTAATGCAAAATCAACAAAATATTTTTCTCTATATGTCTTGTTTATGTTATATGTTATTAATTGTATAAATTGTTTATTGTATTGTGTATAATCTGTTTTTATTTATTGTATAGTTTGTTGTTACCGTATTTACTGAAGTAAATAACATACATATAGAAAGCGCTCTTGATGGTCAGAAATGGCTGCTTTGTCTTTTACAAAAACAAATATTTATTACTTTATGGTTTCATGACTATGATCTGGCTTTAGCCCCAAACTATCATGTGCGGCAATTTTTATTTAAAAAGACAGGTTCGCCATTTTCAGGTGTTGATTTTAGTCTTGAATATATGTAAAAAGTATTCAGAATACAAGAAATGCATGTAAATCACATAATTCATTCAAAAATACTTCAAACTAGGAATTTTCCTTTTGTATATTGTCACGTCTCAAGAAATGATCAGTCATTGTGGATAATTCTGGACACACATTGATTTGAAGGCTCAAAGTTAGACAGTGAGATGTGAATACTATAACTGATTAGCTTAGCTAAAAACATTTTCTTTCTGAGACTCAGATATGATTGTTCAAACAATGGTGAACCTGTCCCTTTAAGGGCTTTGTTCAATCAAAATGCTTTTACCAGCACTGGCACTGTATTTGTAATGAACACATGATGCTCATCAGCCATTTTGCTTATTCTATAGTGCATTTTATTTTTAAATTACTTTAGATCTTCATTTTCGGCCAAAAAGTATAAGCCAAAATATTATGAACATTCAAATTTATGCCTATTTCTTAAACTGCAGTGCATGAAGGAATAAACTTTTAAAAATATCAAAAAAATTGTCATTACTCATGTAGGTAATTAGTTAAATATTAATTACGTGTATTTTTTATTTTTATTTAAAACAACATTTAAACAACTGACAATATTTATATTTTTGGATGATAAAAAGCAATGGTCTAGTGATTTTACTTCTACTACTTTGAGTCCTTATTGCAACATTTAGAGTGATGATTATATTAATAAATTTTATGGCTACTCCTGGCTTATGACAATGAAAAATGTGGTGTTTCTAAAAACACTCTTAGTGCTAGGGCGTCCTAAAAACAGTGTTAAAAGTTCAGACTCTCGGACATCCCAGAGCTAAGATCGTTTTGAGAATACCAGGCCTGGGTCCTGTTTACACAAAAAAAGTCACTTTTCAGTGAATCACCTGACTTGCTCGATTCAATTTAGGAAAGTTACACCACAAATACCAAAACTATCTGTCCTGATGAAGGATTGAGTATCTAAAACGTCTTAACACATCAGCAGCATGAAATGAGTGTTAGTCAATTCGGGTTGAACTTACTGTTAACATTCACTGAGTGCTTTTAGAACATAAACCTACATAATACAGTAGATACAAAAATAATTTAAGCCAAAATTGTTTCATGGTGAAAATGATCTACCATTATGGTTATATGAAGCCATTATTGGTAGCAGCATGAGGTGCCTGATGATCTCGTAAACCATTTTCAAATTCAACCATTGGTATATTATTTTCACTGAAATAATAAAAATAATATCATCCAATAGAAATCTTATTAGATTAGATTTCTGCTTTTGATTGACAGGAGATAAAATTGTTATATACTTACTCTATATATCTGGTATCATCAGTAGAATATTGGGGTGGTAATCTATAGACAGCTGATAAAAGTACTATATACTTACTCTATATATCTGGGATCATCAGTAGAATATTGGGGTGGTAATCTATAGACAGGAGATAAAAGTACTATATACTTACTCTATATATCTAGGGTCATCAGTAGAATATTGGGGTGGTAATCTATAGACCGGAGATAAAAGTACTATATACTTACTCTATATATCTGGGTCATCAGTAGAATATTGGGGTGGTAATCTATAGACAGCTGATAAAAGTACTATATACTTACTCTATATATCTGGGATCATCAGTAGAATATTGGGGTGGTAATCTATAGATAGGAGATAAAAGTACTATATACTTACTCTATATATCTGGGATCATCAGTAGAATATTGGTATGGTAATCTATAGACAGATGATAAAAGTACTATATACTTACTCTATATATCTAGGATCATCAGTAGAATATTGGGGTGGTAATCTATAGACAGCTGATAAAAGTGCTATATACTTACTCTATATATCTAGGATCATCAGTAGAATATTGGGGTGGCAATCTATAGACAGGAGATAAAAGTACTGTACAGTTACTCTATATATCTAGGATCATCAGTAGAATATTGGGGTGGTAATCTATAGACAGGAGATAAAAGTACTGTACACTTACTCTATATATCTAGGATCATCAGTAGAATATTGGGGTGGTAATCTATAGACAGGAGGTGGGGGTAATGATTGCTGACTACTGTAAGCTGACTGGCGATTTCTATGTCTGCAATATAGAATAAATTATAACTTTTGTTTTATTTTGGTATCAGGACAAATAACCAGCAGAGCTTTCAAATTATATCACAAAAGCCAACTGAGTTTATTCAAGATGATTTTGGACTCTTAATTCACACAAAAATATTCTGCCTTTGTTAAAATGGCATAATATTTAGAATTTCTCAACCAATTTGCTTTTGATATGAGTCAGAGCACAAAGCTTATTTTGAAATTGAGTGTCGCTTTATAATTATTACCCTGCTAGAGTTGCTCTATAATATGCTGGCCCTTCTAGAACACCCGATGAAACTCTGCAGCTGGCTTTGTCAATGTGGCAACCCTGAAGAAAGTCCACATAGCTAATAATATTGTTTATTTAATATAATGAAATTACTTCTGTAATGTTCCTGGAGCTGAGTAACAGGAATCTCTGGATCTAAAACCATGTCTATATTTATCAGATCTATCTAATGTCATAGTACCATATTTCTCATACTCTAATAACGGTGTATCTCTAGTATATGACATACGTCTTAATGCTTTAGATGCTCTTCTTATTGTGTCATATCTTTGCTGTTCTCTGAAAATCAAAGAAATCTAAATTTCGTTCAAAATTCTTCCAGTTTTATAACATGGAGCAAAGTTATCTCTGCTATTTGAACTAATTGTCCAACAAAATTGGTTTTCATTGAAACTTTTCACATTCAACTAAATTAATAGAAAATGTCTTATGATAGCTTTAAAACTGATAACTGGTGGAAAAACATCCTCAGGAATAATAGCTGTTTTCGTTTACCATAATTTTTTTCCAGTTGAATATTTTGACTTGCAAAAGTAATGGTGTAAAATAATTGAAAAACAGCAATTTCAAGAAGACGCCACACAAAAGATGTGAAATGATAAAATCTTACTTACTCTACAGATATAGTCTTCTTTGATCTAGAAGATAGGAGAAATATAAATACAGATTCATAAGAAATGGAAGCAAAGCACTTTACAGAAATTGAGCACAAAAACAACAAATTTTTGTCTCAGTCTCAGCAATGTCACTGCACTAAGGTTTAGACAGTAAATAAGAGGAAAAGACATGGAAAAGGCGTAAAGATCGCCTTGACTTAAAATGATTTTAGTTCTCCAGTCATCTGATTGGTCAAATACTAAAATTGTTTTATATGTATTACAGTATGTCTTAAGATTTGAATTTATTTTTTTAACTTAGTCAAAAATAAGGCCCCAGATAGAATTTCTCTTAAATTCAACACAAGTATTTATCAAATAGCAAGTCAGATTGTCTTCTGCTAGGCGCTTGCTTACATGCTGAGAGTTCAAATCCTCTTCAATGTAAGAAAAACTCTGATGCCATGGCCATTGCTTCTGAGAGTCAGTTTTGTCCCCTTAATATCAATCTGAAGCAGAAGTAGGGCAACAAGCTTAATTTCAAAGTAATTCCCGAAAGTCTATTTTACAATTCTTACCTTTTAGAATGAGAGCAACAGAAACATAAAGATAAGATAAAGGCCAAAAAGATTAATACAGAGGTTGGTATAACACAAATATAAATAAACTCCATAAAAAATTCACGACATTTTTCATTGCCACAGCGACTCGGTGGTAAATAATGGTCTGTTATTGGTATATAACTGTCAGTTGGTAGAATAGTTTCCAGTTCCAATATTGGTACTATTGTTACGTTGGTATAGTTCATATAGTTCTTATCCATTGTGAAATTCATCTAAGATAAAAATTTAAAAATTTACATTAAAAGGCATGGTTCACCATTTTTGGATTCCGGTTTTTGAAGTTAACTTAGTGTTCATGGTGCAATTTGTGATCTATTACCTTTGATATCAAACAGTTGTTAACAGATATTAAACATTATGGGTGTATGTGATCAGGGTTTTAGAAGGAGATTTCCATCGTCATGCACCTTTGGCAAAAATTCCATTGAAACACTGTTATTTTCTAATCTCATACATAATACAGGTTATTTTTCAGTTTAATATTCTCATTCCTTAATTGTTGATTCTTATACATATCTTACAGAAGGGGTTTTCAACCTTTTTCTTTCTATTACCCCTTTCAGGATTGCATTGCCCCCTTTCCCATTAAATATTTTCTATTACCTCCCTACTCCCTATAAATCCTTCTTATTTCTTGATTTTCTCTTAGGTTTTTCCCTGCAAAAGAGCCTCATTATCCCTTAAAAATTTCAAAATTACCCTTGGGGCTTCGGGGTAAGGTTGAAAACCCCTGCCTCACAGCCTCATGAACTTGTACACATTCAGAGCAATTTGTTATTGTTAATGACACAACAAAAAAGCAAATAATGAAAACCACAACACCAGCACTGATTCCAAGCACTAAAAGCCTCTTGGCTCAGTAAATAAATTGAAATTTTTGCATATCTCTTCCAACCTTCAAATTATAATGGAAAGGACTAGATATAAAAAGTCTACACCTAACATAAAGACACAAATAATATAACTTTAAAACTTACTTTTACAAAGTTTTATGGCTGATGTTCTAAAAATAGAACCTAATTGCCATGACTTCCTGTAGCATTCCTGGAGGTAGATGAGATTAACCAGTCTCTCTCAATTCCAGCTTGGTTGTACCAGATTTTCACAGAAATAAAGAGAAATGATCTAGTAATTACAAGATAGAAATTTATATGTATTATTTACACAATGCCTTCCTTCAATATAACTTTCACTTAGGCTAATGAAAACAAACACCATGAGTGATATTATACCAGCAAGAAAAGTTACAAAACCGCTTTACAACACCTTTGTAGGGTAGTACAAATCTAAACAATGTTTCTCATTTTATCAAATAGGTTGAAACTATATTTAGGTTCAATCCTAAAATCATCTTTGAATCTTTCCCCTCGAACAAGGGGCATATCTTGAGGGGAGGGCCAAAAATGAGAGGTATCTCCTGGGTCAGATTGGAAGGGGCCTGGAGTCTGCCAGAGGCCTTAAGAAGATTTCAGATGACCTTAGATGAATTTTGAGCATTTAGAGGGCTTAATTTTCATTTCAAAATAAGACCTTTAACAGGGGGAGGGGGAGAGGGGGGAGGAGGGTGGAATAGCCCAATGGCCTACCCCCTAAATATGGTACTGTCCTTGATGGCTGATGAAAACAAAATAAAAAATACAAGAGAATAGATTGATTTAATTATAATATAAAGAAGACAATATATAAATATAATCTGAAATATAGAGGATATCAAGAGCAAGATTCTGAATAGTCTCTACACAATATATCTGACTATTGATCAAATCTATGAAGCATGTAAATTGATTATTGCATGGATTTTTCGTCAGATGCAAAATATTACAATTCTAAATATAATACAAATCTATTGAAAAGAAATTTATTGGTAAATGATCAAACAAATAGATTATACCATGCATCATCTAGTCACATCATCAACACAAGCTGATAGCATATCAGATATATCATCTTGTGATAAATGAAATAATGCAAGTAGGCAATTAGCATCTATATATATGTAAAGCTATTTTCAACACCCAGTTGAGCTACCCTGGCTCACAACCTTCATCAAGTTTTTTTTGAAAATTGCCCTATACTACAATGTGACTGTTAAGTGATTTTTAATAAGTCATCAAGCCTAATTTTTCAACCCACTTGTTATTGGATTAAGACAAACATATGAGAAGATTAATGCCAAGGACCAAGCTTGATCCTCAATCCTTGTCAAAATATTTTTTTTTAAATTTTTGCTCAATTTTTACTTTGTCAAAACACATGGAGTTGTCTGACTAAAGTCAAAAAAACAAAACTAATTCAAAATTTCATCTTTTAACTCCTGTTCAGTGAATTTCAGTCTCCCAAATCTTTAACTTTCCCAATCCAATAGGCTTGATTTTTTATATCTGAAATGTGCCAACAACATGAAACAAGCTCTTGTTGATTTGATATATATATATTATAAACAGAATAGATCCTCTAAATTCAAAATAAGACATACTTATAAATCTTAAAAATCAAAATTGGAGAAATTCTCCTATATGGATATACTTGTAAAATCACAAAATAAAAATCATTTTAACATTGAACACATTAGAATAAATTAACATAAATTATGGAATACTCTGAATAATTAGACTAGGGACAAAATCAAATGAAATCAATAAATATAAATATGATATTCGAATGATATGTTGGTGGATATGATATGTGTATATAGAAATAGATTAAAATGTAAAAATTCACATTATTTTTTCGCAATCATTTTTTTTGTGTCATTTTAAATAATAATAAATCAATTCACGGATCCGCGAGAACAGTTTAGGCACCGCCCACTTGGATATTCACCACGAACAAGCACACAAAATGACCTCCTTCCAATCTTTCTGGATATCTTTTGTTTGCATTGTGCAAATACCCCATGCACACCTCAATTTTTATTAATGACATATGCGTTGTTGCTTTGTGGGTAATAAAACATGGCCGCTGATTCTAAGAGGATTGGTCAATATTCTGCTGTAAATCATTCTCGCGGATCTGTGAATTTATAAATTCATTTAGGATCAAACAAAGTTTTCTAGATAGGAATGGTCATTTCATAATCAAATCAGTATAACAAAGCCAAAAAAATTGGCCTTGTGCATGTTGCTCTATATAAGATAAATCCAAAGTAATATTCTTGATTAGTATCAATTTCAAATTAATACATTATAAGAGCACTAAAAAAATATTAATTATGAAATTCAATCTAGTAAAACCGGTAAGAATATTGGATTTCTATATATTACAAAAAAAAAAATCAGCTCAAAATAGAAATAGGCAGATGATATAACACAGTTGTAATACTCAACTGTTGCAAATTACTCAAATTTCAATATATACTTCCTGTCAAGACTACAGTTCAAACTTTTTATGATTAGGTCTTTATGTTCTAAATTGGATAGCTAGAGCATTTAACTAACATGTAAAATCCAATATTATATCTTATGTATTGTTACAAGCTGTTAATTTGAGATCAGCTGGACACTTCATTGTAGATATATGAAAAATCGAATTTTACTTTGATATTCAGTCTTTGAAGAGACAAACTCTTAGACTTCCATTTCTGGAAATTATACATAAATCTGTTTGAAATTAAATCTGTTTGTATGAAATTCAGTTCAAAACCAATAACTCATTTTCTCAGACAAAATTTCATTGTAAGTTATGAATTATATGTGATAAAATCATGATAAAAAAAAATGTTGAAAAGAAACACTCGTGATAAAAACAATTAAATAGGGCATGTAAAAATAAAAGGGAAAAAATCACAACAATCAAAGTAAACCTAGCTAACAATCAACAAACAAACAATATTTATATAATATATATATATATATACAAAAATAACAAATCAAAATAGTGGAATGGACCATTGTTTACATTTCTATGTTGGTGCTAAAACTAATAATAATTTAGTAAATCGCCTTTTATATCAACAGTATATGTCCAGCATATCTTAAACGGATTGTAAAGAGGTTTTCTAAACTTTGTAATGATATGAGGAACGCTGATAGCATCAGTGGTTTCACTAAAACTATGTGTTTGATGACTAATCACTAATCGCAGAGGCCCTATGTGAAAAAATGCATATTTTGAGATTGGTGACATCATAAAACACTTAGTTTTAGTGGAATTGCAGGAATCACAGAAAGTTCATAGAAAATTGGAATCCTGCAAATTTTTGCTAAAAAGTGTCCTCAATACACATAAGAAATTTTGAAAACCTCTTGACAATACCTTTAACTATAGTGGCTTAGGATTTACTAAATAACATTTTCTAAAATTATTTTACTTGTAGGCTCAAAGAGGCAAGAGTTTAAAAGATGTTTTCCTTGTATGAATGACTAATTAGTCATTTTGAGAGAAAAAGAGTCATATTGAGCTTAAAGAGACATCAATTTTCCTCATAAGGAAAGTTTAACTTGTGACTAATGTGAGGTCATTGTGATGTATATTGAATTTCAAAAGATATCAGCCATCTTTTTAAAAAATCTGGTCTTAATTTATAGATAACAATTACTTAATAAATACATGTCACTGGTTACTTGTTGAGATAATATTCTGTTAAAAATGGTGGTCATAATCTAAGGATAACAATTACTCAAAAATAACTTGTCACTTGTTATGATATTCTGTTAAAAATGGGGGACATAATTTACTGATAACAATTACTTAATAAATAACTTGTTACCTGTTGTCGAGGTGATATTCTGTTAAAAATTGATTATATAGTTTATGGATAACAATTACTTACTAAATAACCTGTCACTTGTGAGATATTATATTTAACATGAGGACAAAATTTATTGATAACAATTACTTTTTAAATAACCTGTTACCTGTCGAGGTGAAAATCATTTATGGATAACAATTACTTAATAAATAACTTGTCACTTTGTCAAGATATTATTTCTCAAAACAGGACATAATTCATGGATAACCATTACTTATGTTTATTCTAATACATAATTAATGGATAACAATTACTTAATAAATTAATAATGTCCTTTCTGTTAAAAATGATGTACATAATCTATGGATAACAAATACTTAATAAATAATGCAGGACAATTTGAAATGATGTTCTAGTCCTATATTGGAATGTAAGAGATATGTAAGGCAATAGTAGATCTAAGACTGGCTTTATATAAATTGGGGCACAATAACGCATAAGGCATTTCATCTGGGGACGGAAGAATCACTAAATATTTAAACTTTATCAAAATATATAGAAATTCCGAGGTGATTTTTGTGATTTAAAATATTTAAAAGAAAAAAAATTATGAAATAACCCCTAAATTTTTTAAACAAATTTTTTTTTGAAAGATATATTAATTACTTCTACTTTTCCTTGTAGATGTTTAGAGTTACAAATGAAATAACTTTTTTACCGTGTTTAAATAATTCGGTGTTTATCATTTGGACCGTTGCCTGTTTAAAACGTCCCTAAAGAAGAATATATATTAAAAAAGTTGACAATTCTTTCTTTTAGAAAATATAAAGCCAGTATCTTTGTATACAACGTTTTTTATCATTTTAGATACCATTATCTTCAAATTCAACCTTAGTTTATACTTATGATTGTGATATATTATAAAACTGAATTTATAATATAATCATTCTGTATAACATATTCATATCAGCAAAAACTCAGTAATTAAATGGATTGGAAAAAGAAATCTTCTCATAAATGGAGAGCTCAACAAGTGCGCAACTATTAACAGTGATTTGTTTTGAATGCTTAATGCTGGCAATTTCAATTTTTGGAAAACAATTTTTATGGAAACTAGTCTTAGGAATCTAAATAAAATTCCGTACTTTCAAATACTCAAGTACATTAGAGAGGTAAATCGCATATTTAATGATAATTACTAAGTTTTTTGGATTTATCGGATTATTTAAGGATCCTGTTATGTTATTTATGACACCAGGTATATCTACTGATGAATATATGCTCTTATTGGCCAAGTTTAAAATTCTTAAATTTTATGTTCATTCTAATCTAAGACATAGTATTCCTTTAAATGACCATATCCCTTTAAATCTGTTCTACCTCAAATCAATTTAAAATTCAACAATTGTATTCCTTTAATATAGAATCATACCATTATCAATTTCTTTCTCTCCGGCTCTAGAATAACTACACCAACATTTCTGACCTGACATACACAGTAATATATTATTGATTAAAAATGCTCCAACGGCTCCCACTAAAAAATAAAAAGATATACCAAAATCTGTGTTGTCTTTGTTCGTCCACCCTGCTTTTACATCATCAGCTGAAAACAGGTTGACTGATAAATTGTTGATGTATAAACCAACGTAGATAAAGACAGCCAGCAATGAAAAGGTACCTGGAACAAGAAAATTAAACTATGTAACTTTCTGTCCTGGAGACAAGCTAGTGACATTTGAGATGCATTGCCAGTCATGTCGGAAAAATAAAGCCAAAATAAAGCCAAATCAACAGCCCTGTCTTCATATTTTGTCTGCAATTTCATTTTCTGCAATTTTTGTGCAAATTGGGTTATCAACTTTAAAGATGGGTTCCTTTATTTTCATTTATGAAAATGAAAATGCCAATACATATATGAATAGAAGTAAAGATGTTCTAATGACTTGGAAAAATACAAGTTTGTGTCACATGATCATAATTAATTCATAATTAGCTAATTAGAAGAGAATTACCAGTAGAATTCCAATGAGTGACCAATCAAGAAGGGTCAAAAAGACTTTTTTGTTTATCCAGACTTTACATACATGAACATATATGATTGATTAAAACTCTTAATTATATGCAATAAGAACATAATGATATAATTAAGAATACATGATAATTCATTAGAAACACCAATTATTCTAATAGTTTGCTTAATTTGAAACCCTTCTCTTCTAATTTAGCTAATTATGAATTAATTATGGACATGTGAGACAAACTGGTATTTTACCAAGTCATTAGAAAACCTCTACTTTCTATTAATATAAGTATAAGCATTTTCATTTTCATAAAAAAAACGGGGAACCCATCTTTAAATGTAAGTCAAACATGACAATATAAAATATATAATTGATATTAAATATTGATGTTTTCTATGTTATTACTGACAGTTAATGAATATTTTACAGATTTATTGATTACTGGATACATAAACCCTCCCACTGATAAAATATCTACAACAGATTAGTATGGCTAACTTTTTACAAAATGTCATGAATAAATCTTAGCAAGATACAACCAATTTTTGCAAGGATAACAACTTAAATTCACAAGGATCCTATCTACCAACTGGTCATTGTCCTAACCTCTTGGCATTGATCTTTCCGGGATTATCCATATCCATTTACAGCTGGGATCGACTGGAATTATGAGGAAAGGTGACAAACTTTCACACACTGATAGCAGTTTTCATGGTTACCGTTGTATTTGAACATGCTTGTGATTTCATCAATCTACCAAAATCCTTACTCCAGCCATACTACAAAGGGCAATTACTAGCTTTTAAGCAGCACAGTCGATTAGAGACTTGGTTCTCTACATAACGTCTTTGCTTGGTTATATTGAGCAAATGGTGGTTGTAGGTTGTGGGTTCTATGCTCAGTCGGCGGCGCAAGTCTGATGACCTTAAATGTTATCCTGATTCATAATTTCAGTCAACCCACTGGATAATCTGGGAAAGATCGATGATAAGAGGTTTGGACAAGGACCATCTGGTAGAAAGGATCCTTAACTGTGAACCTAAGTTGTTATTCTTGTAAAATATAGTTGTTTCTTTTCTTTCTCATGACAAGTTAAACTACATAACACTGGCTGGTAGAATAATCTTGTTTGAAAAAAAGACCTTGTTTCAAAAAAGTACATTTTCAATTCCCTAAAATATATAACAGCAATACTTACATGACAATCCATTCCATAGATATAATCCCATTTCACCAGTGACTGTTTCTATAGGTTTACCAAATATATTATAAACTGTAAAGCCTATAGCTATCAGACCCCATACAATACCTAATGATAACATAACTATAGTACTGACCCACAGTCCAAAATGTGATAGGCCATCATCATTTAATTGTTGAACTGAAAAAGACAAAACAAATTTTTTTTTTTACAATATACAGAAGCTGAGCTGAGCAAAGATATTTGAGCATATCCAATACAAATTACAGCATAAATACAAAAAGTCAAACTGTTTCATTTTAAGGTAGAATTATGGTGAAAGGTACCAGCAATTAAATTCATCTGTTCTAGATACTAAACATTCAGAAAATGCAGAAATAAAAACATGATAGTTTTACAAATTTCTATGTCAGAAAAATAAAGCCCTGTAGTGCTGAACAAATATGCCATGTTCTGTTTTAATATATCTTTTTTCTATATAGCCTGAAAATATTATTGATGTATTGAACACTATTTTAATAGTGAAAAATATTTTGTTATTGTTCATACATTATCTTAAACATAACATTCCTAAAAATGTCTTTTCAATGATATTTTCACTGATTTTTGTTTCTTGTCAGGCTTTGATAGAATAAAATTGTTTTCATCTATATGGGATTTTATGGACTCTCTTCTCTTAAGTAGGTTGTTGATACAAGTATTAAAGGGATTATAAAGAGGTTTTCTACATTTTTGGTGCTATCAGTGTCCCCGATACACATTACAAATTTAGAAAAACTATTTACAGTCCCTTTAAAGGTAAGAAAATGAGATCAATTGTTAGGGAATTCTTTCCATTAATAATTGATCTGTTATTTGAGACAATATTGATTTTGAAGACAAATGGCTACTGAACTTTGAACCCAGGGGAGATTTTGAATTATTTAAGGCTAAAACACTTGCGTCATTAGAACAAATTTCAGTCTCATCAGACAAACTGTTTTTCCAAACATCTTTTTGTTTCAATTTCAAGTTCTGATCCAAGCTTATTTTTTTTTTTTTAAAAATACACAGAGATCAAACCCCAGAGAGCCTACATTATATCATGACAGTCAAAATCAGTAACTGGTCAAACGCTAGTTAAAAGCAAACTGTGAATTGATTTACAGGCTGAGATATCTCAGTACAGAATCTAGTATTATTGTTAGCACATAAACTCAAACAGAAAGTCAAGGACTTGCTATGTGACAAACAAAATACTATGATCACTATCACTTCCTTCTAAGAAAATAATCTAAAAATCTTAGTGATATTAACTGATAAGACACCTATTTAGTTAGATTGAAGTCTGTAATATAATATGTACAAAGTTTATGGTCACACCTTGATCAAATCAATAAAACTATGATTTCATAAGACCAATTTTATAATCCATTACTTATATTCTTATATAGGGCTGGGTAAAATGATTTTAAAATTTCTATTATCGATTACCAAATTTCTTAATCGATTATATGTCAAAGTTACATTTTCTCCATTGTACCCGTTAACAAGTAGTAATCTCTTTCACATAGGTTCCCTTCAACACATAACTCTCAGACAATAAACTATAATAACTGATCAAAGCAAAGAATATACTTCTATGACACAAAAAATAACCCATGAAATTCAGAATTTAGGCATGTTTTTAATTTAGTAATTAACGGATTTCTCAATTAAATTATTTTGATTATTAATCAATTATTGATCAGTAGTCTGCCATCAATAATCGGTCTCAGTATGGTAATCGATTCCCAGCCCTATTCTTATATATATTATGTTTGTCTATATATTTGCTTGAGCCTGCTCAATTTCAGCCATGTGTAACACTTATCAGAATTAAAATCCAATATCATGTTTTCAAAAAACAATGACAATACACTAAGGAAGAGGACCTTGTTGTACAGGCATAATTAACAGTCCTAGTGCAGTTTTAAGAATATTATGTTGTCATACAGATAGCTGTTACCCAGATCATTTGTCAGAATAACATTATAACAAACTATTCATATGACTAAACCCTTTACCTAAAATTATAAGTCATTATTACTATGACTATTATGATTATTACAATAAAGTCATCAACTTTGATGTAAAACCTAACAAATCTTATATTTTTTTCAAGTAAGCTCTGGTCCCATTGATACAGGTTAACTTGACATTGATCATATCTACATAGATCATGAATATTTAGGTCACGTAAGTTGACTTGACCAAACAGTTTATCAAAGGTTTAGTGCCTCAAAGATCAAATTTGACTTAAATATTGCCACCATAATTTCAAGATTCATAATATATTAAGATATTAAGATAAAGTAAGCTTATTCTTAACAGGCCTGTAGCTAGAGATGATTTAAATGACTTGTTGATTCGCTATAGTTGAGCCCCCTTCAAAATATTTTGCTATGATTTTACAGAGGGAGATTTTCAATTCAAAATTTGTCATTTTCACATGAAATTTTCTTGGAGAGAAGTGTGTTCATTTCAAGTGCAAATTTTTCAAAATATTCATGGACCCAAAGGCATTCTAAGACAATTGGTGGGCACTATCATATTTTGAATATGAGAACATGAGAGAAAAAAAAATCAATTTAGAACTCAATGTGGCCAGAGAGTAGGGCCTGATTCTAAAGAATTTCTAAAATGCAGATATCACAATAAACATGGTGGTTTGGTGGAAAAAAAGAGTTTTTGAATAAATTCACTAAATTTCTTTGACTACGCTAGTGTTTCATTTGGTTTTGATGACAGATTACCATGTATCTATATGCATTATTTATCTAAAAACCCTGAATATTCAAACAGTAGTTAATTTTAACATGTTGATACACTATAAACAAGATAACCCTACTGAGAACAAGTAGAAAGTAAACATCCTATAAATAACAAGAAATGATAGGAAAACCAATATTTAACCTGAATAATCTTATAACCTAGCTAGCTAAAAAGTTTTTAACATACACAAATATTATCATCGCCAAGGACCAGCTGCTAGAAAGGATCCTTAACTGTAAACCTAAGTTGTCATCCTTGTAAAATATAGTTTTCTTTTTTTCTTTCTTTATATCTCCATGACATAAATAATAGAAATGCCCTGAATTTCACATCTTAAAATTCTACCCCTGTCCAGTCAGCTGCTAAATAGTAAATACCAGGGGTGAAAATTGCAACCACCCTAACCCCCTTTCCTTCAGATTGAAATGGGATCAAAATTAAAGGAAGATAGTCTTATACTTCGAAATTTCATTATACAGTCATTCGATAAAAATATAAATGAAAATTGGTTGTACTTACCATAAATATCTAGAGATCTATCCCCAAATCCATAGTTAAGTGTTCTCTGACCTTTGAATAAACCAAGTGTTATTATTCCAGTATATTTGGGAAAGTCAGCACTAGCGTCATCGGTGTTATTGTTCACATCAGATATTGTATGATTTTTAACTGGGTGTGCAACAATCCAATTTTCAGTTGCAAATGCCACAACCATCAAAATCACACCAGCCAATCCTAAGAAAAAGGTTAGGATTAAATATCCTTTTTTGTTGTCTCTCATGATAATGCTTTTGCGATTTACCACGGTCTTTTTTCGTCAATCTTACAGTTATATTACATTATTTTAAAGCACAGGATGAGGTAAATCTCATTTTATGTTATTATTCATCAGACATCTTAAAAAGCACCTGTCAATCACATATAGAATTGTCGTCCAGACGCTATTTGCGGTCGACTTTTTTTAAATGCAAGTTTCGTCTGGATAATAAAGACATAAAACTGATATCATTAGAACATTTTTAGTTTCGAAAATATTTTTTTTCTTGTCATATTAGATCTATGGGTTAATTTTCGACAAATTATTTTGTGTCTAATACTCATATCCTAGCATTTTTCAATTTTATGGTTAGTTTTTAGTGAAGATAAAGTTATATTTAAGATTTTAAGATATATACGAAAATAAAATAATCAATTAAGATGGCCGCGCTAGCAAGTATGATGATTTATAAAATAATTTGTTGTTTATTTTTTATATTATATGATGAGCTTCTGGAATTGCATGATACAATCGGATATTCGGTGAAATGTTTGAATGCGTCAAATGACAGTTACAATTTCCCTGCCACATTATGCATTGTATTTACCGTAAAAGGGGAGTTCGGGGATTTTGCACCTTCTTTTGTTTACTATTTTGGAATAAAACATCGAAGGGAAATAATTTCCCGTTCTCCACGTCTTAGTCTTACCCTCTGTGCTATGTCATGTGTATTGAGGGAAATACTTAGTGACATTTGATATTACACCTCTTATAATTTCCATAGATATAATGCCCTGTGCGTGCAGGGATCAGTAATTCATCTATGATTAATATTCATACTGACATTGTATCTGTATTTTCAATAGTAGGTAAGATCTATATGACCAATACGAAGAAATGAACAACTTTGCATTAAATACATACCTGGATTATATCAATGACATTAAATTCTGTATTGAAAAGATTTTGATCTAATTTTTCAAAGTTTGATGAATATTTTTATGGTGAATAATCTTTTAACACATTTGTCTTCTGTTTTTAGAATTAAAGCTGAAACATGGGCCACTTGATCAGTGGTCCACTAAAGAACAGTTGGCTTTGGCTTGCTCTGTTATGAGAAGTGGTGATCAAAATTGGTAATTGAATGTTTTTTCAATTCTTGATCATACTATATTTCATTACTTTTTTAAAAAATAAGATTGCCATTGGTACTTTAGGGAAAGAGGGCAATGGGCTGAAGCTCATTCTCTAAGAGAGGTTGATAAATCTTGATTTTTTTCTTAGTTGTTTTAAGCTCTTATCCAACATGTTACATAGCTGTCATGGCAAAGTTTCTTGCATGGGTCATTGCCTGGTTTTGCTTGTTTTTGCTAACGTATGTAGCAGAAAAGTAGGATGTAAATTTTTTTTATTTTGGTTTTTAAGGGTGTCAGTAAGCCGAACAGTTAAACCTCATGGAGAACCTGATAGAACACCAGAATGGTTCTCACAAAAGGTAATAATGTTAACTACAGGCTGAAATCAGAATGTGTTTATTGAACCTTCTGTGATGTAAATAAGGATTGGTCTAAAAACTTGCTTAAAGGACAATGGTGCCAAATTTTAATCTAAAGAAAAAATTTGGAAAAACATTGTATTTATTTGAAAACATAGCATGAAAAATTATGTTTGTTTGTATTTGAAAATCATGGCAATACTGAAACAAAATGATTGCTTTATGAATAGTATTTAGCATTGGACTATTTAATATGCAGTGTATTATTGCTTGACCATAATTTTGATTTAAATCCTCAGTTAAAGTCAGTCATGTATGTTGTGATTTTTTTTCTCAAAATATTCAAGGTCATATTTTTTCATTATAGAACTGTGCTCTTCAATATTCAGATTTATTGGAAAAGGGGGACACAACAAAGTAAGTCGAGAATTTATTCTCTTTTGGGATAGTGGGCTTATGTTATAAGACTAAAATGACAATGGTACTCATAATTGGAATCCAAAAATCTAGAATCTTAAGAATTAGATTTCCTTCTTGAAGCCTGTCATTGAATACTTCTATCAATAGCACTAGCCATATTTAAAATTCTTTGTCGGAATTTAGGAGAAAGAGGGGAGAGAAAGGAGAAGTGACTGAAACATTCACAGAACAAATTGTAAGAAAATTAACAGAACAGAGAATTGAAGAGTTAAAAAAGATAGTGGTGGAACAGCAACAGAAATATAAGTAAGAAGTATTTACTATCAAATGTGTTACTGCATCAGTCAAATACATTACTGCAATATTTAAATAGTTTAAATATGTTACTGCATCAGTCATATATTCTCTTGCAATAATCAGCTAAAAGGGACAGGTTTGCCATTCATTTGATCAATTTTACATTAGACTCAAAAACAGGAATTAACTAATCAGTAATAGTGTTCACAGCTCACCCTCTAAATTTGAGCCTTCAAATCAATGTGTGTCAAGAATTATCTGTGTTTGAAAGTTAAAATGCAACTTTACTTTTCTTAAGACTTTGTCATAGAAAAGACACATGTATAGAAATAGAAAGTGATGAAATTCCTAGTTTGAGGTATATTTGAAGGGATTTTGCGTTATTTATGCAGTATTTAGTACTTCTGAGACTATTTACATATAATGAAGCACCTAGTCAACCCTCGAAAATAGCGTATAATAAATATTGCTCTATTTATAGGAAATTAAAGAAAGATATAGAGTTAATTAAGTCTGGACAGTTAGATGAAAAGTTACCAGAAATATGGGATTCTATGGTTGAGTATGTATTACTTTTCTTCTATTTGTAACAAATATGTCTGGACATCTTGCTGATTTGACTATAGTTGTCAGTCAGTTATGTTTGACTTAAGCATGTAAATATCTTATTTCTGCAAAAATTGGATGAAGGATGTAAGACCTTTCAGAATCACAAATATATCCTGAAACAACATAACAGATCACATTGTGGAGATTAACATAATAAAATACCACTTCTGTTTTAGAATTTCATTTTTATACGCCTACATTATGATGTGATGGTATATTGTTGTCGCCCCTGTCCTTTGGTCCGTCAGTCGGTCCATCCGTCCGTCCACAATTGGCTTGTGAATGCAATCGAGACTACAGTTTTCATTTGATTCAAATGAAATTTGGTGTGATCAATTATAATGATAAGATCTTAGACTAGTTGGAATGTGACGACCTCTCGATGAACGTTTTTGAGTTATTGCCCTTTATTTATGAAAAACATGTCAAAATTTGTATGTGAACACAATAGAGACTACAGTTTTCACCTGATTTAAATGAAATTTGGTATGAATATTCATAATGATGAGATCTTAGTCAAGATTGAATTTGATGATTTTTAGATCAACGGAATTTGAGTTATTGCCCTTTACTTAGTAAAAACTCATCAAAATTTGTTGGCTTAACGCAATAGAGGTGACAGTCTATGTCAGAATTTTATTAAATAATGTATGTTTGTTTAAATCAACAATATCTTTCAACAAATTAAATTTTTGGTATGATTCGACACAGATTGGTGACCGCCCTTGTTATACTGAAAATGTATCAGGAAAGTGGGCGTATTTTGCTAGGCAACCACTTAATAGAATTAATAATAATTTACAGGGAAAAGAATAAATCTCAACAGGCACAAACAGATAAAACAGATCTACCAGGTAAAGATTTTATACTAGTCTTCACTGTTTGTTCAATCATACATACCTTAGTCTCTGAAACAGAATTTCAAGCTAACCTCAGTTAAAGTGTTGACAGCTTAACTTTGAAGATTTGAGGGTTATTCTATTATTACCTGTCTAGTTCTTCTGAAAACCATTTACGTATATTCAACCTCATTAATGCCGATTGTTGCCCTGTTATGAGGTTATTTGTAGTGATGAATTTTTTTCATTTTGTTATCATTGTTTATTCCTAGGATCCAGTAAACAGAAGAAGATAACAGAATCAAAGACTGGTGATAATATACAAGATGTTGATGATTCTACTCAAGATTCTGTAGAAAGTGGTGGTATAGATGTTTCTGGGGTAGGTACACCACTGAAAAAAATCTTTCATAGATCTGTTTCTATTGATATAAATGTTTTGTGTTATGCATTCTATTGAGTGGACTCCACCTGCTATTCATGATCTGACAAAATTGTTACGCAACACATGTTGTAGGTCACTACAATATTAAACCAATCAAATACTTATATCATGTTTAAATTATGACAACTTTTGACAATAATAAGTTAAGATTCACCTGGACACAACTTACAGAAGAATTTTGTAAGATTATGGATGACAAGGTGTAGTAATCCACTTTAAAACACAAAACAGATGATTATGGTCTGTAAGTTTAAATCTGGCTGTTTAAATTATGACTGTTTTGAGTCACATTGGATCAATCATATTGTAAGGTTGTGGTAGCTTTTTTGCCGTGCAATCACCAAAATGCTTTTGCTTTTCACACCTGACAAAATAATTTTAGTACTTAAATCAATTTGCTGCTTTAGACATTTATTTTTTCATAACAAATCAAAGCTTAAAAGGAACATAAAGAGGTTTTTTAAATTTTTAGGTGTTTTAGGGACACTGATAGCATCAATTTGCACCATTTAAATTTTCAATCAGACGTCTAGGGTTCCTGTATTTCCCCAAAAACTAGGTGTTCAATGAAGTCGCTAACCGCAAATGGCCTTATGTGATAAAGCAAATTTTGTGATTAATGACGTCATCAAATGTCTTTGAGGAATTGCAGGATATACAGAAAATTGGAATGGTGAAAATTGATGCTATCAGTGATTTCAATAGACATACAAATTTAAGAAAACCACTTTACAATCTCTTTGATAAAAATAAAACTTCAAAATAACTAAACAGGAAACAGAAAGGTAATAGATGCTTAAATGGATATCTTAAGGGATACTGTGATCTCTTTTTTTGCATTTATTTATATTTGCCTGGATTTCAGTCAACAAGTCTTCTTATCTTCTTTAGTCTTAATTAAAAGTCTATCATTTAGATTTGGGATAATAAGACCAGTATATTCTTTTCCTAAATAAGTCATTTCTGACTATAAAGAGAATATTCTTGTATATTTTAGTTATCTGATGATAATCTAGTATCAACACCAACATTGCTAGCTCCAGCACCTACCATGACATTAACCATACCACCACCTAATGTAGCTAACAGTGGTACTAAACCACCCACATCTCCCCTACTCTCCTCATTATTACTCAGTAAATTAAAGTCTGCTGATGGACTACAGCAGTTGAAATTGGTAAGGTTAAAACTAATCTGCTTGTCTTCTGACCAAAACTGTGTTCACTTTAAAGGCTTTATAAAGAGTTTTACATTGGGTTTAGGGTTTTCATAAACTAATTGCATTTTGTATTTTTGAAGTAACACTATAACCTTGTGCCAGTGCTTTTTGTTGAAAATAAACTCTTTCAACCACCTTAACCATGCAGTGTGCAATGAGGGAAGTTTTGCTAGGACAGCAGCATTAACATGTTTTTATTTAATTTTCCACCATCCAGGAATCTTTAAACATGCACAGAGGGACCTCTATTTATTTTTCATCTGAATGATAAAGCAAGATCAAAGATTTAAAAGAAGATTATAGAACAGTCATTATTTCTGGAGGCCAAAAAAACTAATTTGCTTATATCAAGCAGGAAGTCCAGATTTGAAATAATATCTATCTTCTATTTCTCCAAAAGACACGATTTGAGGATAGGAACTTAAGTTCTCAAAGTCTCTTGTTTACTTAAAGGTGCGGGCGCACAAGAGGTCTTGGTTTGAGACGTTTGTTGCTGATTGGAGTCTTATCTTGAGTTTCAACAACTGGCACGGGCACACAATGAAACAAAAATCTCCAGTCGGTCGTTTTCCACCTTGTTGATAATCACATGCAGAGCATGCAATTGAAGGATGATGACGGTCTGTCTTGCAGACAATAAAACTATCGGAAACAATTAACAAACTTGTTTGGTATTATAAATCCTGTTTGGAGATCGATAATTTTGTCATGGAAGGGCGGGCACACGCGAGATTTTCCTCAAGATTCAAGTTGGCAACAAAAATCTTCGATCAAGACTGTTTGTGTGTTCGCACCTTTAGCTTTGGACTGTGTTATTAATACTGATGTTTTAGTCGCAAAATACTTTTATGGTCTTCAGGAAGCAGAAGAAAAGCATCAGCAGCAAATTCTAGCTACACAAGCAGCAGAAGAAGCTACAGGTCAATCAGATACAGAAGGTACACCATCTTCTGGTCAATTAGATCTACAAACATCTACACCAACTACAGGTTTGTTTGGAACTATACTCAAGTTTTTAGCATAACTCCTTTCAATGAACATTTCAACTATGATCTAGCATACCAATGATGAACATGTTCACATGAAAAATTTGTTCCGTTGTTTGGATAGCCAAATTTACAGATCCTACGACAGTTTTATGAAAATGATCAATATTTTTTTGCCATCAGTAAAGTGTAGAACGGCGTTAAACGAATCTTATCTGTCGGCTGCTACAGTTTTATGATGATTTTTCTACAAAAATTGACAAGTATATTATCAAAAAATAAATATTGATCGATATGAACTTGTATCATAGTGTAGACATGAAGTAGGGACACAGGCTTAAACAGATCAGTCGTCTGAAGATCACGCAGCGCGAGACTCTGAGTAACAACATGTTTCAGGTTCTGTTTAAATATTCCTGTAAGTTTATTTATTCAAAGATAAAGTTTACGTCAAAATTTGAATAGTTAAGAACAATTTTTAAAAGTTCTCTTAAAAATTAAAATTTTTGATTTCAGGTGCCCCAACCCTATCTAAGTTATTATTTACTCCTGTCAGTGGTCAAAATAAAATAACAGTTTCACCACAGTCAGTAACTAGTAGTGGTAATAAACCTAGTATAATAATAAATCAATCAACTACTACCGATACATCAGGTAAATATCTAACTAAATCTTATTTTTGACAAGCCTTTAGGTGAAGTCAGTACTATTCATTGTTGATTTTGACTGGTTTTATAGGCTCACATCAAATGTCCATCCACAAATTTATGCTCGTAAACACTCCAGAAGGCACAATTCTTGACTTGATGTAATTGTTTGTTATCACCCAAGGATGAACCCTAGAAAAATCGAAAATATTTAATTAGAGTTATTGCCCTTTTCCTTGAAAACGTGTTCGACACTTTTGACGACAAATTCTTGACTGATTTTGGCGAAACTTGGTGAATTTGTTTATTTCGAAGAAGTACTCTATCAAAATAAGAAGAATGGCAAAATATTAAACATGAGTTATTGTCCTTGTTCTTGAAAACACCTTGAACTTTTAGCTTTTAAACACTCTAGAAGGCTCAATTCTTGCCAGATTTTGTCAAAACTCAATCACCCAAAACGTTCAAAAGAAGTGTATGACTTAAGGTTAAATATTCATACTGGTGATTGTTACTGTACTTCTTTAACTCAAATCTGCCAGTGGGCGTATATTACCTTGCCTGGCAAGCTATTTTACAGTATGTTGTGAGCTAGAAACCAGGTTCAGAAGATATATAAACATAATAATATTATCAATGTAATTTATTATGTTATTCAGCTGTAGCTGTTGAAGAAACAGTTAATATTAAAGAGGAACCTAAGGGAGATAATGATGTTGATATTGATGAGAAAGCAGAAGTAGTTGTAACAGACGACAACAGTCAGACTACAACATCAACCAATCAAGATGATGGCCAAGTTGTAAGTATAAATTATTGCAGGAATTTGCCATTTCAAGAAAGGCGCCATTAAAAAAATTTAGGAATTTATTTAGATAATAATATTCAATATAAGTTTGAATTTGATATTATTGCCTCCATTTTTTAATTCAGCCTATTTCTGTCTTTATTTTTGGCTACTTCAGTTTTTGGGAAATTACATCAAAATTAACATACCCAATAAAAGAACAAAACTGTTCAAGATGATATTAGGATGTCATGGAAATAACAGCTATTTTCAAATATTTGAGCCCACATGGTGCAGAAAAGTAGGACGTAAAACTCCATTCATTTCATTTCAAATATTTGAAGGTTATTTGTGATCATATTTTGATTACCTGTGTGTTAGTCATTCCCATGAAAACAACTCGTAAGAAAGAAGAATTTTTAATTTCTATCATTTAGTCACAAGATGAAAGTGAAGTTGGTATTAGTTTATCTAATATTGAAATTAAGGAAGAACCGCCATCACCAGCTAGCAGTGTTAGTTCTAAAATCAGTGAGAGTGGTGGGAAATCATATCCTAGAGGACGCAGAAGTGAGTAGTAAAGTTTGAGTAACTCTTGAAATGATTAGTTTTTTTGACTTACTCTTTCATCAAGATCAGCTTATAGATTTAAAATCCCAGTTTTGCCCTATGAGTTTTTTGGAAAGGAAAGTAAACCAAGGCTCTGTATACTATAGATCTATCTGCAGTTAGGAAATCGAAAAAAAAGTAGGCTTATGTGTCAATCTTTTGCTTGTTGTTACACAGCATTGCTTGAATTCCTTTAACATGTTAGGGGCAGAAATGTAAACTCTGATTTATTCTTTTGACTTGGTTAATTCAGACAGACATTACCATTTTGTGTGCAATGAGGGAAAATAATCTATTGATGATGAATCTCAATCCAGATGGCCTAGATGCTGGAATTGGTTATGACTAAGACAATACAAAATAAATAGTCTGTTTGACAAGCCTTTTTTTAAAAAATCGGGGCGAGAGGGAAAATTTATTACTTATTATTTATAAGCGCTTTTTTAGATTTTCAACTGGAATAAATCAGAGCAAGTGAAAGCATTTATTATTTATTATCATAAATTTAATGTAGATTTAATATTAAGGCAACAATCAGGCATTTTTGGGCCTGGAAAACAGACTATTTATGTTGTATAGCCTAAGTAAGTGCTGTTTTTAGTTGACACTTCAGTGGGCATATGTTACCTTGTTTGTAAACCTATTTTATCAGAAATATTTATCTTGTGTTTCTAGGTATGTCTTCTAGAGGTAATAAAACTAGTAAGAGAGTAACAAGAAGAAGTGTTGTGGTAAGTAATTTAGTGACAAACATCTATACACTCTTGTCGGTAAATCAAATTTTAATGATTAGTTTTATATAAATTTAGATATCAGTTTCTAAAAAGAATGTAAGTCTTAGAATGACTTTAGGTTAAAAATATAAAGATATTCACATATTAGGGAGATTATTTGAAATTTCTTGGGCGGATATAGAAAAGTGATATTTGAAATAAATTCTATTGTTATCAGTAAAATTTATATATCTTTAGAAGTACAAAGATCAAATAAGTCTGTCCAGGAATAACCCAAAAAAAGAAATTGAGCTAATACAAAATAATAATGATCTCACAATACCTCAAAATAAAGTGAACTAGTCATTTATTTGTATTGAATTGTACCTGAATGGGTATAGGATATGTTGGCAATTATAAAAGTGCCGGTATGTATTATCCATTGGGCAGTTTTCTTCAGTATGAAAAAGCACTCTGTAAATATACTTATTATCATAAATCACATAGCGTGAAACTCTGAGTAACAACATGATTTAAATTCTGTTTTAATATTTCTATATGTTATTATGATTTACTAGGAGAAAGATGATACTAGTTCTAAACATAGTGAAGGAGAGTTTACTGATGATGATATAGCTAGAGAAAGTGATGATACAGGATCTATATTAGCTACTCTACCTACTGGTTCACTGTGGCCAGACTCTATACCTAATAGTCCAGCGTCTATGTCAATGTGGTATGTACTTTTGTCCTAATTTGATTATTCTTGATGTTTGCTTCTCAAAACATCTTATATGGTGTTTGTTGTCAATATGACACCCCCTACTTTTAAGTAAATTCTTCCACACATGCAGATTTTCTACTAATATGAAATTTCAATGTATGCTTGGAAGAGTTCATTAATGAAATTAGGGGTGTTTTTTTTTTTGCCTGTCAAATTAAACTGTCTCTTGAATGGGAGAAGTAAATTGTATAAGTTGGATAAAAGATATTTAACCACACACAGAAATGGTGCACAGTGTGTTTTTAATTATACAAACCAGTTAGTTAGCTCTTTTGCAGATATTTTAGCTTAAAATTACCATTGTCAAAATGGAAAACTGTGTCTAATAAATCATAATATGTTAACCCTGTCAATTTTTGTGTCTTTCAGTTCTGATACAGAAGATGAAAAAGCGTATAAAATTTGGAAGAAATCTATCATGTTAGTGTGGAGAACAGCAGCTAATCACAAGTAAGTTTCAGGATTTATTTCCCTTCTTTCACTGAAGAGCTGATGTAGCTCTGCAATTGACTATTATAGATATGAATACATTTTTGACACAATATCCCTTTCCTGAAAAGGTTGGATCGATAGCACAAACATGCATTTGGGGAACCTTACACCAGTGTGCAACTTTATGTGTCAACTCTGCATCAAATGATTTTCTTTTGGTTGTTTTTTCAAGCATTTTTAGTTTGACTGAGAGAATTTACAGCTGTATTTTTAACAGAAATATATTCAATTATTATTTCAGATATGCTAATGTTTTTACTCATCCAGTGACCAATGAGATCGCTCCTGGTTATTTAAATGTAGTGCACAGGTAAATTAAGGTTTTTTTCAATATCCTACTAGCATGTTATACTTGCATTCCCTCAAATACACAGAATATAACACTAATCAATAAAAAATATCAATTAGAAATTTTTTATGGACGACAAATGCTGAATTTAATTATTTTCATCCAAAGGACACTTTCATTTTTCTCTACCATGTAAATTTGTTTTGAATGTTAGTAAGACAGAACAACTAAGATATTTGAATATAAATTACCTAAATTATAACTAAATTTTAAATCCATACATTTGCTTAGGTCATATTTATGAGATATTGGTGGCAAAAAAGCCAAACTTGGTCGTTGTGGTGGTGCTCAATTGGAGAGTTCTATTCCCTTCTCCATTTTGAATTCTGTCTGCACCTACTATATTTTTGGCACATGTGGAACATATTCTGAATTCTGTTCCAACTTGTTTTATTGAACATTCGGGTGATTCCATTAAACCTGGAAGTGCAGAATCAAGCTACTCCTTTGGTTTCTTGAACCTTTAGTAAGGTTTGATTGTCAACTTGATGAAAAGTTTGAGTCTATGATTACTTTAATATAAATTTATGTTTTTGTTTCAGACCAATGAATTTAACACAAATAAAACGTAATATAGAGTCTGGTGTAATCAGGACTACTACTGAGTTTCAACGTGATATGATGTTAATGTTTACCAATGCTATCATGTATAACAGTTCAGACCACAATGTGTATAAAATGGCTGTTGAAATGTATGATGATGTCATGGAAAGTATTGAGGTACGTTCATCTTGTTTTTGAAATGGAAATTTGCTACATTTGCATCTTTCTTAAAACCATTTGCAATTTGAAAAATACTCTTAAATAAATTTTGAAATTGCTGGAAAAAAAAAAAAATCTTTTTAAGCATATTAAAGAAATTTTGCATCATCACTCTTAGAGTAAAAGTTTTTTTAAGGTCAACTTGTTTCAGGATTGGAGAGCATTAATATTTATAAACCACAGCTAGCAACTGGTGGCTCTAGGAGTGTCTGTCAATTTGACCACACTGATGACTGAAAAATTGCTGTTGCTGTCACTTGCACCATTGTTCTTTTTTCTAACAAAAAGATTGGACCTGGTTGTTTACTTAGGCTGCTGAAATTTGTTAAAATCCAGTTGATCACTGTTGCTAGTAATTTTCAATGAAAGCATTTAGCTCATGTGTGATCTGAGATGTTTTGAGTCAAAGTCATTAAGCGTCACACTGTTTTTCTATTTGTAGCAATTTGTGAGTACACAGTTAATGGTATCTAGTGCTGATAATAAATCATTACGTACATCACGTAGATCAGAGACAGTTGATAAGGTAAGTTTGGTTTTCCTCATTCCTGAAGGGTTATTGTACAGTTGTTACCAATATTATGACTTCACAATAAAAGCAAATAAAAACAGTTTAAAAGAATCTGGTAGATCTTTACTCAATTGTAGAATAACCTGACGTTGGATTTTAATTTCCAATAGCAACATGGTTAGCTGAAATTAATAAGGTGGGAAAGTAAATATTAAAATAACTGTATTACTTGAAAATGTCCTAGCCATGGTTTATACTAAATATGGAGAAAGACTTGACTCCTTTGAATCTATTTTCTAGGATGAAGATCCAAAGAAGAGAAGACCTTCTTGTGACACCCCAACTGAGGGTGGGAAAACAAAGAAAAGGAAAACACGAGCAGATGATACTTAATACAATTATAATTTTTTGCAGACTTTTATGTGTTGTTTCTTTAAATCAAATGAGGTTCAAAATATTATTTGTCGAGCCTATAGCAATATAGGTAGTGTTTAACGGAATGGATAGCTTCAAGGATATTTTCAGCACTTGAGCAATATTCTCATGTATCATGCAATTAAAATATTTTTTCTTATAATCTTGCATGAACTTAAACTTCTTGTATCCAACTTTGTGAATAATAATGTTTTCGTGAGATATCCTTTAAAATCTACTTTTTGATATGAAAAGAAAAAACTACCTTAATCAAAATTTATTATGTAGATAACATAAAACGTAAAAATTAAAAAAATCATGTTAACTGTTTAAAGGTATGACACAAAAAATACTTAAGAATCCATTATATCCTATGGCCTGTTGATAATAGCATCCATATGGTCTATGTGTTTGTTACTACTTGTATAATCCTCATAAATGATGAAAAATTGTCTGGAATCATTACTATTGATGTTTATCTGAAATCATTGCTATTGATGTTTATCTGAAATCATTGCCATTGATATTTATCTGAAATCATTGCTATTGATATTTATCTGAAATCATTGCTATTGATATTTATCCGAAATAATTGCTATTGATATCATTGCTATTGATGTTTATCTGAAATCATTGCTATTGATGTTTATCTGAAATAATTGCTATTGATATTTATCTGAAATAATTGCTATTGATGTTTATCTGAAATCATTGCTATTGATATCATTGCTATTGATGTTTATCTGAAATCATTGCTATTGATGTTTATCCGAAAAAATTGCTATTGATATTTATCTGAAATAATTGCTGTTCTGTATCAACTGTATGAAATGGATAAAAATCATGAAAATAAATCACTTTCATCTATGAAATTGTTCACTTTTTATGCATTATATTGTATGTATATAAATCATCAACATAACAAATTGTTGTGAATAGGGCTAAAGATATATTGGTTGACTTTTCAAGCTCAAAGCTAGGTTGACTTTTCAAGCTCAAAGCTATGTTGACTGTTCAAGCTCGCAATTAGGTTGACTGTTCAATACTCAATGCTAGGTTGACTGTTCAAGGTCAAGCTAGGTTGATTTTTCAAGCTCATAGCTTGGTTGACTGTTCAAGCTCACAATTGGGTTGACTGTTCAAGCTCAAAGCTAGGTTGACTGTTCAATCTCAAAGCTAGGTTGACTGTTCAAGCTCAAAGTTAGGTTGACTGATCAACACTCAAAGCTAGGTTGATTGTTCAACACTCATAGCTAGGTTGACTGTTCAACACTCAAAGCTAGGTTGACTGTTCAATCTCAAAGCTAGGTTGACTGTTCAAGCTCAAAGTTAGGTTGACTGATCAACACTCAAAGCTAGGTTGATTGTTCAACACTCATAGCTAGGTTGACTGTTCAACACTCAAAGCTAGGTTGACTGTTCAACACTCAAAGCTAGGTTGACTGTTCAACACTCATAGCTAGGTTGATTGTTCAAGCTTAAGATAGGTTGACTGTTCAAAATTCATAGCAAATCAATATAAAACCTTTGAAAAATAATTTATTGAACATTAATTTGATTACCAATTATATATAATATAAATACATAATAACAAAAACAATAAACAACTCTTGATTCTTAAAAAAATTATATTAACAATTTTCTAAAATGCCTACATAAATAGTTGAATATATCTTGATTTTGATGCGAACATGCATAACCTAGTAAAGATATTTGTACTCATTGGGGTCTAGATCAGACCAGTCCACTTTATATTTGGGTAGAATAAACAGTCATTGAAGCTATACAAGCTAGGCTTATTCTGATTATTACTACTTACATTACATTCATATAAAGTGGACTACTCTTGTTTATGTTTTTAATCAGATCTGGATGTGCACAAACATCTTTGCTAGTCTATAAATAGATACCGGTATATATGTATATGGTTCGAAGCAGTTTTCACAATATAATTACTATTTAATGTCTCCTGATGATCCTTTTTTTGAATTAATAAAATAATTTCATTAAAGTCAACATCTCAGATAAAACCTAATATTCATATTTACATTAAAAAAGAAACGGTCTCATTATCGAAGTCTTTTTCACGAATTATGTAGTCTGGGTTATCAAAATGTTTAACAAGTAGTTGCCTAGCTAGATACATCCACTTTCCTGATAAATTTTCAGTATATCAAAGGTAGTCATCAATCTGTGTCAAATCATACCAAAAATCTCATTTGTACATGATATTGTTGATTTAATCAAACACATAAAATTTCATAAAATTTGGACATAAACTGCAAACAAATTTTGATGCATTTCTACTCAGTGAAGGGGCAATAACTCAAAAACCTTTCATCGAAAGATCGTCACCTGTGAACTTGACCAAGATCTCATCATGATTAATGACCACACCAAATATTTATTTATTTAAATAAGATGAAAACTGTAGGATCTTTTGTGTTCACAACCAAATTTTGACGCGTTTTTTCCTTAGTCAGTTCATTGAAAGTTCGTCAAATTCAAACTTGTCCAAGATCTCATCAATACATATGATCATACCAATTTTCATTACAATGATAAAAACTGTAGCCTCTATTATGTTCACAAGCTAATTGTGGACCGATGGACAACAAAAAAATAATATAGAAAATTGGACTTAAGTTAAACTTCTCACCTATTTCCACGAATACTATATATATGTTGTATATCTTATTTACCATTCACAGCAAAATCTGCAAAATTAGCACCTTTTTATTTTACTAAAATAAATGCCCATTTAACTAAGCAAGTATGCGCCTTTATCCTAGAAACAGTGTTAGAAGTTAAGAACCTAGGACATCCTAGACCCTAGCACAAAGATCGTTTCAAGAATACAGGGCCTGGTGTCTATTTTGGTCCTAAAAAAAAAGATCACAAAACAAATACCCTCACTTCAATTGTTTTGGATAAATCCTTGAAAATCTCGTACCCCCAATTAAAATTTAATAAAAATATATGATAATGCCACAGAATTTACAGTAAATCATAAATTCTTTTTCTTAAATAAATATGAATTAAAGTATTATTTTAGTGGTTTAAGTTTCATTCAAAAATAATAAAGACGGAGAGGGATTGTAAAGAGGTTTTCTAAATTTTTTATGTGTATCGGGGACAATGATAGCATCAATTTTCACCATTCCACTTTTCAATCAGACCACTGTGGTTCTCGGAATTCTACTAAAACTAAGTGGTTCATGACGTCACCCCACCAAAGGTCTTTATGTGATACAAGCAAATTTTGCCGGGGCCAAATCATAAAACCCTTAGTTTTAGTGAAATTGCAGGAACCACAGACGTCTGATTGAAAATTGGAATGGTGCAAATTGATGCTATCAGTGTCACCGATAAGCATAAACAATTTAAAAATCCTCTTTACAATCCCTTTAACAAAGACTGAGATGAAAAAGCTTGGAATATAAACACACGTTTATGTATAAAGTCTAATTTGTCCATTCATAAAATTTGATGGTTGGTTGGTAAATGACAAATTAACGTTTTCTCCCAGCGCAAGCTGATATCGCAAACTAAGTAGTTGTAATAGTTGGTAGTTGGATTGTAAAAATTTGACAGTTAAGTTAAGCATGCATTGTGCTATTTGTCAGTCTTGTATCATGAGACAAAAGAATCATCTGGAATCATCTCAAATGATAACTTAATATCCCTTCGTTGTTGCTACAGAATTTGGTAGAGCGATGAAAAATAAAGTATCTAATATACAGAAAAACATTAAAAGACTCTTCAAAGTGTAGTCAAGAAAAGGTTTTCAACACATCCAAGCACATCAAAGCGTAAACAAAAGCAATATGTTTTGAACCTCAGTCAGTTCATAGACCTTATTCACGTGTCAGCCATATTGAATCCAGAACGAGGCTCATTCATGTAAGCAAGCAAACAAAGGTAATGTGGTGTCTACTGCAGTAAAACTTGATGTCTTTAAAGCCTCCTTCTCCAATCCTACTAACTCAAAACTAATCCTATTTTACATCATTCAATTCAGAATTGGTAAAGCTATTTAATGATAGTTTCAGATGAATTTTACCTTCACACATTTCTGGGCAGTTTTAAGCCAATTTTCTCGGGTTTACATAGGCTATTCATTCATATGAGGTTGCCATCTTATCAATGGATGACATAATTTGCGTTATAAACCTTGCTTTCAGTGTTTCAAAATGAGGAGTAAATAAGGTCCAATACGGCTTCAATTACCATAAAAAAAAATTTGAGCACTTAAGTCTATGTTTTGAATAGCCATAGATATGCACAAATACCTTAGCTTGACTATAACTTGTGGTTATTTAAAGGGATACTATGTCTTAGAATAAACATAAATTTTAAACTTGGCCAATAAGAGCATATTATTCATCAGTAGATATACCTGGTGTCATAAATAACATAACAGGATCCTTATATAATCCGATAAATCCAAAAAACTTAATAAAAATGCAATTAACTATTGAAAAACGCTTAATATTATGATTAAGCTTTTTTTAATAATTACTTAGTTTTATCAATTTTTTAGATTTTCCAGGGATTCTGTTGTAAGTTTATGCCACCAGGTAAGTTCACTGATGAACATATACTCATATTGACCATTCTTGAGAATTAAATTCATTCTAAGACGTAGTATCACTTTAATAAGAAAAAAAAAATGTTAAACATTTTGGCAAAATTTCATTTAAATTGCATATATCAACCATGCAATGATAAAAACTATTAATGTTAAAAAACTCATAAATAAGAAAATGTTCTATCTAGTAACAGCCTACTACTGCATTATGAACCCATCTTGAAGATGAATGTTGTTAGATCAAGAATGAGTGAGGTAAAGCACAACTAGATCAGATGGTCCAACTTGATTATAAATATCATTTACCCTGTCACTGGTGTCGTTGTTAAATGTTTAAAGAGGGAGTGTGTAACAACTTTATAAAATCAAGGATTATGACCAAAAATTATAATTTTTTTCTATCAAATTGTTAAGTTATTTTTGGTTTTGAATACAATATAAGGATAATCTTTGTTTGATAAATTGCATTTGGTAATAGTTTTTTAAAAACAAATATGGTGGCGCTCGATTGAAAATTCCTTCTGCTTCAATTCAGCCCTCAATCAAACAGTACAGAAGCGGATATCTCATATTCCAAATTTTCCCATCTACACCTTTCTCTGCCATTTTGAATTCTGTCTACACATACTATTTTTTCAGAACACATGCAACGCGTTCTGAACCCTGTTTTAACTTGTTTTAATGATTTACCACGAATTCCAAACATGCAGAATTCACAATGGAGCAACCCCTATCTCAGGTTTTACACTATGATATAAATATTTCAAAAAATATGCCAAGTAAATAAGCACACACTCCCACTGTAATTTTTTTTGGTATTAATGCTTTCTATGATATGAAATGATCAATATATTTGGCATTTGTTGTGATACGTGATTTGAGCATACTATGATTTTTCTGTGATAAATTGTCTGTGATGTCACTATTTTGGACCTTGTGAGATGAATCTTGTTCCCTTTCTTGAATGACATTGTGTCCACCATTTTGAATATGGTCCCCGCTATCCTTTTCACTATTGCTTTGATTGTTATCCACTTCACCATTTTCATTGTTATGATTGTTATACTTGTTATGATTTTGATTATCTTCATGATCATTATTGCTCCCTTTTTTAATATGTTCACTTTTGTTGACTGACTGATAATGTTCACTATTGAGTTGACCTTGACCTTCACTGTTTTGGTGACAATTTTGTGATGTGAAAGTTTGTGTTTCAGTAGCAGTTGGTGTTGATTGGTGTTTGACTTGATGTAAATTGCTGGAAGGTCTTGAAGAACTATCAGGCGATATGATATGAGGATGACCCAAACGTAAATATTCCATCAAACATCCTGTAGCACCAAAATATCCCTGAAAGAAATTATTAAAACATATCTGTGATAATAGGCCTACAAAATAGTATAACAGACAAAACAAGTGGATATTAATTTTTCAGAGTTTATATGACAAGTTCAATATTGATATTAATCAAGCCTTATGTAGAAGTAATACTGATCAGACGATGGTTTGAAAAAAAGAGGCCCTAGCTCCCAAATGCAAAGAATTACATGATCTATGTAGCTAATCATTCTAAAACTTGCTAAAAATCTGCTTAAAATTTCGGTATCCTAGGCCAGGATCAATTCAGTCACAGTTTGAGATGGGTTTCTTTCTGTGCATATCAAGGATATTTACTGGTAAAAATTTCCCTTATTTCATACTGCAAGGCCTTGCTCAGCTACATAAGCCAATTCTTCAGCAGAAAATGAAGACATGCATGGTTATGCAAATTTGTTAAATTTCAAAAGGATGCAAAAAATAAGCGGAAATTTAAGCAGAAATACTCTTTCATCCAGTAATATTTAAATGAAGATGGCTACCATACCTCATGTTCCAGAAATAAAGCCTTCAGTGCTCCTCCTGACCAATAATCCATAGCATACGCTAGTAACTTCATAGAAATAGTATTAACACGTAGAAAATTACCAACAAATACCACTCGTTCAATTTTCTACAAAAATAAAATCTCAAGCATAATCAACAATTTTCAATATGTGACAGAATGAAGCAAGCTATTAAAATAGTATGTATGAGCAAATCTACTCAAATACTTGGAAAATGAAAAGAAATAATAATAGCATAATATAGATTTCCATAATTTTCCTGAATTGAAATCTTAAATTGGTTATTTAGAGCCATGGTTTCTCAGTGAGTTAGACGCTTGCTCACTAACCTAAAGGCTGTGCTGAGTGCACAAAGATAGCTCAACAGTATGAAATCGAAAAAGAGCAGGCAAATGCCATTGTCCTGGCAAAATTTCTCTCATCGCACCCTGCATGGCATTGTCCGTCTTCATTAGCCCACATGGTGCAGAAAAGTAGAACGTAAATCTCTATTCATTTCATTTAAATTTGGTTATCCACAACTAAAGAAAAATCAAATAATGACAAGATTCAGAGTAGTTACGTTTTGATGAATTACAGGAGAACTGGGGATTGAATTTCAATTCTGGAAAATGCTACAGATAACTGTCAGCTGGTCATATAAAGATGACAATATCTTTTTACCTCTGTAACAGCACACATTCTAGCTATAGAACCAATATTATTAGTGATAGTAATCAATGTAGCTCTAGCTAAATCACATTTATTAGCTGTTTGACATTTTTCTGGTGAAATCATCTGTCCAAAACTAGAAAAGAGGAAAAACAAACAGCTCACTGACAGGCAATTACCTTCAAAGTTAATCAAGGAATAACCTTATGGGATATCGTGGGTGACCACAAAAAACGCGAAAAACTATTTGTACACGTATTTTGTTAAAATCTTTTGTCATAATTTTTTTTTACTGCTATACGTGGTTTTCATTCTTTGAAAATTTAAACCTTGTATAACAATTTGAGTACTCTGGCCTATTGAACCAAAAACTCATAATAATACAGTATACGGGGGTTTTTCATTTTCTTCCTCAGAAAAAGAGATATTGAACCTCATATAATACAACATTTTACGAGGTTTTAAATCTGACTGTTTATATACGTGTTATTCAATTAGTGGTTTTTGGGTTTATTTACAATCAAGCTAAGAATAAGACGTTTTGATCCGCGCTTTTACATGCTTTTGAATGGTACCAAAAAGTCAAAATGATCAAATATGGCATATACAATATATTTATACATATACAATTCCATGTGGGCGTATAAAAATGGTAATCTGTCCTAACTTCATCCTTATCTGAAATTATAGACAAACTATATGTTGGAATTTTCATTCTGAAAAGAGATACATACACCTGAGATCAGCTGAAATCTCAACTAGGAAAGCAAAGGATGGTAGAGTTTAACCTTACCTACTAGCAACAGTAGAACCTTTTAGATTAAATTTATCATAGTCACCACCATAAATATCACCAACAGATTTATCAATATTAGTACTGTTACCTTCTGATGCTAATTCTATAGCTTCTTCAAACGTCTGACAACCAGTTAGCAGACAACATAAACCAACAAATGTACCACCTCCCAAACTACAGAACAAAGAAAACGAACTTTACAACTTTTTCAATAGGTTCCAGTAGACTGTTTCCAAACCTATAGGCTTTGTTTCACTTCAATAATTCCTATGATTGTTAATGTTCTCTGCAAAGTACAGTTCCAAGTATGGGGTTACACCATTTTTTTTGTAGCTGGTTAAGAGGAAAGCAAAGCCTTTACATATTTACATATATTCAAGACTCAAATCAACCCCCAAAATGGTGCACCTTTCCCTTTAAGGCTCTTTAAAACCTAATTTATAAGATATAACTAAAAACAAATGATTTATTCTGAAGAACACATCATTTACATAACACAACCAATGATTTATTAATATAATTTTAAATTCTTATATTATATATGATTTATGAATAATATTTTTTAAGTTATATAACAAATGATGTTTTTATGAGTTAAATTATTGTTATAAAACAATACTGATAAAATGATGATTTTAGTCATCTGAAAAGGTCTTGTAGGTATTTAGACAAGTTTTTTCATCAAATGAATGAAATTATTTTGCTTCTGCGAAATCCAAGAATTTATTTGAATCAATTCAGTAAACATGGAAAGAAAGTGAGTCAACAATCGATTTTCAACTTTAGTTGCAGGAACATTAACGGTCTTGGTCGCAGATTTTTGTCGCCGACTAGAGTCTTGTCAAGAGTTTCACTGTCAAATATCTCCAGTCGGTTGTTTTCCACCTTGTTGATAATGCAATTGAAAGGAAAATGAATCTGATTGGATGATGACGGATAAAAACTATCAGAGACAATTATCAAACTTGTTTGATATTATAAATCCAGTTAGGGACGCAATAATCTTGTCGTGGAAGCACTGGCACACGCAAGATTTTACACAAGACTCTAATCAGTGACAAAAATCTCTGACTAAGACCACTTGTGAGAATGCGCTTTAAGTATTAAGCCAACATTCATCTGTCAATTCACACAAACAACATTGTGGTTTTGAAAGTTTTTCAGGTCTCAAAAATATTTTTTCAAACAGAACTGGAGACCCCACTTTGTTTTTGTCTGAACATCACAAGTTAAAAAAAAGTAGTTTGATTTGAGTCAAGCAAGTCAATTAAGTTTATTATTCTGAAATAGGTCAGCCGTGTAAATTCGTTTGATAATAGGCATGATATGAAAATAAAGGTTTGTCTAATTACCTTGTACCACTCACACGTCTATAATCTGTTGGTGATCTAACTGCTAATATACTCACACCAGATCCTATATTAACCACCAAATATGGATATGGATTTCGGAAATCGAATGGAACTTTCTCACAGAGTTGCAGGTGTTGAGGATTTTTCCAGTAATAACATTCACTGCGTATATTATGTCTATCTATATAATGGATACCTTTTAATAAACATTCTAGTTCATCGTATTTATGTAGATCTAGATTCACTTCCTGAAAAAAATGTCAAAAATCATCACGATTCTACAAAAATCTTACTTTTGGACGAAATTGATAAATTTTTTTGTGGAACAGAACCCACGGCCTATTATTCAAGATGGGAGATGTTATTTAGCTAGAATACTACAAATCTTTGGATGTCTGGCAATCCTGGTTATTCATTGTCATATACAAATTTATAGACCTTGAATAAGTACTCTGTCCTAATTATTCCATTCCATTTCATTCAGCAGAAACTGAGTTAGAATATTTATAAAAACTATTATCAGTCGAAAAATGAAATTGAAGGAGTTTTTTGTCCTACTTTTCTGCTTTATTGGTTGGATATATTTTGAAAAGCAACAAAAAACACCCTGAATTTGATAAATGAGCTCTTCCAATCATCCACATTCAGTTTCATATCATTGATATAGTATGCATGTGTTGGAGAGTTCAAAGAAAGCTGAGGGGTGTCAAATAGATGACTATCTGTAATATTGCAACATATATATAATATTCAGTTAAAGTTCTTACAGCACCTACTGATTAATACAGTTAAAACTTACCCTCTTAAAGTCTGCTTCAAATTTATAGGCTCCTCCCCCTGTAGCACAGATTGCACTAGCCAGACTGGAAAAGTTTTTAGATTTGGCCATTTCTATAAAAGTCATCATATTACTAGTTGGAAATCGTATAAAATGTAATGTTCCCTGACGTCCACCAATAGATTGGTCCACCATTTCTAAATGTACATCGCGAATACCTGTGCTGCCATAAGCTACATTTCCTGTTAGATATTTACGTATGGTCTTTAAAGTTTCGACTTCTTCTGCTTCTTCTATATCAGAAATGTCTGTTGGTTCAAAATAGACTAATTTGGTTAATGTACCACCAATATCCATACCAAACCATGGCATAGCTGAAAAATAAAGTACATTTCATTTAGATACTTTATATAAAGATAGCTTGCCAAGAAAAAAAACATACGCCAATTGGAGGCTTTGTTTAAATCATAATGTAACATGGCAGAACCGCATCTATTACAAAGATGTACCGTAATATTCAAGATTTAGTCAAACGTTTCTTTTAAGAACATTCTTAGGGAATAATTAAAAATTTTATCTAATTCTTCAAACTGTGCCTCATAGACTGTTTACAAGCTAAAAATTGTATAAAAAGAATGGATCAACTTTTGAAAGATTTTAAGAATAAGAGTCTGTCGTGTTGCTAAGCAATGGACAGATGGGCACAAACGTCCTCTGTGAAAGTTACGCTAGCGCTCTGCACATATCACGGTAAGGAATGACCGACATTTTTTACCAGGAACTATGTCAATATTGTCATATGATCATGTCATTCTGGTAATTCAAATATTAGAGGCTGGTTGTTCAGGACTACAGGTGTTTGTAAACAAAGTCAATGAAAATAAAAAAAACCTAACGATATGTATTCAAACTGATAATAAAATGTATCTCAACCAATAGTCACAATACAGCATTAAATACATATTATGTAAGTGTCAGAATTATCTCCCAAGGTCTCTAAATTTAAGGACTATATTTATGTCCCAATATTACTATCACTTGACAAATCACTGCAAGTAAAGAGTCCCACCCAAGAAGACACAACAAAATTCACCATTCATTACCAAGTCAGATTCAGCTGGTGGGCACAGACAAACGGGGATGACAATGTACTCGTAGGCATATATAATAAACTAAGAAAAATCAACCCAAAATACATTTTTTAGCTTACCTATATCCTCCATTATCAAGTTAGAGCCTATATAAAAGTAGTATTCAACCGGTAAGCAAACCGAGTAAATAGCCTCCACAGACCTGTACACAATTTAAATATATGTAGTTTTGACAATGACAAAGGAAGGTCTGAGGTATACCATTGACTGCATCATAATTAAAGCCTACTATACACTATCACCTGATTATAGTTAAAGTCCTGATGTGTCAGGACAAGATGTCATCCACTTCCTGAAACTTTGATGACAAACTGAATAATTTTGTATCAATAAAAATGACAAATAGCTGTATCTGAATTTCAAATTTCATTATGTAATATAAAGTTTTCATTAGATTGAAATTTGTTGATTATTATCAGCTTTTGATAGATATATTTGACAGTAATTGTCTTGTTTAAGTGTCATTATTCAGAATTTATTATAAATATTCTGCACCTCCATACTGGTAATTTTAAATGAAATGAAATGAATGGAGGTTTACGTCCTAGTTTTCTGCACCATGTGGGCTAATGAAGACAGGCAATGCCATGCAAGGAACAATGAGGAAAATTTTGCCAGGACAGCAGCATTAGCCTGCTCTTTTTTTATTACCAATGTGCACAACCTATAGCACGGGACCTTGGTTTATTGTTCCCACGACTAGACACTTTTTCCATGTCAGCTCCTCTTACCTGCATCACTGACAGGGGGAAACTGGGTTGAAAAATCCGAAGGTATTATCTCGACCTATGTTGGAATTGATTCCCAGACCTACAGCTTAGCGAGCAAGCATCTAACTCGCCACAGGGAATTTTGAGGCATTCTATTTACCTCAAATACATAAAGAAATAAAAGAATAAGTTTCTTCTAAGTCAAAAATATCAGTCTTGTATGGCAGTCATTTTTTTTCAACCACTTATTATTCATTAGCTTATTTTGATCTTGATCGGCTAGAAAAGCAAATATTTCCAATAACCGTTTCAGGAAAATTGATTGCAATCATGTTAATAGTGACAGATCAAGCGTTCTTAATGACTTGCATGATAATTGCAGATATCTCAAGAGGACAGATTGGTTCAGAAATTTCTGGATAAGAGAACGTAAAAATTAATTTTTTTTGCACAAAAAAGCAAATCATACACTATAGTGATAGCCCTCAAATCATTTTGTAACTGAAATCATTTAATTCCCATTATGGCTTTTATCATTTTATTTTTTTATTTTTTTTTTTTTTTAGAAAAATTAGAAGTTGTCTTATCACACTCCTTCTGTGCTTGTCAGTGAAAACTATGATACAGTGGGGCTTCAATCATCACAAGCAGATGTGACCAGTCATTAAATAAAGCCTTCACATTCAACACAGATAATAATTTAAACATATACATATTAATTGGTACTTATCTTTCCTAGTATTATTATTATCATATCAACAATTATGATTGCTCACTCACTTTTCTTTCAAGGCTGATTTAATTACGACTCTTTAAAAATAAATCTTTATCTCCATGAGTTATGAAGTCCTTGGATAACTCAATGAAATATTAAGTCTTTGGGCATAAGATATAAAGTCCTAGGATGTCTCAGTGAGATTTAAAGTCCTAGGATATCTAAATGAGATATAAAGTCCTATGATATTTCAATGAGATATAAAGTTCTAAGATATCTCTATGAGATATAAAGTCCTAGGATATTTCAATGAGATATAAAGTCCTAGGATATCTCAATGAGATATAAAGTCCTAGGATATCTCAATGAGATATAAAGTTCTAAGATATCTCAATGAGATATAAAGTCCTATGATATTTCAATGAGATATAAAGTTCTAAGATATCTCTATGAGATATAAAGTCCTAGGATATCTCAATGAGATATAAAGTCCTATGATATTTCAATGAGATATAAAGTCCCTGGACATTTCATTTCTTAAATATCTAAAAGGGATGATAAAAAAGTCAAATTGTAATTTCTTTACCATTGTACTTTGTGTACAAAAAAAATCTTTTATCGGGGTTGTTGACTTGACTCTATTTTGAATTTCAATAGCCCTATAGCGTATGAAATACACCTTATTTCTACTTTTATCATTATTTCTAGTTTTTCAACTTCTTTCTGAACTAGAATCCTAAACACCTGTGTTATATGAGCCATCTCAGAGATATAGAAAATACAAAAAATAAGATTATGAATCATCTTCTAATCTTCTGCTTGAAACAAGTTTGAACATACATGTCATGACCTTACTTACATTATTATGTCATGTCACTATTACACATATAAGTGTACTTACTAATATCAGTGAGGGGAGTGACTGAATAAATTTCCTATCGGCTAACCTTAGAAACCTCTTACCAGAGTAGGTTTAAATAGTACCCTTTTTCCCAGTTAGGGATGTTGTTCTGTGTGGACAATAGGTCAAGGCCAATGTGTAAAAAGACGTTCCAAATTCTAAAAATCAAGGAAAAGTGTAAAGTTGGTTTTAATCTCAATTGGCATGTGAAAGTCTGGTGATCTTGTATAAGCAATACAGTTGCAAATAGGTATGGATATTCTAGGAAAGATCAATGCTAAGAGGTTTGGCCAAGGTCCTGTTGATAGACAGGATCCCCGTGAACCTAAGTTGTTATCCTTGTAAATGGTTCCTTCTTACAAAATATACCGTATATTTCCGAATATAATGCACAGTTTTTTACCCCAAAATGGGCTCCTCACAGAAGGGGTGAGCACTATACACAGTGAAATAAATTTTGAGTTTTTTTTTCCCCTTCGAAAATACTGCGAATCGATGTTGAGGATCCACCAGTTCGTTTTTCTTCAATGCCATGTTGTTATGTAATCAAAATTCTTATATATTCAGAATTGTTCTATACTTAACTTATATTTACTATATAAGAAACAGATATAATGACAAGACTTGAACAAATATATGAATTACTACAAACACAACGATTCTTGATTAAAAACATTTTTATAGTTCTGTTCTACATGAATTACAGACATAACATATGACATATCACATGGACAATTTCAATAAGACAATATTCTTAAAGTACATTCCTTACTGAACTATATCATTCAAGGTCATCAACAATGTAAGTTGCAAAGGAACAAATTTTAAAAGCATGGTACGCCATTTTCAGGGGTTGATTTGGCAATGAGATGAAATGAATGTCCTTTTCTGCACCATGAGGGGTTGATTTGGGTGCTGAATATAATTATGTAAATGGTCTTCAAGAGTACCAGAACTGTACGAAAATCGCATGATTCTTTCAAAAATACCTCAAACTAGAAATTCCACTTTTTATGTCTTTATACCGTACGTATTTTCAATAAATGGCAGAGTGTAAAGAAAAGACAAGTCGTCATTTTAACTTTCAAACAAAGATAATTACAGACACACATGGATTTAAACGCTCAAATTTCGACAATAGGCTGTGAACACTACTACTGATTAGCTTATAGCTAAAAAATTTCTGTGTCCGAGACTAATGTACGACTGAGCAAATGGATGGCAAATCTGTACCTTAAAATAATCTTATTCATTTACTAAATTACAGATAAAAAAAATAATAACATAAGCTTATTTAAATTATCATGAAATGACCTACATCTTATAATCAGATTGTTCTACCTAAATGAAGGTCACTTCTTTTCATTTTTTGAAATATATATCTAATCTTTGAGCTCTCCTATGATGAAGATTTTAAAATAACATTCAGATTTAGCTACAATACAAATAAGATATCACTGCAAGATATTACTGTAGGTTATTACATATACATGATCAAACAAAAATCCATTTAGCTAGTGTTCAGTCAAATTTTGATATAACCAATCAAAAACACTATACAAAGTGAACTGACCAAAGAAGTTACATGATCTTCAGAGAAATTTGTAAATGGTCAATCTCTTTTACTATCATGTTAACTCAATAATCTGATTTTTTTTTTTTTTGGCTACCAGAACTTTAAGGAATTGACTAAGTTTAAAAATCAGAAACAACTTACGTGGTAAATCGTCTTCTTCTGGGCTCATACTGCTTCTGCTTCTATTACCTTCATTTCCTCTACTTAATGCATGAACATTACCAGCAGCCATTTTGGATCTCTAAAAATTTCAACGTTGGTTAATAAATGAAGACAACTCGGTGTGCAATAACGGAAATCTTACAAGGACAGTGGCATTTGTCAGTTATGTTTTGGAAGGGATCTTTAACATATAAACTTACTGTCTTGATACACTCTTTTTCTGTGTTAGCAACTATGAACATTGGCCTAACTAGCAAACCGACTGGTTGAACCCAGTCCACAGGACCCAACTTTTAAGGGGCCCCTAACCCTAGAAAAATGCAGGATAGTATATATTATATATAAAACATTGTATTAAAATTATTATTAAACCTACTTTTTAAGTCCACAGGCCCCCCACTCATCTTGTTGAGCCATAGACCGAAACATCTGTCTCTATTCCAGCCTCTGATAGCTATTTGGACAGATATCAGCTAGTGTAGAGACAGAAATAATAAGCCCTGTTAAATGGGGACATTCCGCATCTCTGAAGGTCAGGTTTTTTTTAAACCTATTTAGATACCTCAGATCTGCAAAACCCAGGTATATTTGGAAAGATGAATATTTTTGTAGTTCAGTTATACCATCATTTTCTCCCAACACCATTTATGTCATGTCTCCGGTTCCATCAATTTTTTTTCGGCGAAACTGATCTAGCATCGGCCATTTAAAACTGCATGCGCAGCCAAATGTTCAAAGCATCCTGTACTAACAAAACAAAAGTTATGGTGATGCCCCACACTAATTTACAATCATAATAAAGCAAAGTCAATTTTATGTCAGAGAAAAAAGCATCTTTGGAAGTGTGGAAAATCCCCATTTAACAGGGACTTTTTCGTCTGACTCTATTCCAGCTGACAACTGTCAAAATATCCATCACAGGCTGGATTAGAGGCAGATATTTAGGACTAGTTTAGCCACTGATTATGACCTCAATAAATAACAAGGGGAAACCGGGTTCAATCTATGGCACATCTTAACACATTTATTTACCACCAAACCCGGATATATATGATGAATATGTTTATAGTTCAGTCATGCCATCATTATGTCAGCCTTCCTTCAGAATTAATCTCTTGCTAGCTAACAGAGACTTTGTATAAACCCAATGATCAAGGGTCATAGATTCTCGTGATACTATCGTAATGAAAGTATCAGTGATGGGTTTTTAGTAAATTAGAGGTAAGTAAATATGTCTTCAATAAGTAAATAGGTGCAACAAATTTCCATAAAATAGGGCATATGTTTGCTGACTCTACTCCAGCCAACAACTTTTAAAATGGCCATATAGGCCAGGTGTTTCAGACTAATGTCAATTGTGTCTGATCAGTTTACTTACTGATATACTGACTTGTGATGGAACAGATGCAGCATTTCCAGAAGTAAACCATATCTTGGTCTCAGAAATATGAATTTATTCCACTAAACTAATCAGTAATATGTAATGTTCACATCGAAATTTGAGCCTTCAAATCAAAGTGTATCCATAATTATCTATGTTTGAAAGTTATTTTGTGCATCTCTGGAAATGATTAATATTCACATGCACGACCTCGAGTGACCTCCGCATTTGCATGTATTGATAAACATGGGTTATTTCTAATTTTAACATGCAGAATTTTTTTTTTTTTTGTTTCAAAGCCAAGTCAAATTTATTATTTATTTCTAACATATACGATCAGTTATTACCAAAAATCACAATTTTTATTGGCAGAGTTCCCTTATAATCCCAAGATATAATCAGAATTCTAATTGTCGTCTGCTAGAATATATTCCAGTGAACGCAGTCAAGTGATAAACCAGCGGATCCAGTGTCAGCAGAAAAATCCTATGGAACACAATGTGGGCCACATTCTTATGTTGTTTCAATGAATTTTAGCAATAAATCACTCTTACGATTTACTTATCTTATTTTGTCTGTCGCTATTTTGCAGCTGTAGTTGAGTTGGTTACTCATGAAATATGGGTCATAAGGTAGATTGAAACAAACCAATTTTAATCATTATAAAGAATATCTGAAGAAACTTCTAATACATACACAAAATTTTTCTGTTTTATAATATTGACAAAATTCGGTGTTGAATCCTTATATGCACAAATATAGGTCACACCACTGTACAGTAGACTTAATCAGTCTGTCCAACTATGTCTTATAAAGAAAAGGTATATCATCCCCTAGAAATGCTGCACTAACCCCCTCAACATGGTGTCGACCAGGCCAAAGGGCCTTGAAGAAATAACTGCAGAGAGAGGTAAAGTGCTGGTACTGGTAATGGTAGTAGTTAAACTAATGTGAATTAGTGAATGTCAGTGACTGACAGTGACAAAAACAAACATTAATGATCAAAAAAGTGAAAATGGAAGAACATGGAATTCTGAGCCTGGGGATCATAGTGTCTGACTCTAGACTATCTGTTTTAATGTTTACCTGTGACAACTAGACGAAATCGTTCTAGATCGTTTCCTTTTTTTTTCTTTTGACAATATTTACTCGCGTCTTACTCTACAAGTACAATTTTAATTTGTAATCAATTGAATCTTATGCACATACAAAACGTAACCAACAATATATTTCCCATTAAACATCTATTCTTCCATATGTTCATTTGATAATTAAGTTGATGATTAAGTAAATGATTCATTAAATGGAGAATATTGATTCCTGGTTAGATGTTTTTTGGTTAGGTTCGTGATTACGAATTGCTTTTAATGTCAAGGTCAACAAACAAAAATGGCGACAAAATCGCATCAAACTAGCGACAATTCAGAAAAATGTCGATCTTTAGACGACAAAGTCTTTGTCATGCCACAAAGAATACAAAAACAAAGATTAGATGACATGAAGAAAAGTGCAATTAAGAAAAATATAAGAATTTCTCCTCAATATTGGTAAAATATTATTTTAATGATTGACATAATAATAATAATAATAATGCAATACAGTGTATTATGATGGTGGAATTTTGTTAGGAATCAGCCACTATTTTTCAGTTCCTTTAAAGGGAAGATGCACGATTGCAAGATCTGAGTTCATCTTTCTCTTTCAAGTTTTTCCTTCTTTGCTTCTATTATTGCTATCTAGAAAAAAATAATTATGCTAAACTCAGATGAAATGGCACTATCCCAATCTATCCCAATCTATTCTATGTATGCATTGAACTCTGGATGTTCAGGCCAGTGAGCAAGCATCTGGCTTACTAAACTGCTATGGTTCATTCCACAATTATAAGATTTCGATCTGAAATGTTTTATTTTAATGTAAAGCAGGGTAATGCTATTATTGGGCTTTCTACAGAATTAGTCTGTGGTGTATTTCAGTGATTCAGTGACACATGTTGTGACTGGCTTTGAAACTCTTGATCAAGTTATAAAAAGTTTAAATGTGGAATTGCCAGAAGCATTAAAAGAAAAGTATATTGTGAATCTATCTTGGTTTGTTGATAGTATTAAAGCTTGTAAACCAGTACCTGTTGAAGATAAACACAGAGTTAAAAACAAGATTAAACAAGAGGTAAGTATTGTGATGTACATCTTACCTGGAAAATATAGCAATAGAGAAAAGATATATAAAGGAATAGACAGTGAAAGACTTTATATATATTCAAGACCCAAATCAACCCTGTAAATGGCGAATAGTGACCTTTATGAAATACATATATTTGATAATCTGATATTTTCAGGATGAAGAAAAGTCTAATACAGTTCAGAACAGTATACCGGAATGGGCATGTCAAAGGTCAACTCCTTTATTACATAAAAATTCAAAATTTACAGTAAGAACCGTCTTTCATAATCTCTATGGTTAGTTTGTTGATAAATTTTGCAGTTGAAATGATACACATATCATGAAAGGCATAAACATTTGATCTAAATCTGAATGTAGTTAAACTATAAAACATAAAATGAATTATATCTAAAAAAAATTTAAATGCCATTACTTATTTAGGAGCCATTAGAAATCCTGGAGAAATTTGCTGAATTAAGAGATCAAGAACAAGATTATTCAAGAGCATTAGCTTTTAGAAGAGCATCATGTGTATTAAAAAGTCTACCATATCAAGTCAGTGACCTTTACTGTTTAAAGAACATCAAAGATATTGGAGGTCATAGTTCAAGGGTCATAAAGGTAAACTGTGCTCTTATTTTTTAAAACAAAGGTCAAATTTGCATTTTAAGAAAAACTATTGCGCAATCAGAGGACTGGAACACCAAAATCCAGTCTAACTAATTAGACCAAACTTTCGTCCTGCTTTTATTTTCAATATAGCCACTTAAGTTAGGGTCTAAAGACTGACCTCTTGAACATTCCTCAGTTTGATATTACCGCCACCCAATCCAAATTTCTTCCCTTTCCAACGCTGGGATTTTGTGACGCAAACAAAAGGTGTATTCATTTGATATCTACTAGTATTAGGTAACTAATATCAGCATCTGCTGGAAGTGAACGTTAACTTGTCATATACCATTAGGTAACTAGAGTAATGCTTCTCAGAATACACCCTGTGAGACTCTTAAACTTCTTTTTTTGTTAAATAACTGTCTAAAATATTTAGACCCCTGTATCCATTAAATTATATCATAAATTTGTTTTTTAATGGAAACATTTAATTTACAGGATATTTTAGAAGATGGTTATTGTCAAGAAGTTCAAGATATTCTCAATAATCCTTGGTTTCATAAAATGAAGGTAAACAGTACGTTTAATCAAGAAATACACAAAATTGGTGCCCATAAAAATAAATGTAGTTAGTCAAGATTCCTGTATTTAATGCTGCACATGTTCAAAGTTTAAATTATAAAAGTGATAATTTGATGTTTTAATACCGTTATTATAGTTATTTACAAGTATATTTGGTATTGGACCGTCTACAGCTAAGAAATGGATTGATAAAGGATGGAGTACACTAGATGATATCAATATAGAGGAAGTAAGAAATGATTGGAGAGTTACATGGGGTGTGTATTTTAAACATGATACTTTCAAGTGTATTTTAATATATGACATATTGTATTATTTGAATAAGAAAGAAACAGTATTTTCAAATAAAATTCATGAAATTCACCAAAAATTACAAAAAGCTAAATGCAGACATAAGACTTCCATCTTGAAATATGAAACAGAAAGCTGAAATTGAACCCTAAAAGATGTTTTTCTTTAACTTTAGATAAATGTCTGCTTCAGGTATTGCTTTCCATTATGAATTGAATGATTTTGTAAGTCGTAAAGAAGCTGATATATTTTGTGATATTGTAAGAGATGAGGCTGAGAAATTATTACCTGGTGTTATAGTTCAGTTAACTGGGGGTTTTAGAAGGTAGGAAAGTGACGCTATGATTCTTTTAAAGGGAATGTAATGAGGTTTCCTAACTTTTTTCATGTGCATCGGGGACACTGATAGCATCAATTTTCACCATTCCTGTCGCATTTGATAGCCTTTGCTTGATTATGGTGGTCCCAAATGTGGTTGTGGGTTCAAATCACAGTCAGCGATTAAATTTCTGGTGACATTGAATGTATTCCAGTTGATATATAATAAAAGATCTGTGCTAACCGCCAAACGATTAATGCAAAGACACTTGGCCATGGACCAGCTGGTAGACAGAAGCCTCAGTTATTATCCTTTTGAAAAGATTGTTTTATATTTGTTTTGGTATTTACAGAGGTAAAGAAAGAGGTCACGATGTAGATTTATTAATAACTCATCCAGAATTAGGGCACGAAATAGGTCTTTTATCACCATTACTACAAGCACTGGAAAACAGAGGCTTGATATTGTGTGGAAACCATGAACGTGCAACATTCAACCCAGAAGTCTATCAAAGAGATTTCAAATTAAGCATGCGAGGACAGTTAGATCATTTTGAAAAATGGCTGGGTATTTGTAAATTTCCTAAATCATTTAAGGAAGGAAAATCAGAACTCTTAGAAAACAAAACTAATCATGTGAAAGCTGCCATCATTCCGAATTCCTTAGATGAAGAGCCTGCCAGAAAGTTACAGAAAATAACATCTACCATAGATCAATCTCCTTTGGAATTGTTTAAATCTGATCGTGATTGGACAGCCAGACGTGTTGATCTAATTATCTCCCCTTATGACCAGTATTATTATGCTCTGGTTGGTTGGACTGGTAATAAACATTTTAACAGAGATTTAAGATTATATTCACAAAGAGTTTTAAGTATGAAATTAACCAGTCATGGATTGTTTGACATGAAAAAAGTAAGTGGACTCTTTATTTTTTTGTTCGTCTGGTATTGTCAGAATTAAGACTGAAGAATTTCATAAAAACTCCTATGTACAGCACTGGCCGAGGTCACAAATAAATAGATCTGCTGAAAAATTGGGTGGCGTTTACATAGTGTTTTGAACATATAAACCGTATCAATAATCCACAACAAATCTGTTAGTGACATGCAATTACTTGCATCCTGGAAATTAAGTTATGGTGGACTAAGGTTAACTCAAAGCATAACATCAGTCCAACGCAGCCAACATGAGCAAATTGGAAAAATCAATCAATTGGATGGTCACAGATTTCGACCACAGGGCTCAACTACAAAATTCAAATTTTGCCTGTTGGTAGAACACATGTAACTGATGGTAACTGTCATTTATCAGTTGTCCTAAAGGTAATTAAATCCATTGATGGATCAGATTTAAAATCCAGTTGCTCTCAGATTCTCAGTTAGACCCTTGCATATCCTGTCTACCAGTCTGTACTTCATCAGCTGGTATACTAAATACTTAGATGGCCATATTATTCCTGAAAAACTTCATGCTATATCACTAAGAATGCTTCCTCCATTTGACCGATCATACTTTAGTCTCAGAAACAAGTATTTTTTTATCATAACTAATCAGTAATGGTTTTCACAGCTCTGTGTCAAAATTTGAGCCTCTAATCTATGTGTGTCAAGAATTATCCACGTTTAAAAGTTAAAATGATGACTTGTCTTGCCTAGAGATTCAGTCATATATAAAAAGGACAGATATAGAATAGGAAGTGAAATTCCTAGTTAGAGATATTTTTGAAGGAATTATGTGATTTTCATGCAGATCTGGTACTTCTGAAGACTATTTACATATATTCAAGACTCAAATGACCTTTAATTTTTTTAATCTATTTCAGAGTGAATTAGTTCCAGCATCAAGTGAAGAAGAAGTTTTTACTAATCTCAATTTAAAATATCAAAAACCTGAACACAGAAACTGTTGATGATTTAAGCATAGATTTTTCTCTGACTTATTCTACACTTGTTCTTAGATCTTTCAGACACCATATCAAAAACTACAAAATTTGAAGGAAATTACGAGGGAAATAGTTCTGACATTATGATATAGGCCAGATTATATTTTTTGCTGTATTATGGAAGAATAGTGATTTGGATTTCATTTTTGAAAAGTACTACAGATTGAAACTATATATATTAAATTGTAATAGTTTTTTTTTTTTTTGCAATTTCCTCTTTAAATATTTCACAAAAATGTGTGTTGAAAATATGTTAAATCATGTAAAAATCATGAAAATCCCAATGTTTTCTGAATGATTATTGAAAATTTATTTAATTATTTTAGACACTCATATATCTTCAAATTTTAATATCTATGTTTTCATCAGTTATATTGTGTTATATTATTTGTATTTATTATTTTTTTAAACCCAAATTTTACAGTAAATTTTTCAATCTATGTTATTGTTATAAAGATTTCTACCTCTTTTTTAAGTAGTTTATTATATTATGGTTCAATTGGTTTGTCTGTTCACATTCACTGAAATCTTCATGGGGTTGAGGTCCCTTTAACTGACAATTTGGAGCACAGATTAAAGATAGGTTCCCTTATTTTCATTTATGAAAATGAAAATGCTAATACCTATATGAATAGAAAGAGGAGGTTTTCTAATGACTTGGAAAAATACCAGTTTGTCTCACTTGTCCATAATTAATTCATATATTAGCTAAATAAGAAGAGAATTACCAGCAGAATTACAATGAGTGACCGATCAAGAAAGGTCAAAAAGTCTTTTTTTGTTTATCCAGACTGTACATACATGGAAATTTATGATTGGTTAAAACTCTAAATTATATGCAATAAGAACATAATGATATGTTTAAAAAATACATAAGGAAACCCATCTTTATAAAAAAAATTATTCATTAGGATGATTTCATTTTGCCAGAATTCAATACACACTTTAATGGTAAAAAAAAAAATATAATGACATTTAAAATGATGAAATATTTTCTGACAAAGTTTTTTGTCTAGAAAAGTACACATGGTTTCTTGTAACAAATTATTTCTTTTAACCAACTTACAGCATCAATCATAAACTCTAGAAATTTAGATTTCTAATATCACTCCCTTCAATGAACCAGTTATGCAAACTTTCGTTTATTTTTCCATAAACTGTAGTTTGTCACATGATACTATGACGCTGTCTAAGCACAACAATGACGCAATCTAAGATTTGTGGCAGTTTCAAGGAACAGATCATATAAAAAAAGTGAAAACTGTATTAATAAAAGTATCTAAATATGACATAAGAATTAAGTGTTGGTCTCACTAGCAATATTGGTGTGTAAATGCAGTTGATCACGCCACAATCATATATATATGTCTTCATCATTTATTCAGTTTGTCAAGTGATCAACTGCGTTTAAACACCAATAATGCTAGTAAAACCAACGTTTAGTTCTTAAATGTAATAATTCAACACACATTAACAATCATTTGGATGGACAAATTCTCTTTGTACAATTTCATAACAAGACATTTCAAAATCAGTAGCAGATTTTCAACATTTGGGGAAGACAACAAAAATGCTGTAATAAATAAATATCCTTTTAACAACCAAACTTTCAACTTGGTCTACAATCAACATCACCATCCTGACTTGCTTTCATTTTCTGTAATTCTTGTTGAAGTTGTTTCTCAGTCTTTAATATTTCTTCTGGTTTAGGATACTAAAAAAAATTCAGCATATCAATAGTTATTTGAGCTGAAAATGCTGCTATCGAATCTTTCCTTATGAAAATAAAGAGAGTGCAGTAAGCCAATACTTTTTCAGGAAAAGTACAATAGCCTACTCTTATCATTTCAAAATATCAAGTCAATTTTAATGAGTACTAGATGCTGCAGTGACTCAATTAGTAGGACGCTTGGTCAAGATACTATATTCAGATTTTTCAAAGGACAGGATAAAGTGTCAAGTTGATGAGACAATAAAGCAAATGTACTCATTAAAAATTAAAGTTGGAAATCGAACAAGATTAGGCTATATACAAAACTTCATTTCTTTTCAATTGATGTACATTTCTGTTGGTAGAACAAACATAATATTTGTACCAATTTTTTTGTAAAAAATCAAATACTTACTGTAACAATCAGTGTATTATTAGCATGAGCTATTTGAACATTTTCTGGTTTTAATACCAATCCATTTCTCTCCATATCTGGTATATTAAACTTTTTATAATATCTGTAATATTAATTAAATTAGAAATGAAATGAATGGAGTTTTACATCCTACTTTTCTGTACCATGTGGGCTAATGGAGACGGCCAATGCATGCACTGTGCAATGAGGGAAATTTTGCCAGGCATTTGCCTGCTCTTTTTGATTTCCAACTGTTGAGGGATCTTGAAGTGCACAGCCTGTAGCACACGGGGCCTCGTTTTATTGTCCCATCTGAACAACTAGACGCTGTTTCTGTGTCAGCTCCTCTTACCTGTATCACTGACAGGGGTAAAACGTTAATAAATTAGGTATTATACTACTATGTAACTTTACAGGCTGTTGATATTCAATTAATATTTTTTCATGTTTTTAAATGATTTGAATCCTTTTCCCTTGAAACAATGAACTTTAAAAAGGGAGCTTGGGAGCTTTGGGGCATGGCTAGCCAGAGAGTGCAAGAAAAATTATCGAGTGAAAAAAAAAAACGAATAACGATTTGAAGCCAGTTTACTTTCATTATATACATAAGTAAATGACAACAATATTTACAGCACCAGTACTTACTTTTTATTTTTAGTTTTAATAATAATTTGTTGGTTATCATCACTAACAGTTACAATATAATTATCTATTGTATAGGGTAGATTTCTTATTCTCCACTGAAAATTAGTCAATGTGTCCTTTCTTACAAATATTGGCTGAAATAAGTATAAAGAAATATAGTAAATAAGCCAAATTTCCATAAATTGATAATGATTTACCTATTTATTGCACTATTCTTTTTATGTGGTAAGACTTTTATTACTTTTGAGTTAAAATAAACGCCAAGTTGTAGAGAAAAATTTCTTATTCTTAAGGTTTGAACTAAAAATATCCAGCATTTTTTATTCACCCCTTTGATTATATTGTGATCATATTTTAGAAATTTCATCCCATTTTTAATACAGAAAATTTGCATACTGCTCCTTTAAATAGTTTTTCATGTTGCTTGTTAACAAAAAATTATGCAAATAATATTAATGTAATAAAGATTGGAGCTATTTTGATCTTTGACCTGTCCTAATGAATAAGTCTATAAAAATGCCTATACAATACCAGTAGTCATTCACTATGGCCTACTTACGTTAGCTGTACTTTCCACCATGCCCTCTGAATCTAATCGTCTTGGTACTAGTTCTTCACCTATCTCATAATCCCAATTACCAACGCCACCTAATGTACCTTTTTTACGCCATTTACGAACTGAAAGTAAACAGTGTATTAATTTTTGATCTATCTTTTATCATTTAAACACATTTTTAGTCTGATGAAATAAATGTTAATATACAAAAATTCATGCAAACAAACAAAATTCATAGACAACCATGTGTGTTAGTTAATCAAAATTTAACTTTATTAGCCAAAACTCAAATTGGTGTGATAAATTACTAATCAACTTTTATGATCTAAATTGGACCCTGATGTGCAATAATATATATACTTGAATCCATCTTATTACTTTATCGTCATCCTCAGGGGGAAACATGTCGAAACGTTGCATAAAACTTTAACCAGTGATTGTTGTTCCATAAAGCTGTGTCTTTTTATCATACTCACAATTGCTAAAAGCCATTTAAAGACTTGGTTTAAATTTTAACTCGAAAACAAATAAAGGTTATAAAAAATCAAATAACGGGCAAAATGTTGGTTATGAACTTACCGATAAGTTCTCCATTTTTAACTGAATATTCTTCAGAAAGCTCTGTACCATCACTAAATGAGTAATGTATTTTTCTGCGTCCTAAATTAAACAAATTATAATAATAAACAATGGATGCCAGTCCAGAAATTTCAATAGGCTTTTCAGAAAGCTAAGGAGATATATGCATACAATTTGTAACATTATATAAGGCCTGGATGAATAAGCTAACAGAATAATTCACATTTTTTTAAACTTTTCATTTATATTGAGAATTGACAATAGAGATTCAAGTTCGTTTGCATTCGATCATTAACCACTTATAATAATAAAGTTTGATAAAATAAATTGTGTTTTGTACTTTCTCAGTTTTCGAATTGTGTTGATAAAGTGGACAAAGTGCTATGTCCATCATAGAATTTCGTAGACCAATATCTTGCGTATTTCACACAGAAATCAAATTAAAAAATCTATCATCTGGATCATGATGATGACCACACCCTAGATTAACTAAAAATATCTTCAAATGATAGTACCATCTTGAATAATGCAAGTTTTCTGTGCTTTCTTTAATTTTTCAAGCCAAGGAGACGCCATGTTGTTTACTAACTACGGAAGTATACCAAATGATCCTCACAATCTGAAGAGCTCTTACCATTCGGATTTCGTCAATTTCCGCTCACATAAAATAACTCAAACATTAAATATTAGATATCAAAATTTTAACTTTCCAATTTAATGTGATATGAAGTGATTTATATATACTTAGTTGACATAAATATTGTTAAACCAACGAATTTCTTCTAATTTAGAGATAAATTCTGAACAACCTTTTTGAGTAATGTTTCGTTTGGTATTTACCGAAAAAGTTGTTTCCCCTTGACCATAAAACCTAGGCTAACCTATTTTCTTAACCCTAGAATAAATATCTTGGCTATCTAGACGTATGTTTCCATAAGTAAGCATGAACATACGAGTGAGACTATAAATTGTGAATAACATGATTGCTTAGATATCCGCTTTATAAGTTGAAACAATAACTGAAATTGTTAATAGAAAAGCATGGAAACTTATGCCCTTCCTTATGACTTTAGACAGACTTTGAACACACACCTTCTAAATGATTCTGGAACGAATTCACATTAGGGGATTGTAAAGAGGTTTCCGAAACTTTGCATCTGTATCAGGAACACTGGTAGCATCAATTTGCATCATTCCAATTTTCAAAACTACGTCTGTGGTCCTTGCAATTCAATTTAACATTTTAAGAGTTTTATGACTTAAGCAAAAGGGCCTTTATTAGCAGCTTTTGCGATGGACGTGTCATAAAACGGAAAGTTTAAGTGGAATGGCAAGAACTCTTCACTAAAAATTGGAATGGTGCAGTACGATACTTTCAGTGTCTCCAATACTAATAGGCAGAATATTTCGTTACACTCCCTTATAGCCGCATTTTTTTCATGTTGAAAATTTGATTTACAAAACTTATAAGGTGAAACAAAATGAAATTTTGAATGTAAAAAAAACAGATTATCTTATGTGCTCATGTCCATTTGCTTTTTATAAGAAGAGAAAACGATTTTCCTCATAAGCCAACATTACAGTCTTCAAAGGATATGCTTAGCTGGGTGCGCACATTTTTTGGCTAGGCCAGATAGACGGCTCTTTTTTGGTTTGAATTGAAATAATAGCTCCAAAGTTCTACGGATAGTCTTTGTCTTTACTGTGATAGGGCCTACGTGAGCTTTGAATTTTTAGTCCGAAATGTTGTTGATTTTCAAAATAAATTTCAAACGTCAAGCCTTTGTCTATATATTTCTAGAGCCGGAGACAAATCTGTTAAAGGGAACGACAAGAGGTTTTCCATTTTTTTGTGTGTATCGGGAATAACTAATAGCATCAATTTGCTATTTGATGATGTCACTAATCGCTTCTGTGATAAAGCATTTTTTGCGATTAGTGACGTCATCAAACACACATTTTCTTTATGGGAATTGCAGGAACCAAAGACTTCTGATTGAAAATTTGAATGGCGCAAATTGATGCTATCAATATCCTCGAGACACATACAAAAATTAGAAAGCCTCTTTACGATCCCTTTAAATGGCAGAAAATGCTCACTGTGGTTGGAGAGAAGGATACCTTTTATTAAGGCTTAAAGTTTATTATGAAAAAAAAAGTGCGCACTGAGATAATATTTCGTTAGAAGTTCTATGGTTAGACTAACAGAAATACTATAATAATTAAAATAGAAAAATATTTAGAAGGCCAGAAACACATAAGAGTCCAAGAAAATTGAGCGAATATAATTTTTTTTTCATTCCCCGATCTCAAGGCTTATTGAACATTGATTGAATAAAGCCGCCAAAGCTTTCACTGCTAACATTCGATTGGTTGCTTCACCGGAAGATAGAAGACGATTCTGAGCAAATCTACTGAATGAAATTGTGGAAAAGGTAGTGAAAAGTGGCCCGAATTTGGTGATTTAGGGGTCTGCTTTCTTCATTATTTTAGCGAGAGTAAGTAGAATGACACTAGATTTATCATATTCAGGCTTTAATGTGTATAAATCTATAGTTTAATACCAAAATTAGCCTAATCTACGACGGCCTATAGTTTACTATATTATACTGCTAAATAAAGTAGAACAAAAAACCGCAGTGTACGAGTTCTGCTTTGATTCTATTTTTAGAACACCGGTATATGTCACAACTGCAGACTGCAGTCTTTGGTAATAATGTATGAAAACATTAATGTTGAAATTTTAAATTGTCAAATATTCCAAGTAAATGATATTGGAATTATGTCTCTTGGTTAGATTGTAACCAAATAATGAATATTATACATCTGATCTATTGTACTATGGTAAGGATAATGCCTACCACCTAATTACTGCAAATGACTAAGTCAATATGCATTTGAGTGTAAAAGTGTAGGTAGGAAGGCTAACATTAAGGATGTATATAAAGATTAATATTTGTTATTCTAGCTGATTAAGGTTGGGCCAGTGAGGCTCTCTGACGTGTGCTCCTTTAGGTTTCAAAGGTCTAGGTTTCAAGCAAAAGTTGAAATAAAATTATATCTTTAGGCTTAGCACAAGATTTCTGATGCTTGTCAGAGAATCTGAAATAAAATAAGTGTCTAGTGGTTCTGGTAGGACAATAAACTGAGACCCTGCATGCTACAGACTTTACAAAGATCTTTGACAGAAGAAAATAATAAATAGTACTAGCCTGATGCCTCTTCTCCCCTGCAAAATCAAATTGCAATATTGGTACTTTCATTACGATTCGGATTTTTTGCTTATTTGGATTTGAATCATGTACTTTTAATTCTTTAAGAATTACAAACTTCTTCTTATACCTTGACTGCAATAGCCACCATCCTATTCATGTATCACAGAATGAGCGAATTAATCAACAAGATTTCATCACTAAACATTGCTGACACATGTTTCAGATAAAAAATCCTCATCAGGACAGTTAGCTTTCTAAATAAGTAAGATTAGATTTATTATGAAAGTGAACATTGATTGCCCTCAGAATTTTAGGATTAGGTCCCGAAGCCATTTAAAAAATCTAAATTCTTCAATAATTAAATTCTACCTAATGTAGGGCTTGGTACCGATTACCAAACTGAGATTGATTATCAACAGCATGATCAATTATCGATTAATAATCAAAATAATTCAATTAAAAAACCATAATCCTTGATCAAAAACATGCCACATTAATGCCATGGGTAATTTTTGTGTCATAGAAGTATATTCTTGTTTTGATCAGTTGTTATAGTTTAATGTGGGTAAGTTATGTGCTGAAGGGAACCTATGTGGAAGAGATTACTACTTGTTGACGGGTACAGTGGAGAAAATGTAACTTTGACATATAATCCATTATGAAATTTGATAATCGTTATCCGAAATTATTAATATGTAGTGCAATAATCGATTATTTCACCCAGCCCTTACCTCTTACCAATTTGTAACATGTTGAATTCAATACCTCTGAAAAATGACTCTCATTACATTTCAATATTTGACCTTGACCCAACATAATAGTGTATTAAATAGACTGCAAAACTGAACAATAGAATAAATAAATATAATGATAAATAGATTTTTTTTCTGAAGTATGCCCTTTATAGACCCAGGCTAAACATCATGAATAATGCATTTATTGATGTTTTATACAACTCACAGTTTGTTTTGGCCATTATCAAAGGTAATAATGGTGAATCAATTGGAAATCTTGGTTAATGTTTCACAGGGGTTAAGTTTGTGAGGCTTTAAAACATTTTTATAGCAAGAAATATATCTGGACACAAACCAATCTTAACATAAAAACGTAAGTAGACAGCTGTAAAACAGAAGATCCATAATGTTATCTTAAAGGGACAGGTTTGCCATTTTAGAGGTTGATTTGGGCTCGAAATGTATGTTAACAATTTTTAAAAGTACTAGAAACTTAATAAATATGCATAATTCCTGCACCATATTTTGACCAATCATCAGAAGCTGAAATCTTTTAGCTGAGCTAATCAGTAATAGTGTTCACAGCTCACCATCAAAATTTTAGCCTTCAAATCTCCTTGTGTCTAGAATTATCTGCGTTTGAATGTTAAAATGACGACTCGTCAATTTAAGATACTCTGTGATACATAGAAAAGACACATACAGAGATAAATAAAAATTTCTCCCACGATTAATCACAAACCTGCAACAATTTAGACTTCTCCCATGCTTATTGAATCATGACTGCATTATTTCTTGAAGTTGCAATTTCAATACACTCTATGTTATTCATCTAACGATATTATTTATTGTCATAATAAATCACGCTTCAATTATTAGAAAATTTTATTATTGATGTAGATAAAATCAATGGAAATATTTAAGATGATAACAAATTTCTCACTATTTTCCTCTTTAAATTTATTTTGAATTAAATGATTTAAACTTTTTATCAGTTGGATCAAAAAAGGAATAACAAACTTTCTTCAGAAAATAGTCAAACTAGACATTTTAAGAAGATTTGCTTTTCCCAAGTAATAGTTAGATCATATTGGGTAATGTTTTGTGATAAAGAAGTGGGCAGACAAAATTTTTGTGGTTAAGAAGTGGGCAGAGGGAGTGACCAGACATTGGTTTGGTTTGTAGAAATGATAGACGCTTCAGGTTTTGTCCTATCTTAATGTGGGTAGCTTTGTATTCTCAAGTTGTGGATGATTTCAAATTTGACTATCAAATTAAAGAAACTTCAACACTTAAAAATACTGAAAGTTTAGTGAGTAAGTGGGTGTATCTTGCTTGGCAACTGTTTCTCTTGTTTAGCAACTCATCTTTCTTATATGATTACTTATATTGTTGCAAAACCACCGACTGGCTAGGATATTGAACCGACTGGCTTTACATGTCAGTCTTATAAACACTCCACATTAAATACTATACTAGGACTAGTATAACCACCGTGTTAATAGGCCTTCAATACTTGGACACCAGCCAAATACCTAAGTTCCTTTTCAATTTGGACTAGAAATAGTTGATTTCAACAAGTTGTAAGTTATTATAGACTCTATAGGTTATTGATCAGCTCTATAGGTTGATGAGAACTGATCGAATATTCTCTTCTTCACTCCTGACAAGCGAATTCAAAAATTATGTATACTAGATAGGCTAAGGATTAGTTATGGCATCAGGATAGACAGGCACTTTTGATATAGTTGATTTGAAAAGTTATAGCCGTGAAGACTCTTCAAATAAATGCCAAGTTGTAAGGCACTAAATGCCAAGTTGGTAGGTACTAGTTCAGAGTGGTATGAGGTGTTGAAGAGATATTAATCACAGAATTTATGATAATATTACAAATATCAAATAGTACAGTACCGTAACAGTATTTTTAAAATTGGACTTCATTGTGATAGTCTTCTGATTATTACCTGTGATTCTTATCAAAATGAAAATCTGACACCAGGTTAGTACGCGAATTGATATGACTGGCTAATATATTGTGGTTTGATCTTCCAGATTTATGTTGCATTCATTTGGATAAGTATCTGTGGGTGTGGAAAAGTGAGTTCAGGTTTGATTGTGATTTTCTGATTGGCCTAAGATAATCAGGTCTACCATCAAAACTCTAATAAAATTTTCATTGTGAATCCCTTAAAGCAAGCCTCGTCTTGTTGGGGCCCCCTGACTGTATGTACAGTGGTCTTAGTCCACGTTTCTAGTAGACATGTTAGAGGTAGTTTTTATCCGAACTTAATGAAACTTGGTATGCATGTATATATTGATGAGATCTCATGTAAGAAGGATATATATATAGAAGGGGTATATTGTCATAGCCCATGTCCATTGGTTCGTCTGTCCATAATTGCCCTTGTTCCAGAAAACTCTTCAATTTTTAGGAGGCCAACACTCTAGATTGTGCAATTCTTGACAGATTTTTTTCAAAACTTGGTAATATTATTCACTATCGCCTCAAAAAGGTCAACAGAAGTGTAGGCTATGACTGAAGGTTGAATATTTCATTCTGGTGATTGTTACTGTACTGCCAAATATTTTTATTTAAAATCAAAACCGACAGTGGGTGTATATAACCTTGACTTGCAAGCTATCTTTAAAAATTGGGACATCAATAACTTCTATTTGCAACATTCAAATTACAATGATACAGTCAAGGGGTATGCTATTGCTTATCTGTATATATCGCATTTGGTGAACTGGGTAGGGCTTACGGACCTATCCTTTTGGTTTATGGTTTATTTTTTCTATTTCTAGGTTAATTTGATGAAAATGGCCAGTTTAACTAACAGAAATGTGTTGATTTGGCAACGCTAAATGAGAGAGTTGGTTGTTAGAGACGGTGCAGAAGATGGCAAACTACATCAAGATGGCCACACATTGATCTTCTCAACACCATATTTGATTTATTGGTTATATTGCAAGTGGACGGCACCATTATTGTGTGTCATGAGTGTTGTGGCTTTAATCACAGAAAAACTTCAGAAACAGAGTCTTGATGAATGTTCACCTAGTTCATCTACAACAACCACTTCAGCAGTCAATATACCAGTAAGTTTCAAACATTGTCTTATTCTCATACATCTGTAGTCTCGGATGCCCAGGCTTTTTCATTATATTTTCTGTTACGACTCTTTCGATGTAGATAACTATACAGTTAAACTTTTTCGATCTGCCAGTCTCAAACGACTTGTTTATCTCATAGCTTCAGAGCTCATTGGGGATAATACTGACACTTACATATGCATTTAATACTATATTTTGACTATTGCTTAAAGGGATAGATTTCGCCATTTTCGGGATTTGATTTGGGTCTTGAATATTTGTAAATAGTCTTCATTACTAGAAATGCGCATGATTCCTTTATACTTCTATATAATTATGTCTTTTCTATACACGGCAGAGTCTGAAGAAAAGACGGGTTGTCCTTTTATATGCCCACACATAAGATGGTTGTATATTTTTATAACCCTGTCCGTCAGTCTGTTCGTCCGTTCACATTTGGTGGGTGATCACTCTACAGGCTACAATTCTTTACAGATTCTTTTGATTTTGTGTTCCCTATCGATTTTCGTGATGATTGGATAATTTTTTTTGTCTGACTTCATGTTTTACTCTATTAGCTATATTACAATCTTGATGAAACTTGGTATGAGATCTTTAACCTTCAAACACGGATAATTTTGTACTGTATTGAAGGCTCAAATTTCGAGGGTGAGCTGTGAACACTATTACTGATAAGCTCAGCTAGAAAATTCCTGTTTCTGAGAGTAAGGTATGATTGGTCAAACAAATGGCGAACCTGTCACTTTTACTAATTATACTGCAGATTATCATTTTTTAATTCATTTCCATTGGTTAATTGACTATAACCATACAGCATTGTCATCATGATATTGTGATATTTTGATATTTTTGATGAGTCGATGTAACCAAAGATGTAAATTCATATCCTTGTATATTTTGTGAAACTGGTAAATCACTTAGTTCTATGATAAGGCTTTTCAAATTTGGTCATAATTACTATTAGTTGGTCATTATTTTTTCCCCATGCCAGTAAAGTAGGGCAGAGGGGCTGACATGGAAAAAACATCTAGCGGGTTGAACGTGACAATAAACCAAGGTCTTGTGTGCTACAGGATGTGCAACTTAAAGATCCCTTGAGAGTAGGCTTATGCAGCTGTCCTGGCAAAGTTTCCCTCATTGCACACTGCATCTTCTTTAGCGCACAAGGAGCAGAAAAGTAAAACAGTAATGAAAAGAAATTTGGCCTGAATATCTGGACCCTAATCCTTTAAAGACATACATCATCATTGACCATGTGCTTATCAGCAAACGGAAGAGTTAGATAAAAGAAAATTTGCACTTTTAGTCCTAGAATACATAAAAGAAGAGGAATTCACCATGAAAAATTGATTACACGATTAGTTCTGCTTGAATTCACAATTAATGAATGTCCCAGTAGGCTAATTGATCATCTTGTCTCAAAAATAGGTCAACTTCAACTGTGGATGAAAAATTGTTTGTGTAAATCATTTATTCATTCTCTTATTTTTTCATTATATATTTATCATCTGTTAATTGGTGAAATTCCCTAATGTTGAAACTATAGGCACTCAATAGAGCAAATAATCAGTCTCGAGCAAGGGAAATGTACCTGAAGTTATTTATCATATACATCAGTTTATATTTTGATATATATATCTATCAATTTTTACCTCTGGATACAGTCCATGGTTCTTCTGCTAGAGAATGACTATATCAGCCTCAACAGGCATGTTAGCATTTTGACCACCAAACTCTATCTAACTAGAGGCAGGAGGGGAGGGAGGATAGACTGAAATAATAATAGAAGACTATTTTTTGCTTTGATGTTGATTATCTATTGACCAGTTGTACCTAAGTGTTTAGCTTATCTAATTAGTAATAGTGTTCACAGCTCAAATTTGAGCCTTCAAATCCATGTATGAGTACAGAATTATCCGCGTTTGAAAGTTAAAATGACGACTCGTCTTTTCTTGATACTCTGCCATATATAGAAAAGACAATAGAGAGTGGAATTCCTAGTTTTTGGTAATTTTGAAGTATTTGTGCGATTTTCTTACATTTCTAATACTTCTGAAGACTATTTACATAATATATTCTGGAATCAAATCAAGCCCTGAAAATGGACGAATCTGTCTCTTTAAGTCTGGACATACAAAAGAAATAACATTCATTTATTGGATTCTTGTCTTTGTTATGATTTCAATTGAAACGTTTATCCCTAGTTGCCTATAGATATCAATCATTCATCCACATCTTCATTCATTCATTTATTCATTCATCAATGTTTTTTTGTCATTCTTAAACTCATTAAAGTTGCTTTCATGTAGTTAAAATTTAAAGCTAGAGAGGTTATTTTGGAGTTTCAGCCCTAAAATTAAATCTTGCAACAGATGAAGACTGTATCCCCTATCATTTGATTCATTTATTGATCATGTATAGTTATCAATATAATGATTGATTGAAACTCTAGCTATCGGATGAATGATTATAAGGTCTTATTATTAACCATGTCCTATATAATTATATTAGTTAATAGATACCATTTCATTAACCTACCTGGGAAGTCACCTATATATTTCTAAAGGCAAAAAGTTACATCCTGATTTTTTGTTCAAGACCTAAAAAATGGTCATTGAAACAGTATTGTGCTTTTTGACAACAGCTTAAAGAACCAATGTACCAAGCACAGTCTCTAATTTCGACATTTCTGATAGCTGCCAATTGTATTATAGACATTCACTAATGCACGCAACCATTTTTTTCAAATTCATGTCAGATGTCACGAAAAAGTGACGGTGTTGTGCCAGGCAGGGTATGCTAACTCTTTTAGACACCTGATACCACTTTTCATTATGAAATACTCGCTTATGATTGATATACTTCCACAAGTGAAAAGTTGATTAGCTGCTACTTATGTTTTGCCAATATGTTGTTTAGATTTTGGGTTTCGTTTTTTGGTTCGGATTGTTAGTACTTTTGTTGATTATTATTATAATACAATGAAGATCAAGTTTGTATTAAAGAACAATATTTCTTTTCATTGAAAAAAAACTTTATTAAAGAATTAAGTTTTCCCTTTACCAACCCTGAAGTTGATGTATTTTGAAATGATCCATATGAGAACTTTTCATACCTGAATTAGCAAATACACTTTTATAAGTATACCTTTAACCTGATATGTTTAATGACCTTTTAGTAATGAAATATAGAAAATCACTGAAGCTAATAGTATATATGATAAAATTATTAGTAGACTTAGTACATTGACTAATAGAACTAATTGACCTATTGAAAGGAAGAGAATATTGAGTGATTGGTACTAATTCAACTTGTATAGTGTTTGCTTGGAACCAAGGTTATACTGTAGAATACTTAGTTAAACATACTAGAATCGTGTTGAGACCTTTTTGAGATATTGCTGTTAAAGGGATTGTTTTCTAACTTATTATGTGTATTGGGGACACTGATATCATCAATTTGCGCCATTCCATTCTTCAATCATACGTCTGTGGTTCCTGCAATTCCACAAAAACTAAGTGTTTGATGAAGTCACTATTTGTCAAATATGCTTTATTTATGCCCTTGGTGATTAGTGACATCATCAATCACTTAGTTTTAGTGAAATTGCAGGAACCACAGATCTCTGACTGAAAATCGAAATAATGCAACTTGATGCTTTCAGTATCCCAGATACACATACACCTCTTTACAATCCCTTTAAAGCCTTTATGAAGTTGCCCAGTCTTTCTGTACTATTTTCAGTAACACCAAAATAATATTAGAAAGACCCATGATATACACATTGACTTAAGAGTTAGTAATATAGGGTTTATCTATGGTACTTCCTCAACCAGTTTGAAACCTAGGAAAATGACTTTGCGGAAAAACATGTAAACTTGAGCAAAATTGCTCTCAGTTTTGAATAACAAGAATTTAAAAAACTATTCTTTCAAAGGAGAAAAAAACATGACCATTTTATTCAATACATAGTGTTGATAACACATAGAAATATTAACTTAGCATGTACTCAAGTGTAAAGGATATTTAAAACTTTTATAGCTCAGATAACAGTTTAAAGTGCATGGGAAAAAGCATAAATTTTTGACTATGCTGTTTACAAAATTACATTTACTGATTATAAAGTAATACTAAATAGGTTTTTCTGACCGATGTATGTATATGGGGCACTCAGGAGTGTATCTAGAAATGTCAGAGGGCAGGGGGCCAAAATCAGTGGTGTTTCTCCGAGGCAAAGACTATTTACAAATATTCAAGACTAAAATCAACCCCCAAAAATGGCACATCTGTCCCTTTAAATCTAGATCTAGATCTAGGTTTATTTGATATAAACATTGTATAGAGTTATTAACATGACTATTTTGAATTATATTAAAAGTTAATATCTCTATTTATGTTGTAGATATGTTGTGAAAGTACTGTATCTATACCACAGACTATAATAAATACTTCCAATAATTTATCTATAAAAGGTAAGTAATTGTTACCTCCAATAATTTATCTATAAAAGTAAGTAATTATTACTGCCAATAATTTATCTATAAAAGGTAAGTAATAAATACTTCCAATAATTTATGTATTGATTACTTCCAATAATTTATTTATAAAAGGTAGGTAATTATTACCTCCAATAATTTATCTATAAAAGGTAGGTAATTATTACCTCCAATAATTTATCTATAAAAGTAAGTAATAAATACTTACAATAATTTATCTATAAGAATTATAGAATTCGATTTAGTTCAGTGCATATTAGCATCACAATTATTGTAAACATAACTTTAACCCTGTGCCAGTGCCTTATATTGAATAGTAACTGGTTACTCTTCAATCACCCTAATCTCTATAAAAGTAAGTAATTTTCACTTCTAATAATTTATCTATAAAATTAATTAATTATTACTTCCAATGATTTATTTATAAAAGTAAGTAATAAATATTTCCAATGATTTATCTATTAAAAAATACTTTCAATAAATTCATACGTTCCACATCTATAAAAGGTAAGTGTAAGTAATTAATACTTCCAGCAATCTATCTATAAAAGATGAGTAATTGATCCTTTCAATAAGTACTTAATACTTTAAATAATCTATAAAAGGTAATTAATACTTTCAATAATTTATTTGTAAAAGGTAAGTTATTAATACTTCCAACAAATTATCTATAAAAGGTAAGTAATTATTCAATTAAATTTCAATAAGTAATTAATACTTTCAATAGTGAATCTGTAACAGGTAAGTAATTGATACTCTCAATAATTTATCTGTAAAAGGTAAGTAATTATTACTTCCAATAATTTATCTATAAAAGTAAGTAATTATTACTTCCAATAATTTATTTATAAAAGGCAAGTAATTATTACTTCCAATAATTTATCTATGAATAGTAAGTAATAATTTCTTTATACAAGATAAGTAATAAGATCTTCCTCATAATTATAGAATCAGTGATGTTGGTCAGTCAATAGCATGTTGGGCTGTCGTCTGCATCATGGTTAAATGCAGTAGATCCTTAAGGCAAGTAAATATATCTGATTCCTTTATCAGCATTGGATTTAGATAGTTATTTTTATATTTCAGGTAAAAATGTTTGGACTTTTGATACAAGCAGCTTTGGCAGCAACAAACAAGATGGCAACCGGAGAGTTGGACGTGGCAACAAAGGGAACAAATCAACCAATCTTAATACAGTCTGTGATACATCACCAACTACACCAAACGCTCCACCTCCCAAGAAACACTGCAGATCATTGTCTGTGCCACCAGATCAGTCAATGTCGCCATGGCAACCGATTATATATAAGCCAATTCCTGTGATTTATAACAAAGATTTTAACCTTCATTCCACTAAATTTAGTGCTCAAGGTCCGGTGAAAGATGCGTCTGCATCAACAAGATCAAATTTTACAAAAAGTTTTTTTCATTCTGCCTCGCCAGTAAGTGTTGACAGTGGTCATGTGACATCATCAGACTTTCAAACACCACCTGGATCTCCAATACCTCGGCCAGCGTCTGCTATGAGTGAAATATCCCATTATTCCTGGTTTGAACACAGTCCTGTCAAATTTGAAATTAACAGATTTGAAATTCTACAGAACCGCAGTCTTTCATGTGAGGATAGAATCTCTAGTGGACCAATTTGTTTGAGTGGTAGTCAGGGTCTAGATTCCATCCGTCACACCTCCCCACCTCGAATCCATAGAATTCCACGATGTAAGTCACAACCATGTGTTCTTCATGACAGAAAAATAGGCAAGAAACGTCGTCATGACTACGATAGACCTACACTTGATTTTACCAAGATGACACAGGTTTGTTCAATTTCATTTGCATCATTGTTTTGGGGTTTGAAAATTCTTTGACAGTTGCTGAAATGGGTATATTTGCCTGAAAAAAGGTTTGAGCCATATTTTTCAGATTAGTCAAACAATTTCATCCATTTGGATTCAGGAAACAGTCTTCAATGAGGGAAACAAGGACAACATTCAACTGGTTCAATATTTTTAACATGAATACAAATATTGCCTAACAGTTTTCTGGTATTTTCATTCCCTCGGCAGACGTCATGATGCTTTTCCAGATAAACCTCATCTCACTTCAATAAACTTGAAAAACCAGGTTATAAAATGGAGGGTATCAGGTTGGCAGACAGTTGATAAGCCAATGTGGATCCAATACTTGGAAGTACTTGTCAAGTCTTTAGTAATTAGTCATTATAACATTTTACTAATTGTTGTGTTTCAGACTGCTTATTCTAGTGAATCCATACCAAGAAGTAAACCTTTATCCTTTTCACCTCTTATTCAGGTATGTTTAAAATATGATTGAGATAACTATATTCTAAATCAAGCCTGGACCTGTTAGGTCATCTGAACATTTTCAGAAGGGATATTAAGCTTACCTCATAGAATAGACATGAACATCATAATTTTAAAACTTGGCCATCTAAATTCGTCAGTGGACTTACCTTGTGTCATAACTTAACTTTCAAATTCAAAAAATCCATGAAACTTAGTTATAAAGTGATTTATCGAATTACAGCAGGATTCTGTTTATTTGTTGTGTCCAGTTGAACTTTTCTTAGATTATAGTAAAAATTAAGATTGCCTTTAAATTTTTCAGAGGTCACATGGAGGGTTGGTACCAATAGCTAGTTCCCCTCTTGACACAGACATTCCATTTCAAGGTCTCGAGAATTTTCCTACCAGCCCAATAGACGATGTATCAACTACAGAAGATACCACGCAAGCACGGGCCAGGGACCATAGCAGCTGTAATTTTCAACGGAATAGCGAGTACTTATTAGATAGCGGATTGGATGAGGAATGTGACTGTCATAGTGATGAGAGAGAGCAAGATCTATTTCCATTGAAGGATCTAGATATGGATGAAATAGAAAAACATTAGAAAGCTCAGGGATAAGCACGGATGATGGCAAAAGTTAAATATAAAACAATGTTTTTACTGTATTGATATAGATCAGGACTGTTGCTTTAGCTGTATTTGCCAACCATGTCTGACTAAACTACAAAAAGTTTGAAAATATTGTAGTCTGAAGACGTTTCCTTAAAGAAATATGTTATATTTTGGTAATATTTATGCACTAAAATGGTGGCAACTAAGTCAACAGCTTTGATAAAAGAAAAACAATAGAAAGCAAATGAATAAATCAAATTATTACAGTAATCTAGAATATTAATAAATCAAATCAGTAAATCTAATCTAGACATTGATGCATAAAAATCTAGAAAATAGCTAGTGAGAAATAATTAAAATCAAAACCAAGAGAAACGATAAACATAGACATAGAAAATTTCCTTAGAAAAACCTAGAAAATGATCTATGCTAGATTTTCTATCCTTTTTTGTGAAAAAAAATCATGAAATTCTTAAATAAAAATCTAGAAAATCAACAAACAAAAATTAGTTCTCGAAAAATTGATTATTGAAATCTAGAAAATACAGTAAAATTCTAGAAGATCTAATGTCTAATATAGACATTTGTTTTCAACAACCATGAAATTCTGAGATAAAAATCTAGAAAATCAACGAACAAAAATTAGTTCTAGAAAAATTGATTATTGAAATCTAGAAAATACAGTAAAATTCTAGAAGATATAATGTCTTATATAAACAATTGTTTTCAACTATCAAGAAATTCTCGAGTAAAAATCTAGAAAATCAACAAACAAAAAATGAATTCTAGAAAAATTGATTTATGGAAATCTAGAAAATACAGTAAAATTCTAGAAGATATAAAGTCTTATATAGACAATAGTTTTCAACTATCAAAAAATTCTCGAGTAAAAATCTAGTAAAATCAACAAACAAAAAATTAATTCTAGAAAAATTGATTTATGGAAATCTAGAAAATACAGTAAAATTCTAGAAGATATAAAGTCTTATATAGACAATTGTTTTCAACAATCATGAAATTCTGAAATAAAGGTCTAGAAAATCTACAAACAAAAATTGATTTCTGGAAATCTAGAAAATACAGTAAAATTCTAGAAGATATAACATCTTGATATAAACAATTGTTTTCAATTGTGGAAATATTGTTTTATGTTTTTACGATACAAAAAAACAACATATTTAATTCAATATATATAATATGTAATCATTGTAGAAAATTTCTTGTATAGTTTGCTGCTTGCCATATTGTGCCAATATTATGTTACAGTTACACCTTATTTCATTTTGATTACATCAGGAAAATGTCTTATTGACAATTACCAATAGATTTAAAAATCAAAGTAAACGTATATCTACCCTCTAAGAAGACTGATTATTGTGGATCCAATAATATCATGCATCAAAGATGATCATTACACATCTAGTTTTAACTAGCCTGATTTTCCAGTAGATTTACTTACAGATTCTATACAGCTGCTCCTAAATATATATTGAATATGTCTTAAAGGGACAGGTGCACCATTTTAGGGGGGGTCTTGAATATATGTAAATAGTCTTCAGAAGTACTAAAATCGCATAATTCCTTCAAACTAGGAGTTTTACTATATACCACAGTGTATGAGTCGTAATTTGAACATTTTAACATTCAAATGCAGAAAATTCTGGACACACATGGATTTGAAGTCTCAAATTTGGACGGTGAACTGTAAACACTATAACTAAATCCTGTTTCTGAGACTAAAGTATGATTAATAAAAAAAAAATGGTGCATCTGTCCCTTTAAAGTGAATTATATGCCAGGTTCAAAATTAACAAAATCATGTTTAAATTCTTTGTACTTTTGCACTCAATTTAGGTTAACATTGTAAGATCATAATTGGATTGTATATTTATGTCAGTTTGAAATGAAATGAAATGAAATGAATGGAGTTTTACGTCCTACTTTTCTGCTAAGTCAGTCTAGGGAGTAATCCTCATGGATTCTTTTAAGGGTAGATATTATGGAGAATAACCAGGATTGTTTCTAAATTTAATTTAATGGTCAAGTTCAATGTAGATTCAAAAATACGAGTCAATCTGCATGAAGTTATCGAATTTAAGCACAGCATTTTTGAACTGAAGACTCTGAAATTGAAATTATGACATACCTACCAAATTTGTGTTGAATTGTTAATAATTTAGAAATATTTGTATTATATTAATACCATATAAAACCACAAAAATTGGGCTTTCATTAACCCTTAGACAGTCAACATCAGAGCACATGGTGGATTCTTTGTAGCGAAGATCTCAACAAAGTTGGCTAAAATGATTTAGCTTATATTACACCATTTTTTTGTGAATTCATAAAACAACCTTAGATTCATTATTGGAGAATCTCTCTTAATACATATATAAAGAATGATTTTATATTTTACAGTTTATGTAATTTGAAATGAAAAAAAAAAGTAATAAAGGTGCTGTTGTACCATATCATTTACCAATCGCGTATAGCTACGAATAATGAAAATATGCCATAAGTTCAAACACAACTAATAACTCAGTTACATGAGAGCTGAGTTCAAAACTTCTGACCGATATTCTTATCGACAGCCTTATACGCAACTGGTGATGGCTTTGATGTAAGGGCACCTTAATGTGATGTAGATCAAAGTCAAATGTTCTGTGTAAAGAAAAAAAACTCTATCTTTAACCTACCTTGGATAGTTTCTAATTCACATAACATGTTTTGGCCAGCTAGAGTCAGAAAAACATGTTGTTTTATGACAACAGACTGGCTATTTAAAACAGGTGAAATGTAATTCAGGCCTAATTTCAAATATTTGAGCTATGTTAGATTAGTTTTGAAATGATAAAATTATCTAGCAAGAGAGATTTAGCTAGTAAAATCAAGTATTAATGAACTACAAGCATTGTACTTAATGTATTATTAACTTTGTCTAGGGCTGGACAATACTGATATAACATACATTGTATTTTATATGTATCAATTACATGTTTATTGACATCAGTATACTTTTCCTGTCTGAATATTGTGAAATATTATCATTATCATTATCACAATATCTTAATATATTTCAGAATATCTTGATATATTTCAGAATATCTTGATATATTTCTGAATATAATGATAACATTAATATAATGATATTTTTCAGATTATCTTGATATTTTTCTGAATATCTTGATATATTTCAGAATATCTTGATATATTTCAGAATATAGTGGATATATTTCAGAATATCTTGATATATTTCAGAATATCTTGGATATATTTCAGAATATCTTGATATATTTCAGAATATCTTGATATATTTCAGAATATCTTGATATATTTCAGAATATAAATATCTTGATATATTTCAGAATATCTTGATATATTTCAGAATATCTTGATATGTTTCTGAATGTCTTGATATATTTCAGAATATCTTGATATATTTCAGAATATCTTGATATATTTCAGAATATTTGATATATATTTCAGAATATTTGATATATTTCAGAATATCTTGATATATTTCAGTATATCTTGATATATTTCAGTATATCTTGATATATTTCAGAATATCTTGATATATATATAATGATATATTTCTGATTACAATAATTTTTGAATTAGTTTTGTTTATGTTTTTAATTCTGATCTAGTCAGTATTGTCCAGCCCTAGCTTTGTAATAAGTTAAACGTTTATAATACTCAGTTATATTTCGCAATGTTATATTACCATTTGATTGTGCACAACTAAAATTAATTATTTTTTTACAAAATAACCCAAGGCTGCAGATTTGACATGGTTCCTTAGTATACAAATAGGTCATATTGTACTAATTATGAAAGTAAGACAAAATTTCTGAATAGGGCTTGATATGTCTGGTGAAAATGACGTTAAATCAACAGCCCTTGTTCCATGCCAAACATTAACTTATGATGGATGTTTTTATTTATCTTTTTGTATATTACAGTAAAATTCTTTCAAGAAATGTGAGACCCTGTTCCATATGAGCTCAGGTTTAATCTGTTCGTGTTCCTCAGATTTTTAAAATCAAATTTATTTTTAAGACATTTTTGTGGGCAATAAGCGTATGCTACGTTTGCAAAGAAAAAGCAGAGAAAAGCAATTTCTTATCTGGTACTATTGATCCAAGATCATTGTACATGCTGGATAATCTGACCTACAGTAGACACAGTTATCAATCAGGATTTCTTTTTGACTGATACTAATTAAGGGGCATGTAATCAAATATGTTTTATAAAGAACTGATTGTATGAAATTAATTTTGTAACAGAGCTCTTAAGAGCCATGGTTTAGTCTATATTTTGAAAATTAAGTTATTGTCATCAAATCTTAGGACTTTTAATATGCTATCCCTTAACAATCAAAATGTGATGTAGAAATATATTAAAATGACAAAAAAATGGTGCACCTTTAGATGAAATTTGTACATTTTTCACTTACAACAAAAATTGTGTTATGTCTTTTCTTAATTTCGGTAATGAATTGTATATATTTTATATATATATTGTTCTGACTGTCAAAATGGAATTTGAGGATCTGTTAAGGTGAAACTAGGGGAAGTTGTGATAAATGGCAGCTCACCAATATATTTTTGATAGAAATGTCCTGATATACCTTTTAGAAACCCCCCTCCCCCTTCATTCTCTGTCACATATCAAATACATGTTTCATGCTAATAGATGTTGTATATTGTCTTAAGAATTATCAAAAATCTTGATTTGTTTTGAATTGTAGACAAACAGGACATCAGAATTGAATCTGAAAAGAGATCAATATGGAGAAAAAATTGGAATTGCAAACATTTGGGTGTTAATTGAGCTAATCAATTAAGTTTTCTTTGTAATCTTTGTGAATTTTTAGCTTTAGATATCTTCAACAAGAAACTTTTGTTGTAATGTACAGTATTGTTAGATGTTCATGTACACTTTTAATGTACATTGTAAATGTTAGATCATGCCAGTATATGTACATAGTTTTAATGTACATATTTATCTTTTATGCTTAAAATTGATTGTTAGAACATGTGGAATAAGTAGATGTATGTTTTGCTGTCATGCTCTCATAATCATATCACCTTAACAGATCCTCTTAATGTCTTCAAAGTTTATCTTTTCAAATACAATGCACTTTGCTGGCAATGGAATTGAAAGTTGCTCTTCCAGAATGGTATTTGCATCAATCTTGGGCTTATTCTTAAAAAGGTCATGATGTAACTGTAAATGAATCATGGAATTTTTGATTGTCTGTTCTTATGATAATGTTATTTCTTGATTTTAAAACATTATAATTACTCCAATAGATACCATAGATCAAGCAACTTTTTATTTCATTTTCAGTAAAAAAAAAAAGATTTTGCTACAACTGTGAAGGGAAAATCAGGTGTTGAAAACTTAATGGACAAATTTCTCAAAGTTTATAAGATATTTTGTACTAGATTAGACCGATGTGGGAGTGATGTTTGAATGATCTTTATCATCATCAAGATTCATTTTTGATTGATCAAAATTAATTTCAATTGTATATATTTAAAATAACAATAACATTGTAAGTGGAAATTTGACATGGGTGCAGAAAATTGGCTGGTTTGGACAAAGCTCGAATTCGTCAGCTTTTCTCTTCACAGTTATCAGTTTTCAAAATGAATATTTAGATATAAGAGCTATATGTATATTTTTCTTTAAGATATTTTTAATTTATTCACTATTAAGATTATCACAGGGCACATAAATTTTTATTCTTTCTTAATGAAATAGTTGTTAAAAATACCCTTTGAAAAGAAGTTCTATTTTTGAAAGTAAAATTGTACTTATTATTATATTGTACTTAGCTGATGAGTGACAGTTTATGTGAAAAGGGTTTCATCTTTTAAAATTGTACATAACTGTGGAATAAAACAATGTATTGTCTATTATCAGTAGAAAGGCAAAAATAAAAGTTGAAAAACAGTTAGTTTCATTTTTTTGCCTTCAAGAATGCCAAAGAGACAATAGTTTCAAAAAAATAACAGAACCAAAATACTTGCAACAAACATTGCTTAGAATGCTACGGCCGTATATATTTTTTTTTTTTATAGAATACCAAATAGATGCAATTAGTACAAGAATGTAAAGGAGATATAATGCCTGCAGGAACATCAAAGAGCTTCAAGATCTACCATAATACCTAGGAGCCATATTAGCTCCTGTAATACCAAAGAGCCATAATAGCTGTTAGAATACCAATGAGTCATAACAGCTGTTGGAATACCAAGAAGCCATAATAGCTGTTGGAATACCAAGGAACCATAATAGCTGCTGGAATACCAAGGAACCATAATAGCTGCTGGAATACCAAGAAGCCATTATAGCTGTTGGAATACCAAGAAGTCATAATAGCTGTTGGAATACCAAGAAGTCATAACAGCTGTTGGAATACCAAGGAACCAAAATAGCTGCTGGAATACCAAGAAGCCATAATAGCTGCTGGAATACCAATGCGTCAAAATAGCTGCTAGAATACCAATGAGTCATAATAGCTACTAGAATACCAATGTGTCATACTAACTTTTGGAATACCAAGGAGCCACAATAGCTGTGGAAATACCAAGGAACCATAATAGCTGTTGGAATACCAAGAAGCCATAATAGCTGCTAGAATACCAATGTGTCATACTAGCTTTTGGAATACCAAGGAACCATAATAGCTGTTGGAATACCAAGAAGCCATAATAGCTGCTAGAATAACAATGAGTCATAATAGCTGCTAGAATACCAATGAGTCATAATAGCTGCTAGAATACCAATGAGTCATAATAGCTGCTAGAATACCAATGAGTCATAATAGCTACTAGAATATCAATGAGTCATAATAGCTGTTGGAATACCAAGGAGCCACAATAACTTTTGGAATACAAAGAAGCCACAGTAGTTGCAGGAATACCAAGGAGTCATAATAGCTGTTAAAATATCAAGAAGCCATAATATCTGCTCGAATACCAAGAAGTCATAATAGCTGCTGGAATACTGAGGAGTCACAATATCTGCTCAAACAAAGAAGCCATATCTGCTCGAATAACAAGAAGCCATAATAGCTGCTAGAATACTGAGGAGTCACAATAGCTGCTAGAGTACCAAGGATCCATAACAGCTGCTAGATTACCAAGGAGTCATAACAGCTGCTACAATATTAAAGGGCCATTTTAGAGAGTCCTGCATTCAAAAGCAATGGAGCCATCATATATGTCTACATTCCAGCGTGGTGGTACAAAAACAACCAATATTCAGCAGATACATTTTATATATACATATCATATGACATACAGTTTACATTATACTGAACATAAAGCAAGGCAGGATGATAATAACATGAATTGGAGGAACATGTATCATTAACTTATACATTTTTTTGATCGGGTACTTTACGAATATTGATACTAGCTTTGAGTATCACACATTTAATATCTTGGATTTGCATGTTGCTTTTATATCGTAAGCAACAACAGATGACAGAATATTGCTTAGCATGGAAATATACATATTACATTCAGTGTACATACCATTGACATACAATTAAAATATATATTTACAATTTACAATAACAAATAAAGAGAAACTTTCATATACTATCCGTCTTCACAATGGTCAAGGTATTACGAACTTCATCTGACTGCTATAGCCAACTTTCTTGTATCAAGGAATGCAGCGATTTGATTGGATTATACAACAGCAAATTCATAGCCCCCTATCGAGGGCTATCCAACCAAATCCCTGCATTTACAATCAGTGATTTAAGAAAGGCAGCTATTGGAGTCAAGGTATAAGACCTAGTTCATAATAACTTGACATTGTAAAAATGTATACTATCCTGATTATTACTTCAGATAACATTTTACATGAATAATGGCCAACTAAACATTATTCTTCAAATTCATGAAAAAAGTGAACAAACAATGCACAATTTGATCTGATTCTTTAAGGATAAGCATGACATGTACAGATATTTTCTGCAGGTAGATATTTTAAATTGTTTACATATAACATAGCACAAAATAAAATGATTAATATAAACAAAAACGAAAATTACTCTTATAATATTGAGGTGCATCAAGAATAAAAATAAGCATTTATCATTATGTGAGGAAATTTTTGTTAGTATTTTATTAGTCAGGATATGATAATTCTTTGTGCACATGTGGGACGATTTAAAACATAAACAAGTTGGGGGTAGAATAAACAGTCATTATAACTCAATAAGCCAGTCTTGTACTGTATTCATAACTACTTGCACAATTGCTCAATATCTTTCCCAGCCTTAACTGTTAAGTCAGCTTCTACAACTCCCTTCTCTCAAATGTTTTCTAGTCAAGTCAACATTGTCATGCAAATTTAACAATTGAGAAGTCACAAGAGTGGCACAGAGTTGAGAATTTGAAACATACCATCCCTCAAGATTACAATTAAGTGCGAAGGGGAATTAAGCTATTCAACTAATTAATTAATTAAAAGGCCTTAATATGGATATTCCAACTATTTGACCACAATTACAGCTGTGTGTAACACTTTTTATATTGAAAATCCGACCTCTGGTTTGCTTGTAATAGGCAACACTGTTATTAACAGTCTATCACACATTTCCATCTGCAAATTTAACTAGCAAACCAGGTACCCGATTTTCATTCTGAAGTGCTACATGACTGTGTACATGTTTAGACCTAGCTCAGATATTTGCAGTGTGATTAGTGTTTATATTCTGAACATATATTGAGACAATAAGAATGGTCATAGATATAAATAAGCTTACCAAACGACTAGAAAATTGTTAGTAATTTAGTAGCTAAATATTTCAAAATATCAATATAATTCAATAAATTTGACAACTAAAGATTGGGCTGAAAACATGACTGTTATATGGTACAAGTATAGAGCAACTTAAAGTAACTTCATCCTGCATTTGGGTTCATCTTTGGACTTTCTCTTTATAAAGATTTATGATGTGATAGTTATAATATTATAAATATTCACTTTTTCTACTTTGACCATCGTTACAGGACAATATCAAAAATATCACCTTTATAATTTTAAAATATTCTGCAAAACCCTGAACCTGTGCTTTCATAACCTTGTTGACAATAAAAAGCTACGACCTGTAGTCATTCGAAGTGGATCTTGTTTTGATTTATGAAAAGGGTCGATAAATTAATAGAACTGAATTGAGCTAAAATAAAACTGACACTTCATAATATAACACAACAAGAATTGGTCTTTTTGGCCGTTTTGTAGAAAGTTTTCGACTGCATACTCAAACCTTCTGACTTCTCAACTAAGTCATCTAATTTTTCACCTCTTTCTAATACTTGTTCCATTGTATTATACTGGAAAATAAAAATGTTGGTTAAAAACAACCATTATGCATGAGAAAGCTTCTTATTTCGGCTCTTTTTAAACTATTTTGATTGAATTTGACTTCTTAAGATGACACAAAGAGCACTGGAAATATGGATATAACATATGGATCTATTCCCCTTGTTCCCAACCTGGGGTATTTTCACCTCTTGGGGATTTGGGACTGGGGTGTAGGGGGTGTGGACAACTGTTGCAGGAGAAGTTTTTTTGGGGGAATATTATAGGGTTCCAAAGAAAACAGTAACAGCTCTCCCAATGAACATCTTATTGAGGTCGCATGATTATATATCCATGATTATGTGTGATTATCATGATTATAGTTTGAATAAAAATTATAAATTTTACAATGTTTTGAATGTCCACTGTTTAGGGGTGTGAGGGGTTCAAATGATTACTCCAGGGGTGTGAAGGCTGACCTATTCAAAGTTAAGTCAAGTTAAACAATTCACACATGGTCATGCAAGTAACATTATCAAGAGAATACATGCTGATTTCTTTACTGTCTTAACACTATCAAGTTTTCAATGTATTTTTCCAATCCAAAAAAAATATTTATTATGATCTACATTTCTATTATCAAAGACTAACGATCAAAATCAACTCCATGCAGTGTGCAAGGAGGATAAATACAATTCTAAACTGATCTATAAATACTTACTAAAATAATTTTGGTCTCATCTAAATCAGACTGAATTCTGGTCATGGCATCTGATTGTTTTGGATCCTGAAAAGTTATTACAATACGATATATTCAACCTACTGCATAGAAGCCTTTCAGCTCTAAGTAAAGATTAACATGTTAACTATTCTGGAAAGATTTTGGAAATTTATGAACTTGAAAACTTCAGGTTGATTTTATGCAATTCATTTTGGATTTATCATTAAGAACTGGGCCCATGCTTCACAAATAAAACTGGAATTTCCCTCTTTCAATACTTTTTTTTAGGTCTCTTAGAACCCTTTTCCTGGTTACGTTTAAAGGGACAAGTGTGCCATTTTGGAGGGTTAATTTGAGTTTTGAATATATGTAAATAGTCTTCAGAAGTATTAGAAATGTACGAAAATCGAATAACTTCTTTAAAATACTTCAAACTAGGAATTTTACACACTATTTCTATACATGTCTTTTTTATATATCACAGAATATCTTAGATTGTCAAGTCGTCATTTTAACATTCAAACACGTATAATTCTAGACACACATGGATTTGAAGGATAAAATTTCAACAGTGAGCTGTGAACGCTATTATTGATTAGCTAAGCTAAAATATTCCAATTTCTGAGATTAAAGTGTGATTGGTCCAAAAAATGGGAACATGTCCCTTTAAGAATCATACATCAATAAAAAAATAAAAGAAGGTAATCTAAGGCTTACCTGATATTTCTGTAAGTGATCAGGTAATGTGGTAAAATTTACTTCACTATAATATAAAGAAATTCAGTCAAACTTCACTAATTTAAATAGAATATTCAGCAATCATATGACACAATATTTGTGCAGAACAAATCTTTAATAAAAGCAAAAGAGCACCAAATACTACAAAGAACAATTGGCTTTAGTCTTACCATACTTGTAAGTAATATGACCATAAATAATCATCTGTTTGCATCAATATGTAATTAAAATAGATAAGATTTTGAATCTATGCATAATCTAGTAGCAATTATCTGTTTCTAAAGCTAAGGAAAATTAACATCAGTTAGAAATTACATCAATAATACCTTTGTTTAACAGAAAAAAATATATTTCCAAAGTTCATTAAATGAAAGTGCAAATATGTAGGAAATTTACTAAGTATATTTTAAAATATCTTTAATATAAAGTCACTAATATTGAAAAGTTGGTATCCACATTCATAACAGATAACTCATCTTACAAGAAAAAGACATTAGCTTACCTTTCTTTTATAACTGGCCATTGCTGTTGTGATATTTTAGAACTAAATTCATCTAATACCTTAAAATATAAAGTTATATTTCTATATTCTATAAATTTCATTAAATGTATGGTATGTTACCTTCAAGTATGTAATTTATTAGCTCTCACACAAATGCACCAGAACATGCAAAAGATCGGTAAAAGTCAAATTATCCTAGCAATGGTTGCAGCAGTAAGATTTAAGTTAGATAAATGAAAATCCTTTTTTGGATATACTATTCCTTTCTTTATAAATTTTTCAATCCCAATTTTCTATCTTCAATATTTAAGATTTATAATATGTAAATCAGTTATTCAATTAATGGCTTGGAGAAAGTTTTGTTTAAAAATCTCCTTCACCAGAGTCTCAAATTCCCCTCTCAATAGCATTTGTCACAGACTTTTCCACTAAGGGTGCTAGTGGGCACATTGGAAGAAGTTTGATGACCTAACATTGAAGTCACAGCACTTACTCTGTTAATTAAAGTATGAGCAACTCTCTGCGGATACTCATGATCAGCTATAACAACACCAGCTAGATTGTCACTACGTACAGATACATGACATATATACTCCTGTTCTTTAACAGAAGCTCTAGAACACTGAGCTGTTCTTTCTACTATAATTTTACTGGTAAAGTCCATAAACTCTTTGATACTGAAATAACGAAAATCATTGTGATAAAACCTTTATTTCAATATTCAAATCCCACAATGAGACCTGTCTTTACCTGGATTGTGATCTATACCTTAGTGTATGGGTTATTGTTATCCAATTTAATGTAAATTTGCTTGTTTCTTGGGGGTTCATTTTGCCTGAGAGTTACTCAATACACTATAGAAATAATTAATTACTATGAAATAAAATATATTTTGAGGCCATTTTGACTATCTAACAGTACCGTTTTGTGGGATCATTTTGACCAAATGATATGGTCATTATGGTTATGCCGAATAGACTGTAGCCGACGACTAGAATATATACAGGGTCATCAACAAACATGAAGATAATGCCCCTAAAAATTACAAACTCATACAGCTAACCTATGCATTCATATCTTGTGTTTCTTTATCTGTGCATTGAGGATGTATATTGAGTTTGACTTGGCTATCTCTTAAGGTGTGGCACCAACCTCCTGAGACTGGGGGTATAAATAGGGAGCAGACTGACTCAATAGGGGGGACAACAGTCGAGGCTGAATTCACAATGCAGCAACTCTGTGGAGGGGTCATACTAACAGGCCTCTGTGGAGCATCTGAGAGGGTACAACAGGGTATCTACACATAGAAAAGGGGCACAAAATAACAATTTTTGGTATATGCCTCTCTCTATATATTAATAATGAAATGGAATCTAAGGGTATACATACCTGCCTCTTTGAAAATAACCAAATGATGATAATTCATGGGCAGCTTTTAACTGATTTACTTTACCATCAGGTGATTTATATAAAACTGATAATGCAAATAATTTCATTTTGAGTTTTTTCTTTGGTTTCAACCTAAATGCCTGAAATGGAATTCGCAAATTAGTTCAGTTTCAGCATTCAATTCAAAATACATAAAACAAAAATATGTAGGGAGAATGTTGACCATTGATTACCGTACCATTAATATAAGATAGAATATGTAAGCTTACAGTATTAAATGATGGAAAGTAAAAAAATCAAATTTGAGACGTCTGCAAGACAAATGTATGCTCGATGCTTAGTAAACAAGGCTGGAGTAAGGCAGTCCTATCTAGGCAAATAAAGGTCTATCATACAGTTTGTATATCATTGATCATTATTTCTGACTACATTGAGCTTTGAGCTGAAGTTTTTCTCTCATTTCATATATATTCAAAATTTTCAACTGGATACTATTTGTGTTACAATGTCTTCCGCTTTCTTGTTCATAGAAATATATAAGGTTCAGTAATATTAAATTTGAAATAGTCACATTTTCCTCCCAGAATTTTCATGTGAAAATGACCTTCTTTTCGGACTGAAAAATTTAACAAATGATAACTTTTCCACTTGTTGATATTTTTATCAACCCCAAAGACGATCTAAGACTCTCTGATATATTTTGTAGTATTTCAATTCATCTGGAAATGATTGCCAAAATTTAATACTGTCAAAATTGTAGTCAGAGAGTAGGCTATACCCCATTACTATTTAGAATGAGAGGTCTCATTATGTCAATGTTGGCCTACAATCTACAAGTACAACAACCAAGCCAAATAGTCAATATAAATGTTATATATATTGATCATTATCATTGATGTCAAACTAGTTCAGTCAGTGTCAATCTAACATCAGCAGTTACTGTCACCTGGTCATAGTCGACTTCATATGTCACAATCTCGTCTGAATCACATCAGTATCAGTATATCAGTAGATCTGCTGAGTCTGAATTTTGATTTTCTCTGTCGTCATACTTGACTAGAATCAAAAACCATTCCCGTCTCATCATTTAGCTTTCAATACTAACCCGTAGCATGAATAGTTATAAATGGTCACTAAATGGCGATAAATTTGATTTTAAATGAACACTTAAAAGTCATAAATTAAAAATAAATAACACACTCACTTAGATAAAAATAAACAGCTTGTTGTTGGAAGTGACGACAACAGGATATGACGTCAGTCGCAGGTGTTTGTTTAAATTTAGTCAGGAACTTATGAAACGAAATTTTGAAAAAAAACTTAGAATATTGAAAATCTATAAAAGGCGAAGCTTAAATTGTATATAAAATATGGCAGAATTACAAAATTATTATACATTACATTATAGAACGGTTTCTTAAATAATCAAAGGGAAATAACTAAGCCTATAATACATTTACTTCAGACAACAATGAAAGCAGCACCCTTTTGGCAAGATCTTGAATAAAAATATCATCAAAAAGGGGGATAAAAAGCATAGAAAGGTTTAAGGAATGAATAAATGTCGAAGAAAATCTTATTGCTATTGCGAAAGGGGGCCAAAAAAAATAATGCTAGATAAAACATCTATCGAGAGAGACCAAAAAGAGCCCAAAAATCGACTAAATCAAACATTATTGGTACAACTGGAAACAAAGTTTATTTTCTTTCACACGTCTCAAGGAATAATGAATGGTCAATATCAGACAAATTGCATAATGCCCACCACACAATACCCTTATCAAGGACAAGAACTCAACAAAGATATCCATCATAAGTTTTTCAACTTTGAACTCATCCAATTTGCTTTTGAAATTTCCAGTGCTTTGAAAACATATACAAAAAAGAAGTTGGCGGAAACAGTCGAAACAGGTCAATTAATAATCCTGATTATGACGTTACAGTTAAAATACATAATATAACAGTATGACGTCATAAGTAAATCATATTTGATTGCTTCAAAGACGTGTTCACAAGTTTCTCTAAGATTTGATAGAATATTTCTGGATTTGAAGGTAAGATATTGAAACAAACCAATACATTTTAACTGAAAACCCCCAATTGATGATCTATATCTAATCTTCCCAGCGTTCAGTACCCCCACAGCATTTGTTACTAATTGGAAAATATGATTTTTATACGTTTTGCTCCAAAAATTGCGTCAGAATGCACCAAATCAATTCAATTTTCGAAAACCTTCTTAAGAGAATCATCTCAGATATTGTGGGCAGGGGGCCTTGCTACTTTGATGCGTCAACAAAGTTGCCATATTTTGATAGTCTGTCCCCGATCTGAACCTCCAGTCGGAAGTCTGGCACCGCAACTGTTTGAATGCTGAACAAAATAATGTTTCGAATCTGTCATATGCGTACTCGTATCAACTTTGGGACCAGAGTGATGCGACATTCCGCAATCCTTGACACTAAAACTGAATTTCTAGTTTAACTTTCGCGGTAGGTCGTTTGAAGCTGCAAGATGCCAACTCATAGAAACTGACGAACATATGCGTATGGCGTTGAATAAAAACATTTTTAAACTGTAATGTATATTAACATTTGAAACAAAAGTCATGTGACAAACTGCCATACGCAACATTTCTTTTGAATAAAATCCATCATGTGCGGCTATTGAAAACGTATACACATTGGTACAACAATGTTTTTTGCTTAAATTCTCCAACGCATAAAGTCCGTCGCGTGTGTCATGTTTCAGTTGAGTTTTGTAAATTTCTTTGTAGATCGGTTACCATAAAAACGTACAATTCCCTGCATTGAGTAATATTTAGCAAGCTACATCTGATGAATCAAACATGCAAAGTAAAATGCTAAAAACTGATTCAGAACTGAATTGAATTTCTGCAATAATGTACTTAAAAATTCCCATAATTTTGCATCGGACAAAAAAAATGTTCTAGTTCTACTACGACTAGCAACAACTACCTAGTTTGCGATATCAGCATCCGCTGGAAGCGAACGTTAACTCGTCATCTACCTACCTACCAACCAATATTCAATACAGTGGCGTAGTCAAATTTCCAAGTGACATATTCTGAATTTTTTTGTGATTTGATGAAGATGTCAAAAATTTGGGGGGTTTTGGATTTAACATCTTCGCAATGTTAAGCTATCACGTACTTTGTCTAATACCTTGACTGATATAACACCTTTCTTATACATTTCTTGTACCATTTAATGCAGCGATTTGAATGGATTTTACGCTAGCGAATACAGATAATGTGAAGATGTGGCTCCAATTGTCAGCCTTTATTATGACGTTATACAATTAAAATACATAATACAATAGTATGACGTCATAAGTAAATCATATTTGCTTGCCTCTAAGACGTGTTTACAAGTTTCTCTGCGATTTTGAAGATTTTTTCGGGATTTTAAGGTGAGATATTACTACAAACTGGTCAATTTTATCTGAAAACCTTCAATTTGCCGTTGTATATAATATTATACGTACATTGCAACTGTAATGATCTAAAAGAAATTTTCTTGTTCCATTTCTCAACAAAGATACTGCTATGAAATGGAGTTTTACGTACTTCTTTTCTGCAACTGTTTGTTGTAATGAAAACGAGTCAACAAAAAAAAAAGGGGCGGGGGGGGGGGGGCTTTAGTTTCTTTTCTCGACATCACCTATAAATCTGAATACCTCCGACATCAAATATTTAAATCTGAATACCTCCGACATCAAATATTTAAATCTGAATATTCCCGACATCAAATATTTAAATTTGAATACCTCCGACATCGAATATTTAAATTTGAATACATCCGACATCAAATATTTAAATTTGAATACATTCGACATCAAATATTTAAATTTGAATACATCCGACATCAAATATTTAGATTTGAACATTCCCAACATCAGTATATAAGTCTGAAAATGCCCAACCGACACCAGATATATAATTCTGAATATTCCCGACATCACCTATAAATCTGAATATCTCCGACATCAAATATATATAAATCTGAATATTCCACACATAAGATATATCTGGCATTCACTTTAAAATATTTTCCAATCTGACAGATTTATATTTTTTTTATTTCAGGATGTCAAAGAAATATATTCCCGCCCGCCATACTGTT